CCGCGCTCTCGGTGCCGCATGCGCTACACAGGGAGTGCGGGGCCGCCTCCTCGCAGGACGGAGGAGAGGCAGCAGAGGGCTGGGCCTCCCTGCACCCGTGCCACCTCCTCCGTGACACTCAGTGACCCAAACTGAGTTGCTGTGAATACCCCAGAGCTGGAAGTGTCCCAGGCAGCGTGTGATGGCAGGGCATGCAGTTCGTCTCTGATGGACTTCGGGCTGAGGCCCCGTTCCCTCTGTGTTTGAGCAGTTGAACTGATGGTATTGTCTTCTGAGATACTGACTGTACGGTTTTCTGGAGCCCACGTTCAATCACTCTAAAAGCTGCATCAACAACAAAAAAGAAGGCATCAGGTGTCCTAAAACTACACCGACACGAGTATGACAAGTGTGGGCGTCCGTGAACAGCGTCCCAGGATCTGTCTGCGTGCGATCGCTTTGTGTCCCTCTGTCCCTGCTGCTCTGCCTGCGAATCTGTGCACCACGCAGTGCGCGGTGGGCAGAGGGATGCGTGGGTGTATAGACGGAGGGTATAGGCTAGAGAGGCGGACACACCGACATTATTTACAACAATGAGATCATGTTCTATATGACTTTAAAGTGAAACTTAAATTTCCCATTATTTTAAAAATAATGACGGAATGGGGGAATGTGGTATAACTGTTTCTCAACGACAAGAACCGTTACTCCACGAAAATCCCCACGGAGCTCGGGCTGAGGGACTGCGGGACCCACCCCAGGGCGGTGCGGCGGTTTCCTCCTCTGCCGCCTCCTGGCGCCCACAGGCTAAAATTCGCCGGCACCCCAAACACTATGTCTCTGGCCAGTCTGACCCAAAAATGGGTATAATTTTGATTGATGTACAAAAAAATAACAATAGTAGTGGCCTCCCCTTTTTGCTCCAAAGTGACTTTTTAAAAATCAGGTGCCTACACTTGTATAGCAGGATTTCCGGTACCAAGAATTAAGCAAACAGACGCAACCTTGTTATGCGATGTGACCAATAAGATGCAGCTCTATCCTATGACCCATGTATTTATGGTTCAAGATGGGCCATTCATCCCAGGCGGCTACTCTTGCGTTGGCCATTGTCATTCTTTCGTTTTGTTTTGTATTCTTTTTTTTAAAAAAACCCTCAGCTGAGGACATGTTTATTGATTTTAGAGAGGAAGGCGGGGAGAGAGAGAGAGAGAGAAACCTCCATATGGGAGAAACATTGATCGGCTGCTTCCTGCGGGCACCCCCGCTGGGGGTCAAACCTGCAGCCTCCTGGGCGCAGGATGACGCTCCAGCCGGCTGAGCCGCCCGGCCGGGCTGCTGGCATGTTTTATTTGACAGTCTCAGGGAAATGAGGTCGGCGTGTGTTTTTACAATCTCTGCAGCACGGCTGTTGAAAGCCGCCGAGTCAGAGACAGGCCAGGAGACAGCCAGCCTCCCAGGAGACTGCGTTGGCCGCCCGCTCGAGCTCCAGGGCGGCCCTCTCCCCGCGCCCCTGCCCCCGGCTCCACACGGCAGTGCGCGCTCGGCTTACATCGTCGAGGCAGAGTCTCCCCAGTTCCCACGAGGGGCAGCCCCAAGTCCATGGCGAAATGGCCCGATGCGCACCAAGCAGCGAGGTGTGCTCGCGAGGGGTCCCGCTCCCTTCCCGGAAGGCAGGGGGACTGTCACCCGGCTCCCCCGGTGGGAGAACTTCCTCTGCCGGTCGCCGTGGGCACTTCGAGGTGTTGTCTTTGACATCCCCAGCCTCCCCCAGAGTTCCTCCCCGCTCTGAGGGTGGACGGCTGGGAGGACCCCGGCCGCCTCCTGGCCTTGTCCCGGGGCCCCTGTCCTCCGCGCCGCCCCGGTGGCTTCAGGGCCCGTCTGCCATTATTCAAAGTTTCGGGCAGAAAGTTCTTTCCCTTCCACCCTTCCTCACTTGTGGCCGTCGCTTTTTCTTTTCCTTTTGAACAACATCCGGCTCGTTTTGTGAGGCAGAGGGGGAGAGATTCTGTGGGTCTGGTGGCTCAGCACCCCCGCTACTTGGACTGACTGCCCATCTCGGGCTGGACCCGGGCTGACGCCACGGGAGGGAGGCGGCGCGCCCACACGCCTGTCATCTGGGTTGTCCTTGAAGAGGGTGCCAGGGGAATCCCCGAGCCTGCGCTCACCGGGGGAGGCCTTCCTGGGTCACCGCAGGGCAGCCGAGGGAGCAGGGGTGCTGGAATGGGGAAGTAGTGGACCCAAGGGGGAGGCCGGCGGGGGACACTCAGCTGCCAGGCTGAGCTCGCAGCTCCTCCCAGACCTTCCAGGGCTTAGGACTGGAGGCTGGGGCGCTGGGCAGTCAGGGCGCCCGCAGGCCTAGCCTGGGCTGAAAGGAAGGAGAGAGACCGGGGCGGCCAGCGCCCAGATGTCAGGGTGCTGGCCCCAGGCAGGCAGGGCAGGCCGCGCCCCGCGGGGGTGGCCTCTGCCCTCCCCCTCCGCATCCTGCCCAGGTGGGGCCGGGCGGCAGGACCAGGGAGGGTGGCCGGAGACTCTGGGATCTTTCAGAGAGTCTAAAGATTTTATTTAATTATTTTGAGAGAGAGAGGAAGGGAGGGAGAAAGAGGGAGCAAAGCACCAATCGGTTGGCCGCCCCACCCAGGGGTCCCACCCGCAACCTCATGGTTTGTGGGCCGACAGCCCAACCAACGGAGCCACCGGCCAGGGCGTTTCTGTTTCTTAAAAAACAACTTGATGAGGCTATAATTCCTAGGCTGCACAACTCGTCCGCAGATGAGAACAACTGTGCTCGTTGGAGGAGCACGGCCGCTGGCCCCAGGTACATTCGCAGGTGTCTGCAGCCGCCCCCACCGCGGGTCCCACGCAGCCTCGTCTCTCCCGGGAACCGCCCCGCCCCCCAGCTCCCCCAGCCCCCCCCCCCCGCAGGGGCCCGGCTCCCTCTGAAGGCCTGGGACAGGGTCTGTCCCCTGCCCTGCCTGAGCTTGTGGTGTCACTCCGGTCCCTGCCCCCGTTGTCACCTGCCATCCTCCCTGCGCGTGTCCCTCTGGGCCTCTTCCTATAAGGGCGCCTGTCCCATCGGATTGAAGGCGCGTCCTCAGGACCCCGTCTCCACTTGGTCACATTTACAACGGCCTCAGTTCCGGATAAGGTCCCGCTCAGAGGTGCTGGGCGGTTAGGCCTCAACACACTTTTTCGGGGGACACCACTCAACCCACAATTCCCTGGTTCACAAGCTTCCATCCACATCCCCTGAGGGAACCAGGAAAGGTCCACAAGGGGCAGCGAGACAGACCTGCCGGGGGTTCCGCTCCCCTTGCTCTCACTGGCCCGGACCCTCCCCCGGCAAGGACCCTGAGTGGGGGAGACGTCCGTGGGGTCTGGGCTGTAGGGAGGGGCCCAGGGAGCCCACAGCGCGTCAGCAACCGTGGCACCTGCCTACGGTCCTGGGCGTTGGAGGCTTCAAGCCCAGCTTCCTCCTTGACACCTGCTTCTCGGCGCCGAGGGAGCATCCGGTCCCCTGAGCAACCTCAGGGGCGAAAGATCCGTCCCCTCCTTTCACGGAACCAAGTCTGCCTTTTCCCCGCCTCGCTCTCGTCCTCGGGTCCTGAACTCCGGGTCTTGGAGCCAGTCGGGTGGCTGTTCGGCACCGGTTCGGCAGGCTCTGCCTGCCTGGCCCTGTCCCGCTGCTGCCGGGGATCCCGCACGACCCGCCGGGAGGGGGCGTGGCTCCCATTCCACCGCCGCCCGGTGAGCAGCTCCCGGTGAGTGCGCGCAGCGCCCCAGGCCCCAGGAGTGGGCTGTGCGGGCTTTCTGGCTTCGTCCTCTACGTGGCGACTGGCTCTGGTCCTTGAGCACGTTCAGCGTCCACTCCTCCTCAAGAGACGCCGGGCCCCAGCCAGGGCAGCCTGGCGACTGACTGAAAAGAACCAAGTCACAGGCACTCTCAGCAGAGAGGCCATCCCGCCTGTGCCGAGCAGTCTACTGCGCTGTGTCCGTGTCACGGGCTGGGGCGCGGCTGAGCTAGGCGGCCGCAGCCGTGCCTCTTCATGTGCTAGCCCTCCAACGCCTGTGGCGGGCAGAGCCCTGTCCAGCGTGACACTAGCGCTGCAAAGTGAGCGTGAGCGGTGAAGCGTCCGCGCAGGTGGCGCCGTGTGCGCCTGCAGAGCCCTGCCTTGTGCTGTGCGTTGTTGGCCTCTGCTCCTCGGGCCAAGGGGGTGGGCAGAGGGAGGGGACTGAGCTCTAGAGATGCATTTCCCTCCAAAGGCATCCGAAGTCCAGAATGTTAAGGCGGTTGCACGTGCGTGGTGGGTACGTGGATGTGTGTCCTATCCTTGGCAGGACTTCCTTACGTGCTTGAGACAGTCCACAGTTTAAAAACGGTTTAGAATGATTTCGCTGCATTAATTGGCTCAAGACCTTGTGCCAGGGCCGGGGGGCGGGGGGTGGGGGTTGCAGGTGCTGGGGAGGGAAGAGAGGGAGGCAGCCGGTGCGGGTACTCACAGCGGGTGGGAGGGCGGAGCCCTTGGAGGGAGTCACCCCTCCTCCCCGGGGCCTTGGGACAGTGGCTGTTCTGGGCCTGTTTACGCACCACAGACCTGGAGCTTGGGACCCGCCTGGGGACACCAGTCCCTCCGCCCTGCACTGGGGTGTGGCTGTCACAGAGCTGCTGCTGTCTGTCCCCCCCCCCATTGAGCCCACCTCCCAAGTCAGCCCCCGGGCAGGGGCAGCGGCCCGTGTGTTCGGGGCGAATGCAGTCCCCTGAAAACAAAAGGAACGCGGGTCCCTCTCTGCCCTGGTACTGGATTGATGTCCCTCCCGTAGGTCCCGGGCCACCAGGGCCAGGGCGGGTGTCACTGTCCCCTCCGAATTGGGGGGGGTCATTTCCTTCCCTGCCTGTGATGAGGGGAAAGGCGGCTTGCTGGGGAAGAGTCCCGCCCCCGCCCCCGCCCCGGGCGGGGCCGGGAAGCCATGAGGCTGACCGCAGCCCCTCGTCACTGTCCTTCCCGCCCAGGGTGCCCGGCATGGCAGGACTGCGCCGCACGGAGTCCTCGCTGACAGCCCTGGACGAGGAGGCGCTGTGGGAGATGACAGAGAGCCACCGCTGCAGGATCGTGCGCAGCATCTGCCCCAGCCGCCTCACCCCCTACCTGCGCCAGGCCAAGGTGCTGGGGCAGCTGGATGAGGAGGAGGTGCTGCACAGCCCCCGGCTCACCAACAGCGCCATGCGAGCCGGTGAGGCCGCGCCCTGCCCGGCCAGGGCCGAGGGGCCGAGTTCAGGATGTGGGGACCTACAGAGGGGGCGGCCTCAAATGGCAGCGACAACTCTCACAGCCTGGGGCTGGCATCTGAAATCCAGGGGCTGCGGGCACGCTCCCCCGAGGGCTCTGGGGAGGGTCCTTGCTGCCTCCCCCGGCTTCGGCCCCCCGATCCTGGGCTTGTGGCCCCCGCAGTCCAGCCTCTGCCCCGGCCTCACGTGACACTCCCTGAGTGTCTCTCCTCGCCTGCCCCTCGTAAGGATGCCTGTCATTGGGCACAGGGCCCCCCCAGATTGCCCAGGATGCTCTCCCCTCCAGATGCGAAACTTCAGTCACATCTGCAAAGTCCCTTTCCCCAGACAGGGTCCCAGGGGCAGGTTCCAGGTGCGCGTGCTGCAGGGGCCCCAATCCAGCCTTTCCAGGCGTCTTCGGACCCCACGGGGGCAGGCGGGCGGGCGGGAGAGCGGAGCTGTTTCTGCTGCCAGGGCACGGCAGCTTCTGCCGTGGTGCCCAATGAACCTCAAACGCAGGACAGGTGTATCAAAGCTGAGAGCGGGGGCGGGGTGGGGGAGCCCCGGGCGGCCCAGCCCTGGGGTGCTGCTGTGCGCTTCCTTCCTCTCCAAGCGGTGTGCAGGCCCGCTCCTGCCGGCCGACATGCCGCTAGGTCCAGAGAGTGGGCCCACATCTTCCCCGGTCTCTTATTTCCCGCTCTGAGCACTTAGATCTCAATAGCTGCTCAATAAACATCAGCCTCATCCTTCCAGAGCCGGGCTGCCGCCACGTGGACAGGAGGCGGCTACGGGAGTGGCGAGGGCCCGCCCGGCCCCCGGCCCCTGGTTCCCAGACATGCAAGGCCCCCTCCCTACGGTCATTCATGAGGCGGCCCGCCCAGCCCCCCATTAGCCAAGACTGCTCTGTCTTCCAGGGCACTTGCTGGACTTGCTGAGGACGCGAGGGAAGAACGGGGCCATCGCCTTCCTGGAGAGCCTCAAGTTCCACAACCCGGATGTCTACACCCTGGTCACTGGGCTGCAGCCGGATGTGGACAGCAGCAGCTTCAGCGGTGAGAGGGCTGCCTGCACGTGGCCTGGGCGGGGCCCCCAGAGCCACAGGCTCCCGGCAACCCCTGGGGCCACGCCCTGCGGGTGTGCTGCTGCTCCCAGAGCTTTCCCTGCCGTCCGGTCCAGCACTCGGGGGGCGGTGAGGAGAGCCCCCAACTAACTGTAATGGGGGTGGGCGGGAGACAGAGCCCGTGGCCTGGGCTCTAAAAGGAAAAGTCTGTTGTCCCTGATTAGCCAGCACCAGGAGGGGCCCCTCATGGTCATGGGGCGCAGGCAAAGGGGACGCGTCCTTTCCTGGGCACTCTGGGCTCAGGGTGGAGGGCAGCCCCATCCCAGGGTCCCCACCTGGCTCTGGGAGGGTCCACCTCGGAGGGAGAGGTGCCTGCCGGGCGGGGTTGGGGGCGGGGCAGGGGGAAGCACGTGCAGGCCGCAGCGCACTCTGCATGCGCTCAGCCCTGGCTTGGGGGCAGGTGAGACCACCGAGTCAGGGAGTGGGTTTAGGCTTCCTGGAGGAGCTGGTGAAAGACTGGCGGGCCCAGGGAGCGGCCGGAAGACGCTGAGGCCCAGCCGGGGGAAGGCACCGCCCGCCTGGCCTCATAGCCCGCGCTTGAGTCGCTTAGGGACGTGTACACAGATTCCGCGTCTCGTTATGTTTGGAGGACGACGTTGGGAGGGGCTCGTCTGGGTGGATGAGGGGCAGTTGGGTCTGAACCGCGGGGTGGCACAGGGAAGCCTTGTACCAGAATCTCGAGTCACGTGGTTTACTTACCAAAACGTCGAGTGCAGTTCAGCCCAGGCACCTTTAAGGAGGTGGGCAGACGAGGGTGGGATCCTCCTGAGAGTCCGGGTGCAGGAAGCAGAGCCCTGGAGGACAACGGGGGCCGAGGCAGTAACGCCCAGACCCGCCCCCCGCCCCCCCCCCCACAGGGCTCATGGAGATGTCCAAGCTGACCGCGTGCCTGGCTGGGGCCATCAGCAGCCTTCAGGAGGAGCTGAGCCAGGAGAAGGGGCAGAAGGAGGCTCTGGCGCAGCAGAGCCGGCGGCTGCAGGAGCGCCTGGACCAGGCCGAGGCCCACGCCGAGGGCCTGCGGCAGCTGGAGGCGGACCACGGCCGCATGAAGCGCGAGGTCAGCGCCCACTTCCACGAGGTGCTGAAGCTGAAGGACGAGCTGCTCGGCCTCTCGCTGCACTACAGCAACGCGCTGCAGGAGAAGGAGCTGGCCGCCACGCGCTGCCGCGGCCTGCAGGAGGAGGTGCCGCGCCCCGCCCCCGCCCTCGCGTGCCCCGCCCCAGCACCCGCCCTCCCGTGGGGCGCCCTGCTGCCCCGCCAGCCTTGGCCCAGGCCCCAGCAGCAAGCCGACCCTTCTCCTCACCAACCGGGCCCCCCGCCCCGTAGCCCACGGGCAAAGAGTCTGCCCTGTCGCCCCCAGGACAGGCTGGCCTGTGCCGCACCCACCGCTCTGCCTGGGGCGGCCGGGCTCCTCTGGGCTCTGCCGCGGCGGGCCCTCCCAGGCCCCGTTCCCTTCCAGCGGCCACGCCCGGGGACGGTGGGTCACGGTCTCCCCCCGGCCCCTCCCAGCCGGTCCCGGACTGGGAGCAGAGGACGGAGGGTCATTAGGATCCCCCTCTAACCCAGCAATGTGTTTTACTCATTTTCCTGTTGGGTTTAGTATCTTGCTGATTTGTAGGGGTTCTTTAAATATTGAGGATATTCATTACTTACCATTTTGGCATTTGCTTTCTTATAGTATTTTTAAAAAGATTTTAAAACTTATTTTTAGAGAGAGGCAAAGGGAGGGAGACTAAAAGAGAGGGAAAGATCAACGTGTGGTTGCCTGTCGTGTACCCCTCCTGGGGGCCTGGCCTGCAACCCAGGCCTGTGCCCTGACTGGGAATCCAACCAGCGACCCTTGGGTTCACGGGCGGGCCCTCAATTCCTGAGCCACACCAGCCAGGGCTGCTTTATGCCTTTAGCTATGTCGTTTTTCTTTAGTTTTAAACTTTGTTTAAAAGTAACTTCAAATTTATTTTTTAAAATATACAAATGCAATGGCACAGAGGACACCCAAGTACCTCCATTTGTCACCGGCGCTCTGTGTGCCTGCCTCCGGGCACATGCACGCTGTCTCCCTGCGCCCAGCCCTGCCCGGGGGTGCATGCGCTCACATGGCCTGCCCTTCTCCCGCAGCTGTATCTGCTGCAGCAGGAGCTGCAGCGCGAGAGGCTCGCTGCCTCCTGCGAGCGGGAGTTTCGGGAGCGGTCGCTGAGGATGGCTGACGGCCTGGAGCCTGGAGCCGAGGAGCTGAGCCGCCTGAAGGAGGAGAACGAGAAGCTCCGCTCACTGACCTTCAGCCTGGTAGGGCCCGGCCCCGCCACAGCAGGACCCCGTTCCTCCCTGGGGCCCCCAGGCCCTGGAATTCCTGCCAGGTGTCCCCCCATGAGGCGACAGGAAACCCTGGACGCAGTCCTGCCACTCCCCCAGCTCCAGGTGGCGGTGGAGTTGGCCGAATGTCGGGCTCAGTTCCTCTGCTGCGGCCGCTCTGCTGTTCCAGAGTGGACTGGGCTGGCTACAAGTAATGGGGCTCCCTTTAAAGTTGGGGGACAGGGGACGAAAGCCTGTAGAATGTGCTGCGTTGGAGAGAGGGAGCCCCAGGGTGCAGAGAGTGAGAGCACCATGCCCTGGAGGTACGCCAGCCCTCAGCCCCCCTCATCCGTCCGCTCCCCTGAACCAGTAAGCGGCCACTCTCGAGCTCTGCCGTCAGCAGCGCCCCTGGGTGCCGGTGGCCGCCCCATGGCCCAGTGGTGCCAGCACTCACAGTCTGCCTGCAGAGCAGCTCCAGCCGGGCCGGGGTCAGCGGAGGACCCCCTCTGTCTGAGGGACAGGCTGCTATGAGCGCCTAAAGCAGGAGGTTCTGTCCTAAGAGGCCTCAGCTTCCAGCACTTTCCGCCTTCTCCACCGGCCATGCACAGCAGAGCCCAGGTGCAGGCTTCCCACCTGGACGGGCAGTAACGTCGCCACCTCCGCCCACCACGGGGCCTTCAGCTTCCCAGTCTTGGGGCGAGCTGTGAGGGACGCGTCCCCGCAGTGGGCGGGCAGGGCCCCGGGCTGAACTCCCTTTGGCCAGGCGGAGAAGGACATTCTGGAGCAGAGCCTGGACGAGGCCCTGGAGAGCAAGCAGGAGCTGGTGGACCGCATCCACTCCCTGAGGCAGCGGGCGGTGGCCGCCGAGAGGCAGCGAAAGCAGGTGACCCTCCAGCTTGGCTTCACGCGTCCGGGGGGGAGGCTGATGCTTTCCTCCACGCTGAGCTCGGAGCCGTGTTTGCCTACCTAACACGTTGTTCGTTCATTTACTCCTTCGTCAAAGCTCTGAGGGCCAGCTCACCGTCCAAAGCTACGGGTTGTGGCTGGCGGGTGGGGAGGGGAGGGAACAGGTGGCGAATCGGCGGGGCTCCTGGGCGCCGAGCAGCTGGGGGTGAGCGCGAAGTCCCCTTGTTCCTCCTTGGGGCCACTGCGCTGTCCCTGAGGCTCCTGTCCTCCCGTCCTCCGCGCTGTGTCCCCCCCGCCCCCGCCCCGCCCCCGCCCCCGCCCCCGCCCCCGCCCCCGCCCCCGCCCCCTGCAGTACTGGGAAGAGAAGGAGGAGACGCTGCTGCAGTTCCAGAAGAGCAAGGTGGACTGTGAGATCTATAGGGAGAAGACGGCCGCCCTGCAGAGCCAGGTGGCCGAGCTGCAGAAGGAGCGGGACCAGGTACCCAGAGGGCGGGCGGGCGGGCCCCTTCTGCGCTGGTGGCTGAGGCTGGCTGGCCACCTCCCACAGCTGGCCCTGCCCTCGGTGGCCACTGCTTCCAGCTTTGAGGCCTCTCTCCCTGGTCCACGTGGTTTCCCAACCCCCGCCTTGCCCCCTGCAGACGTGCTCACTGGCGGAGACTGGAGGCCACGTGTGGTGCCTCCTCGCATTCTCTGCGTGCGCACAGACCGGGGTGGGGGTTAAATCCGCACCCGTGACACGACTGTGAACGAGGGCTGTGCCGCTGCGTGTGCTCAGTGTTTGCCGCCCCCTGGGTGACCCGGAACCAGCGCAGGTGGGGAGCAGGGGGCTTTCTCTGGCTGCGCCCCCGCACGGCGCCTCCGCAGCCGTTCACGCTCTGGGCGCCTCCCGTCTCGGCCCGCAGGCCTACTCGGCCCGGGACGTGGCCCAGGTGGAGGTTTCTCAGAGCCTGGCGGAGAAGGACGCCCTCCGCAGGAGAGTGTTCGAGCTGACGGACCAGGCCTGCGACCTCCGCCAGCGCCTCCGCAGGCTGCAGGCTGAGTCCTCGCAAGCGGTGAGCGCCCCCCTGCCCGCTGGGCCCTGGGTGCAGGGCCCGGGCTGGGGGTCCCCCCGGGCAGGGCGGTTGTGGGGTGGGGGCGAGCCGGCCACTCCCACTCGCCTCAGCTGGGGCTGGGGCACCAGGTGCCACTCTGGCTACGGAACGCTGGGCCCCGTGAGCGAGCCACATGGTGCCAGACGCTGAAGATGCGCCAGTGGGCGGCTGAGGCTGCCGCGCTCCCCTTTTACAATAATGTCGTGCACATCGTGGAAGGGTAGCCTAGCAGAAGGCTCTGGAGCCTGTGAAGTGTGCTGTGGGGATGAGGAAAGAAGGCAGCCGATGAAACTGAGCTAAAACTGCTATGACATCTCTAGTTAAGAGTCCAGCTGGCAGCTCCAGCTCCAGGCGCCCTGAGGGCCAGTGAGACTCCTCAGAGGCGTCTGGGGACCGGGTGGGAGGCAGAGCTGGACCCTCCCCTCGCTGGGCAGGGTCCCCAGCCCTTCCTCCCGCACCCCCGCCCTCATCAGCCGTGATGTGTACACACACACACACGCGCGCGCGCACACACACGCGCGCACACACACGCACAGAACAGGGACTGACTGCTCGGTTGGCCGCCAAGGTTCTGTGTGCAGCGCGTAGTGACATGACGCACACATGTTAGGTGCCATTTGTGTCACCCGTAGAGGAGCATGTGGATCCTCCAACAGCGGTGAAATGCCCCTCACCCAGCCTGTGGCCGCACATCCCCTGGGCGGCCAGCCGGGGTCCCGGGCGGGGAGGAGGCGGCCAATCGCTTTGCCTGGAAGTCAAGAGCGGGGTGGAGGCGGGGTGGTGACTGAGTGGAAACCGCGAGAGCATTCGAGGGGAACCCTCCCCGAATTAATCAGCCCTCCGGGCATCTTTGCAGCCCCAGCAGGAAGCGGGGCCCAGGGAGCCCTGTCGGAGGGGGAAGCAGCGGCTCGTGCGCATGTTCGCCGTCTGCCCGCGGGACACCAGCGACTGCGGCTACCTCAGCTCCTCCGAGGTATGGCCGGTGCACTGGCGCTGCTGGGGGTGCACCAGGCGCAGACAGAAGGGGCCCCAGCACATAGTAGGTGCCGAAGAGGCACTTCAGTGGATGGCGGCTGCACCCAGGCCTGCACTGCATCCCTGGGGCCCTCCGGCCCCCACGCAGCACCCTGCACGGCTCACCCTGCTCCGCACAGGACCCTCCCTAGCCAGTCGCCTGGACTCTCAGATGACTTTGGATGTCAAGCAGGACCTTATGGCCTGCCTCACGGATTTTCGTGAGAACTAAATGATAGAAAGTACAAGAAGCAGCTAATGGGTGCTGGCACGTAGTAGGTGCTCAACTAATGTGCCTGGCTATGTGCTCTGCCCTCCGCCCTCACCGCCTCAGCCCTGATGTTAACGGCGTGGCTCACTCCCTTTCCCCAGCAGTGGGGGCGCGGGCGTCCTGGGGGAGCTCCGGGCTGACCCCGCCTCGCCCCCCTCCAGTCTCAGCTCTGGTCTGACCTGAGCACCGCGTCCAGCCGTGAGCTGGTGGACAGTTTCCGCTCCAGCAGCCCTGTGCCTCCCAGCCAGCTGTCCCTGTACAAGCGGGCCGCAGCGGACTTCCAGGAGGAGCCCTGGTCTTTCAGGTAGACAGGGATGGGGGTCAGGCCCGGGGGATTCGGGCCCCCTGGTGGCTCCCTGGGGGAAGGGCCAGGCAGGGCGGAGGGCTCCGGGTCCGAGAGGGGGAGCAGGCTGGCGGCCCGAGCTGTCTTCCTCTTTGCAGCGACTTCCCAGAGACCCTGGAGGTGAACCGGGGAGCCTCCCCAGGACCTACGGCGGACGACACGGAGCTGGATTACGAGATTGTAGACAGAGCGGGTGAGTGCTCCCCTCCACGGCCCTCTGCATCCGCCCCACGCGGGGTGGGGGGGGCAGGGCAGGGACAGGTCCTTCAGAGAGGCAGGTGAGAGGGCCAGGTCTCTCTCCAGGGGCTGGGCAGTGAACTTGACCGCCGCCCTAACCGGGCCCAGGGCCTGGCTGCTCTGTGTCCTGGGTGCCCTTTCTGTTGTCACCTAGAGGCTGAGGGAGTGGGTCCACCTCCACATCCAGCTCAGCATCGATGCTCTCTCTGCCCCTCCCTGCTCTGGACGGTGGGCTTCCAGGCCTCCCAGTGACTGCAGGTGGCAGGAGGCTGCAGTCCCCGCTGCTCCGGGCCGAGGCACCTGAGGGAGCCTCTCTCCTGCGTGTGGGCACCTGCCACCTTCCCATTTCCTCTGCGGCCTGTTCTCCTCTGTGTGACTTAGCTGGCTCTCCTTCTCAAGCCCCGGGCCCCTCAAGGACAGCCTCCTTATCTTCCCCACCCTGCACAGCTGCCCTGGCGTGGGCTCGCACACAGTAGGTGCTCAGCACCGTGTCTCAAATTCACCTGATGGCCACCAGGGGGCACACACACCCCATGCTCATCTGCACAGCTGCCCTGTGTCAGATATCTCCCCGCTTCTGAGGTTGTTGGCAGCTTTATTTATAAGTAACAGGGACCAACCGAGAGGATGCACCCCAGGCGGATGCAGCGTGGGTCCTGAGGAGGGTGGTAGTCACGTGCTCTTCCTGGCGTGACTCTGCACCCTGCCCCCGCTTCCTGCCCTCACAGTGGGATCAGCCTGCGCACACCAGGGGTCTAATCAGCTTCCCCGGGCCTGCCAGGAATAGACTGCTGCCTGGGGGCTGGGCAAAGGCTGCGTGTTAGAACGCAGAGCCGGGACACGAGTCCTATGGCTGCCAGCTCGGGGCCTCCCTGGCCAGCTCGGGGTCAGGCCCAGCAGCTGGGCCCTGGCCTGGGGCGAGAGGAGGCAGCCGGCGGCCAGCGGCAACCGCTGCCGAGCAGCAGTGCTGGTCGGCGCAGCCATGCGGGCCCCGGGTTCTGCCTGACTGGCTTGTTCGGGTGAAGCTGAAAGTCCCGATTCTAGGTTCTCTACCTTATGAGGTGTTGGCAGCCTTCACGTATCACGAAGGACACAGTGCAGGTCAAACCCTGGCAGCTGCGGCCCTCCGCCGGCTCCTCCTCTTTGGGGGAAGACAAATCGAGGGCTAAGCAGCAAGGACGACAAGGGTCAGCCTCAGCGAAAGGGGCCGAGGGGACGGAGGGAGCGCAGGTGACCTCGAGGGCTAGTCTGACTCGGCGCCTAAGCCTGCGCTTCTGCCTAGACCTCCTGGAGCCGGAGAGCTGCCCGCAGCGGATCTCCAAGGACCTCTGCGTGTCCGCCAGGTGAGCAGAGGGTGGGGCCAGGGCCAGCAGGTGAGGGCCTTTCTGAGGGTGGGGTCATGGCAGAAGGGGGGGCGTGGGGAGTTCCAGAACGCTGGGGCCAAAGGGGGGCAACAGGGGGGTGTGCTGGCCGCCCCTCCTGCTCCGGGCTGCCCGCGAGCTCCGTCGCCTCCCTCCCTGCAGCAGCGTCCCCGTGCGGCGCAGGCTGGCCCGGAAGATCCTCAGCCAGGTCACGGTGCTGGCCTTCCAGGGGGACGCATTGCTGGAGCAGATTAGCATCATCGGCGGGAACCACACAGGCATCTTCATCCACCGAGTCACCCCGGGCTCGGCGGCGGACGAGATGGCCTTGCGCCCAGGCACCCAGATCGTGATGGTGAGCGTGGGGCTTTGTCGCGGTGCTTTGCTTGTCGGTGGGGTGTGTGCATGTGTGTCTGCGAGTCCAACTGCACACAACATGCAATGTACCATTTTCACCGCCAGAGCACCTTTTAAAACATTTTATTGTAAAATGTTCATTAAGCTGCAGAAAACAAAAATGGACAACTTGTTATTAAGTCAACATTGTGTTAAGTGAATTCAATGGCAGGGGGCTGACTTCGATGTAGCCAAAAAAACAGAATTATCGAACGTCAAGCTTTTCAACAATAGCAAGAAATTCACGACACAGGCGTTGCCGAGCGGTGGTGGCTGTAGGTGGGCGCGGGGTGTGACGGGGAGCCCTGGGCAGGGGCGGGAGGGGGCGGGGCCGCTTGCTGGGCCCCTGCGAGCCCCGTGGGCTTCTCCCCCGCACGGCCACCCACGCGCTCAGCTGGGCTCTGCTGTGTCTTGAATGACTTGGAAGCATGCTTCTGACGCGTGTCTCCCTGTGCTCACTCCACACAACATGAAAGCCCTTTATTCTGTTCCTGCCAGCCCTGCCGGGATCCCCAGTTGTCAGCTTACAATGTGAATCCCTCAGTGGAGCCTCTAAGTGGCTTTCACGGGGGTGGGGGGGGCGTTGCCTGGGCATCTGGCGGGTGGAGCCAGGGATGCAATTGAAACCCTGCAGGCCCAGGATGGCCCCCTGACACCAGGTGCCCTGATCCAGAGGTCCCTAGTCCCAAAGCTGAGAACCCCGTATCTAGAAAGCCCTAGAACGCTCTAGAACAGAGGCCCCTTTTGGAGAGCAGACACTCGGTCCTTGGCAGTGACCTTGGCATGCAGGGTGCTGGGAAGGGCTGGCGGTTGGCTCGGGGTGGGGACGTGCGTGGCTCGGAGGAGCCGAATCGAGCTGTCCGGTCCAGGGCCTGTGGCAGAGGTACGGGGGGGGGGGGGGGGGGGGGGCACGCACCTGCACTCGGACTTTGGCTGCAGAGCCCTGGTTGGTAGAGGCCGACTGCGGTGCCGTGCCCTCAGGTGGACCACGAGGCAACAGAGCCCTTCTTCAAGGCCGTGCTGGAGGGCGCGACCCTGGAGCAGGCTGTCGAGCTTCTGCGGAGGGTGAACGGCTTCTGCTGCCTGTCTGTGAAGGTCAACATGGAGGGTACACACTCCTCCCCGAAAAAAACGAGCTCACCTCTTGAGACTTGCCCGGCTGTCCAGTCCCGACTCTGAGCCCTGGGCCGAGCGGACACCGGGCCGCAGAGCCAGGCCACGCCCCAGGCCTGCGGGGGACCCCCGGGGGGCTGGGCACCTCCCGCCCACCGAGTCCGGCTCCTGGGACTTGGGGCAGTCCCTTCTCTGCCTCCTCCTTCCGCGTCCGGGAACCTCCCTCAGGGGGGTCCTCACCCAGGCTGACCTGCCCTCTTGTTCTCCCTGATCAGGTTATAAGAAGCTGGTGCAGGACCTGGAAGCCAAAGTGGCTACGTCAGGGGACTCCTTCTACATCCGGGTCAACCTGGCCTTGGAGGGGCGGGCGGAGGGGGAGCTGCAGGTGCACTGCGGTGACGTCCTGCACGTCACCGACACCCTGTTCCAGGGCCGCCGCTGCTGGCGCGCCTGCCGCTTCTGCCCCTACAGCATGAAGGACACCGAGCGGGGCACCATCCCCAGCTACGCACGGTGAGCGGCCGCGGCGGCCTGCAGCGGCGGGGGGGCGGGGGGCGGTGCCCCGGAGAGTGGGGTCCCCAGCGCGCCGGTGCCCGGGCTCACCGCTCCGACGGGTTTGTTTGTGAAGAGGGTCGGGCCTCCATTCTAGAGCATTCTAGAACATCGGGGACCCGAGCTCCCCGGCCTCAGCACTGTTGGCACGTGGGGCTAGCTGCCTCGGTCTGGGGGGCTGTCCTGGGCACCACGTGGCCTCGAGCAGCGTCCCCGGCCTCCCTTGGGCCCCCGATTGTGACAGCATCTCCAGGCCTTGCCAGGGTCCCCGGGGGGAGGGTGACGAGCGGAGCTGCTGTGTCCAGGACCTGCCCTGGTTTTAGCACGAAGGACCCCATCCCGGGGGGCCCTCGGCCCCAGGGCAGCCGGAGCAGCGGCCGCCCTCCCGGAGGCCCGTCCCTCGGTCAGTGTCGTGTGTCGGCCGGGCCTCCCGGCCAACCTGCACCCGGAGCGCGGCTCGGCAGGTGCAGAGAGGCCGAGGCCGCCCTCCCACCTGCTCGCGCCCAGGGCCAGACCAGTGTCCTCGGGCCACACCAGAGTGCGAGGGTCAGGAGCCGCGTCGGCCCCCGCGACCGGCACCCGGCCTCTCGGGGCGGGCGGAGGCTCCGCGGGGCTTCCGCGGGCCGGCGGCAGGAGCTGGGGGCGCCCTGCAGCTGTGCGGTCTGTCCTCTGTGCAGGGCCCAGCAGCTGCTCGTCGCCCTGCTCCAGGACATGACTCAGCAGAGCGCCGCCGCCCGCAAGGTGAGGCGGCGCCAACGGGCCCAGATCCTGGGCGAGGCGTGGGCCCTGCCTCTCCCCCCAGCCCCTTCCTCCCCCAGCGCGTGCCACCTGAGGGGACGGGCCGACCCACCCTCTTCTCTCACCCGGGGTGCGCTGGGAGAGGGCTGGGGGCTGGCGGGGGGTCGGTTTGCAGGGTGTCGGTGACCGATCTGGGGGGCCTCCCGTGAGCCCCTGCCCCGTGGGCCCCTGCACACCCTCTCGGGCGCCCACACCGTGGCCGGCCCGTGGGCTCTCCCGGCGTGGGCCCTCCCGGCGTGGGCCCGTATGCTGCCGTGCTCTCTCCTCTGTCTGCCCACTTCACCCCAATTGTCTGTCCTCTGTTCCCCGCCCTTGCTCCCTCGGAGGTCGAGGGCTCAGGGACCTGGTGCTCTCCCGACACGGGACACTCAGCTGCCCTGAGGGAGGCGCTAGGGTGCTGCCCCCCCACTGGAACAGGGCGGGGCTGTGGGGGCCCCGCGCTTCCTTCCTGCCTGATGCCCACCCTCACTGCATACACCCTGCCGGGGGACCTCTGCCCGAGGACTCTCCAGTCCCCCTGTGCCTGTCCTCACATGGGACCCGGGCCAGTCAGTGGGCACAGCCTGGCAGTCCAGGGCCACCCTGGCTGCCCCGGGGGCAGGGGCGGGTGCTGGCCCCAGGCCTGCGTGGATGGCGGGGACAACTTCCGGCCCCTTTCTCCTCCTCCGGCAGCCTTCTGGGGGACCCCAGAAGTTGGTGCGCATTGTCTGTGTGGAGAGATCCAAGGCCGGCCCCCCATGTTCCTCCTCTGACGGGGCCCAGTCAGACCCCAGCCGGCTGGGAGGTGAGGCGATGGGCTGGCAGGGGTGCCGGCGCCGGGAGGCAAGGGTGCCAGGGTCGCCGAGGTCAGGGGGCGGCCATGCCAGGGGGCCAGATCAGTGTCGTAAGAACCGTGACTGGTGCCTGTGCCTTTCGGGATAGCGGGCGAGCTGCACGTCTTTAACGTCTGCCTGTGATCTGTCCAGTGAGAGGCAAAGCCACTGATTAGGTTATGTAGACAGTGGTCCCTTTAGTAACAACGGGACGCTGTCCAAACACTGCACAGGCCAGGACACCCCTCCGATGGCTCTGCAGTGGGCGGGGTGGGCCTGGCCCGTGATGGGGGGTCGGCAGGGCACGCGCCCCCAGCAGGGGGAGCCGAGCCGTGAAGGTGACGGGAAGTCGTTTTAGAAAGAGCCAAATGGGCCTGGGCTACTGCCGTCTCCCTGAAAGGTTTCCTGACTTCGCCCTGTGAGGGGGCTGCGGGGGATGGACGAGACCTGACTGGCAGGGGGGCGGGGGCTGGAGGGAGGGAGGCATGGCGCCCGTGCCCAGGCCGGCACCGCCTGGTGTGGGCTGCGCCGTGGCTGCGACGCTGGCCCCGGAGAGCCGCGGGCTCCGTGCCCCACGGGCGCACTTGCCGTGGGCATGGGCGCGGTCCCGTAGGTGCGGGGCCTGGTGGGCGGCCAGGGCAGCCGGGCCGGGCCCTCACAGCTCTTGTCCCCGCAGAGCCCTCCGCCGGGTGCCTCTGGGCCGAGAGCAGCGTCACGCTGGCCCCCTACATGCTGGTGCGCCCGCACCGGCCCAGCCGGCCCCGGCCCGTGCTCCTCGTGCCCAGGCTCGTTGGGAAGATCCTGAGTGAGAAGCTGTGCCTCCTCCAAGGGTTTAAGAAGTGCCCTGCAGGTGCGTCCTTGTGGGGGCCCCGCCTGTCTGCCCGGCGGCGGGCGAGGCCGGGGCAGAGCCCCTCGTGGGCGTTGGGGACAGCAGTGCGAGGTTGCCGTGCAGGCGCCGTGGCTGCTGTCGCAGTTGCCACACACCGCGGGCTCCAAACTACCCGAGGTGCTCCGGCCGCCTGGAGGCGGAAGCCCGGATCCCGGACCCTCTGCGGCCGCGCTGGCCCCGCCCCCCGTGGCCGCCCCCTCCTGCCTAGGCCCCCCTGCTCCACGTGTCTCTCTGGCTTCTCCTGTCCTTCGTATAAGGAACCAGGCCTTGGATTAGGGCCACCCAGTCCAGTGTGACCTCATCTTAACCAACCCTCCCACAAAGACCCCGTTTCCCAATGAGATCCTGCTCTGAGGTTCCAGGTGGACACGCGCTTGGGGGCCTCATTCAACCCAGCGCGGTCGCTCCTGGAGAACAGACCCCTACTTAAGTGGGCGCCAGCATCGGAGGGCGCTGTCCACCTGCCAGAAGCCGGTCCGCAGCGTCCAGGAGGCGACCTGCCGGCCGGGTCCTGGACGCCTGCGGACAGAGGCCGTGTGTCTCCTCTCAGCGGCCGGCGGCTCCCGGGTGGCCGAGCAGGAGGGTGGGGCTGGTTGGTGCTTTGGTTCACCGTCACGTCACTCGCTGACGGCCACCACAGGCGCTGTCTTCTTGCTGGGGCCACAGCGGCCTGGGGGCGGTTGCGCGGTGGGAGCGGCTCTTCAGGGAGGAGGGCACAGCAGGCGCTTCCGGGGCGCTGTGGGGGCGGGGTCCCGGCCCTGCGCTGACATGGCGCAAGGCTGTCCCGTGCATTGGAGGATGTTGACTCACATCCCTGGCCTCCACCCTCCAGATGCCAGGAGTTCACGCCTGCCACCCAGTTGTGACAGCCAAAAGTGTCCCCAGATATTGCCAGTGCCAATGGGGGCAAAGCTGCCCCGGGTGGGGAACCACTGATTTCAGGGACCAGAGGGCTCCTGGGTGGGAGAAGGTGGGTATGTAACTTTGGGGTTTGGGGGAGTGCTGGAGCAGGGGTTGTTTATCGACATCTGTCTGTCCATCCATCGACCTTTCCTTCCTTCCTCCCTCCTGCCCCTGCCCCCGCCCTCCCCCGCACCTGGTGCTGACGGAGCCCTGCTCCGTCCCGCAGTCCGCGGCGCCTGTGCAGGGCGCAGCCTCCCCTGAGCGGGAGGAGCCGGCTCAGCTGCAAGGAGGCCACCCCGGGAAGAGCCTCCCCCAGAGCTGGCGGGGCCCAGGGCAGGGGTGTACAGCATGGGGCTGCCCAGGACCCCGCGCCGGTGGCTGTGTGACATCCCCATCCGCTGTCACCTGCAGAGTATTTGAGCCCGGAGGAGTACGAGGCCTGCAGCCAGAGAGGAGACATCATCCACGAGGGCGAGGCCTCGGGGGGCCACGGCTGTGTGACCCGCCCGGCTATTGAGTCCCTCATGGAGAAGGTAAGGGGCGGGGCGGGGGCTGCTCTGGGGCTTTGGGGACGCCACCTCCAGAGGGGGTGCTGGGACACGGCAGGAAGGACAGACTGTGACACCTGAGGGACACCAGCCGCCGACCCGCAGGGCCCTGGACACCCAGGCCGGCGCTCGGCCTGCTCGGGCTCGATGTCCAGCTGCACCAACACAGAAAGGCCGGCCCTGCCTTCGCCATTGAGGGTCCCCATGCCCCTCACTTCCTGGAGCCTGTGTCCCCAACGCAGGAGACATCTCATTTGCTAAATGGACACAGGGGCTCCCTGTCTGGAAAGCAGCTGCTTGTAGTACGGCCACAGCGCGGCTGGGCCAGCCGCCAGCCAGAGGCGGGAGCCCCGCTCGTCCGCACCCCGTCTCCGTCTCTGGGGACAGAGCCCAGACCCAGGGCCCCGCAGCCCCAGCCTGCAATTTCTAGACCCCCCAGGTGAAAAATGAAGCAAAGGAAAGTTCTTCCCTTACCTGTTAGTTGTTTTTTTTTAAATGTAACACTAGTCCTAGCAGTATTGTGTTTCAGGCGGGCAACATTGTAACTGGATGGCGGCAGACACTGCAGCCTGCTCACGCCTGCTTCCCACGCTCTCCCCGCATCCGACCCTCCCCCGCGGTGCCCTCCCCCCTCCCCTCTGGAAACCAGCAACCTGGTCTCCTTGTCCATGAGCTTTGGGTTTTGGTTTATTTTTGGTTTACTTTTTTGTTTATCTTCTACATGGGAAAGAAACCACAGCCTTTGCGCTTTCCCACCTGACTTTTTCACTCAGCACGACACTCTCACCGTGGGTGGAGACGCGGGAGACGGTGCGGCCCGCACCTCACTCGCGCAGGGGCACCTGTGAACTCTGCCCGCGCCTCCCGTCCAAACGCTGTCCTACGTGGTCCCCTGGGCGTCAGTCCCGCTCCCGGGTGAGGTTGTGACTCCCTCCTTCTCCCTCCAGAACACCCATGCCCTGCTGGACGTCCGGCTGGACAGTGTGCGCGCCCTGCACAGGGTGGACATCTTCCCCATCGTCGTCCACGTCTCCATCAACGAGAAGGCGGCAAAGAAACTCAAGTAGGTGTCCCAGGGACTGGCAACGGGCTCTGCCCCCGGCTGGCGCTCCCTGGACGCCCTCGTGCCCCTGGGGCACACGGCAGGGTTTCCTGGGAGTGTCCCAGGGCAGTTCCCCTGCAACTGTGGGACAAAGGTCCCACTGCCCCCTGCCTCCCGCCTTAACCCGCCGAGGCCACCCGTTCACTGGGCGGCCGCTCCGCGGGGCGTGGGCCACGCCGACAGCCGGACCGGGTCTGAGGCCAGGACGCGCCTGTGTAACAGGACAGCGACGCTGTAATCCAGAAGCACCCGTCCCTGCAGTGTCGCCTGCGGCCGCGTCCCTCGAGGGCCCCTTGAAACTGGCTGCCTGCCCCCAGGGGCGTGTGGTCCCTTCAGCTCTGGGTGGGGGGCAGGGGTGGCTCCCAGGGGCCGCCTTCCCTGAGCCGCCGCCCCCCGCCCCCCGCCCCCCGCAGGAAGGCCCTGCAGCGGCTGGGCGCCTCCGAGGAGCAGCTCCTGGAGGCCGGCAGGCGCGAGGAGGGCGAGCTGGACCGGGCGCCCTGCCTGCACTGCAGCCTGGCCCCCGACGGCTGGAGTGACCTGGACGCGCTGCTCGGCAGCGTGCGCTTCGCCATCTCGGACGAGCAGAGGAAGGTCGTGTGGACGGAGCAGAGCCCGGCCTGACGTCCGCGTCCCCCTCCCCGCGGCCCCGGGCCCTTCCCGTCCTGTCCGTGGAGCTGGGGCCTCGCGGGCACAGCGCTGGGTGCCCGCTGGCCGAGCCGTGGACGCCCCCCGCGGGAGTCTGGCTGCGCACCTCGCCGCGTGCGGGCCAGAGCGGCACCTGGGCCACTTCTCCATGTCAGCGGGGGCTTGGCGTGGTCCAGACCGGCCACCCTCCACCCCAAGGACGTACCCACGCTGCAGGGGTCTCTGGCGCCTGCCCAGGAGCCGGCAGCCGAGACGTCTTCAGGTAACTGCTCATCAGGCCAAGCCCTGCGCTTCCCAGTTGCGTTTCAGTGCAGCAAAGGGCGGCCGGCGGCCCTGGTGGCCCCCCCAAGGTCACCGCGCCCCTGCCCAGGGCTACCTCTTCTCAGCGCCTGCTTGCTGAGCTGCCTCTGGAATGCCCGCTTAGAGACACTGCTCACCGGTCAGTGGCGTCTCCAGGTGACGGAGACGGTGTCTGCATCGGGTCCAGGCCTGGGAGCCACCCCGTGCGGCCCCGGGATGGAGGGGCCCCAGGGAAGCCCCACACAGACCCCTCTGCGGGGCGCCCTCCCCCGAGGCGCGGAGTGCCCCTCTGCCCAACACCCCCCACGCTGTCTCCAGCCCCCTCAGCCCCACCCCCAGGGCCCTGGAGACACGCAGGCCGGGCTCAGGCGAGGACCCCCAGGGGCCCCCCCACTCCCGTCACGGACTGAGTATCACTGGACAGCGGTGCCCCCAGGTCTGAGCGTCCCAGGACGCTGCTCCCGAATTCCAGTCGGCGTGGCCAAGTTCAGGAACGGACTTTGGTGCATTTTATTAAAATAAGCTTTTACAGTGCTGTGTCCCGTGGCTCTCTCCCGACGCCCCTGGGAGGGAGCTGTTGGGGGTGGGAAGGGCGACAAGAGCCCCCGCCGAGGGGGGAGGGGTTTCCCAGGCAGAGCTGCTGCTCCCCGCGTGGGCGGTGGCGGGCAGGCCCGGCGATTCCCAGAGCAGCACCTGGGCCAGACCCCGGCGTCCGCCACACCAGAGGGACCAGCCCAAGGACGGGAGCGTCCTCCATGGACGTTTAAAAGGATGGACGACCACAGGATCACAGGATCAAACCCCTCACGCGGGAGCCTCTCGGGAATTGGTGGCCTGGGGGAACCCAGCCCGGAGGTCGGGAACTTGACCGCGGGCCACTCCAGGGTTTCTTCGAGACCAGAGGCTAAAGCCCAGACAACGCGTTCCCGTGCAGAGGGTGGGGGGTTTGCCCCGACCCGTCACCCACGCGGCCCGTGGACGCCCGGCTCCTGTCGCGGGAAGGGCACAGGGACACCTGGGGCTTCCAGAGGACGGGAGGGTCTCAAGGAAACAAGACCCTTTGCCGAGCCCACCCTCCCGTCATGGGCGGGACCCCCCATCCTAGGTCCCCCTGGAATTCCTGTGCCGGGACATGGCTCAGACCCAAGGACGGTGATGCCCACAGCACAGGTGGGGGCCGGGGCACCCCCGGCTCCCCTGCGGCAGAGGCGGACGGAGGCCCGCGTCAGGGTGGGTGCAGAGAGGCACGCGCGCGTGGCCGGGCCTCACAGCTCGTTGTGCAGCGGCCGACACTGGGGCGAGAGCTTCTCCTCCAGGACCCCGTCGGGTGCACACACCCAGGGGTCGTGGGTCTCCCACTGCCACTTGGCCAGCTGGCTCCGCAGCAGCCGCAGCGCCTGGGCGTAGCGCGGGTCGGCGGCCAGGTTCTGGGTCTCACGGGGGTCCCGGCTGCGGTCGTAGAGCTCCCAGCGCTCCCGGTAGTAGTAGTGGCGGAGGTCCTTGTACCAGCCTGTGGGCTGGCCGGCCGTCGTGCGGTTGAGCAGGTCCTGGAAGGTGGCTGAGACGTACAGGTCCTGGTCGATGGGGAAGGGCATCTTGAAGTGCAGGTTGTGCACAAGGCGGAGGGGCCCATGCTGCACGGAGCGCATGGGGTAGGACATGGTGACCTCGTGGTGGCTCTGACTGCCAAAGACGGTGGCCCAGGGGGGCTCGGCCTCCAGAGCCGGCAGGAGAGACCGGCCGGTGAGCTGGACGGTCTTCGAGCCAAAGATGGCGTAGCGGGGGTAGGGGACGGAGAACCAGTCCAGCACAGTGGGCGTGAGATCTGCGAAGGAGGCGGCCTCAGCAGGCGGCCACGCCACCCCAGTCCGAGCCACCCTGCAGAGCCGGGGGGCCGCCTCCCACGTCCAGCCACCCATAGGGAGGCGCTCCCGCGGGCCCAACACCCGTCCCTGCCGCCCGCCTTTCTGGGCCACAAGGCCTCTGGTGGTGGCCTTCAGGGCCCTTCTAAAACCTTTCAGACCAGAAAGACAGTCCCCATGGGGGCTAATCTAGTCCTGTTCCGTGCTGTGGCCACAGCGTCTGGAATCGCCAGGAACTTGGCAGAAATGCAAGGTCTCGGGCCCTGACCCAGACCTACGGCATCAGACACGCAGGGGGTGGGGTAGCAAGACAGTAAAAGGCTGGGCTGGCGTCCGAGCTGGGCCTACGTGCTGCGTGAGCTCGGGCCGCTCACTTCGCCTCTGAGCCTCCGCCCTGCCTTGTTAGGTAGAATTGGGGTCCCTTCCTCACCCAGGGGGGCCGGGAGCCCCGTGAGGCAGTGGGTGTGGGGCATTGCGGTCCCCCGCCCTGCGCGACGCCAAGCCGTACCTAGGAGGCTCACGTAGGCCTCGCTGACCTGGCCCCAGCGCTTCCGGTGCTCTGGGGACGACACCAGCAAAGGCTCCGCAGAGCCCGGCCAGTACAGGTTGGTCCTGCCGCTAGGGAAGGGGATCCCGTTGTCAGACGTGAACAGCACCAGCGTGTCGTTCAGCACGCCGGCGGCCTGCAGCTCCTGCAGCACCAGGCCGATCCCTGCGGGCGGGAGGGGCCGCAGCCCAGCCTGAGGCCTGGGGAGGCACGGCCGCAGGACCCCGCGCTGCCGCGCCCCCCCCCCCCCCGCCCGGACCCCCCGCCGAGCCCTCCCCTCCAGGCCGCTGGCTACCCCTCGGCACCTCCCCGTCCCCCCACACGGCTGCTGGCTGCACACGCTGGCTTTTGTGTTTTCTGGAATCTCAGGCCTGCCCCGTGGAGCGGAGGGGCAGCCCCGGGCGGGGGCTGCAGGCAGGAGGCCCTGCACTCCCACCGCCTGCCCAGGTCCCTGTGGATGAGCAGCACGAGCAGCGGGGCGTGAAGGTGCCGGTGCCCCGTGGCGGGTAGAAAGGCAGTGCCCCCGACCCCCCAAACACGTGTTCACCCAGAGTCTGTAAACACGACCTTATTTCAAGGGAGGGTTTCGACAGACAGAACTGTCGCTCGGGGTCATATCGTTCCAGAGGACCCGGGAGGGCCCTGAACCCAAGGACAAGGGATAGGACAGGAGGAGGCCACGTGACTGCAGGCACCCCAAGAGGGCCCGGAGCCCGGGAGCACCTGGGCCCCCAGAACCTGGGAGAGGCAAGGGCGCGCCCGCCCTGCGAGGGCACAGGCCCCGCCGATGCCTGGCCCAGCCCGGGCCGAGCGGTGGCTCACACGCCCCAGGGCTCCGGACCCACCTTGGTCCATCCGGCCTATGGTGGTGTACTGAGCGGCCAGGTCGGCCCGCGCCGCCGGGGTGTCTGGGACGAAGTAGGGCACCTGGGGCAGGGGGGTGCAGGGTCAGAGTTAGAACAGAGGTGTGGGGACAGGAACCAGCCCTTGAATTAGGGAAGAAGACGGAGGTGCTGGCGCCCCCCGAGGGCCTGAAACCCTCCTCCTCCTCCCTATGAACGGAGGAGCCCCGAGGTCCTCGGCTCCAGATACCCCACCCGCGTCTCTAGGCTTCTCCCTGCAGGCGCCTCAGATGGGGGCCTGGATCCTGCGAGTCAAAGGGTCACTCCTTCCAGGCTAGGCCGGACACCTGGGGCCGGGTGCACACTCACGGCGGGCGCGGGGCGGGGGCCAGGCTCTCCGGACTTCCCAGGGAGAGGAGTCAGGGTGGGCGGGCGCCTGGGGAACTCGGGGAGGGGCCCTCCTACCTGCACATCCTGTGGGGCGTAGATCTGCGGGGTCCAGTCTGGGATCCGCCCCATGCCACTCTCCCCGTTGCCGAATTTCTCACAGAAGGCCCCGAACTGGGGCTGGGAGTGCCCGCAGCGGTGGGGGTCGTGGAAGGCGACGTACAGGAAGAAGGGCCTGCGCCGGCAGGGGCCTGAGTGCCGAGGCCTGGCTCCCCCCTGCTGGGGGCCCGCCCCCCTCAGGAAGGAACGCTCCTCTCGGCTTTGCCCGCTCCCACCACTGAAAGTCTCCTGGGAGCCTCACGGCCTCAGTTTCCCCATGTCCCCTCTCTCTGACCGGGTTAACTGGAGTGTCTGGAGCCCTCCCCCATCCCCCGCCGCCGCCTGGGAAATTCCAAACAAAGGCTCTGGGACTAGGTCCAGCCCTGGGGGGGAGCCAGGGGAAGGGGCAGGGGCCCGGCCAGCACCTGCCGTCCCCCGTGCGCAGAAACTCGCGGACCAGCAGCTTGATTCTAGTGATGTTCCGCCCCACCTGCAGGACCGACTCATTCTCTTCCGTGTGCGCGAAGTCGAAGGGGAACACGGCCTCTGGCCCCACGTGCTTCTTCCCGATGATGCCTGGGGCGAGAGAGGCCGGTCCCCTCCAAGGCCTCCCACTCCCCCCTGCTCCCTTCTCCGCCCCCTGCCCGACACCCACGCACAAAGGCAGCCCAGGCCCTCATTCTCGCGGACCCAGGGCCCAGCCAGGAGGCCCGGGTCCCCGGGGACCGGCACCCCGAAGCCCTCACCGGTGCGGACGCCAGCTCGGCGGAGCAGCAGCGGCAGGCTCCGCACGCCTTCGAAGGCGCTGAAGTGGTGGACGTCCTGGTGCAAGCCATACATCCCGTTCTGATGCTGCCGGTGGGGACGCGTGAGCTGGGGCAGGGGAGCCGCCGCCGACGCGGAGGCCTGCTCCTGCTCGCCCCTTGGCCTGCCACCCTGGCGCTCTGCGGGCCAGGTTTAGCCTCCAGGAGACCGGCCCCCTCCCACTCCTCCGAGGCCCACAGGCCCCTCCGGGGACTCGCGCGGGGCACACCAGACTGGGATCGTGTGCACCCAGCCAGGGCGGCCTTTGCTCTCCCCTTTTTTCCTGCACTTTCCAACTTCTTTACTGTGAGCACGCGTCATAGGCAGAAAAAAGACAGCTGCAGGCCTCTTTTTATTAACCAGCGGTCTTACAGCGTAGAACACATCGCTGCACGTGTTACGCCGACCAGAAAGGCGTCAGCGGATAAAGAAACGCCCCCGCCTCTTGGCTGCAGCCCCCACGCCCAGCGGCCTGATTACCCTCTCGGGGAGGTCTGTGCTCAGGCCCCTGTCCCCGGTCCACGGCGGCCCCTACTGCCAGCGTCCCCCTCGCCGGCGGGGACGCCCAGAGCGCACCTGGCCACCGTTAGATCACGTCACGTGGGCAGTGGGCACGGAAGGGCAGCGCCGCCCGGAGGGGCGGGGGGCTCTCCCTCCACCGGCCCCGCTCCTGCCCGACCCTCACCTGGGGCAGGCCGGTGAGGAGGCTGGCGCGGCTCGGGGAGCAGCTGCTGACGGAGGTGAAGGCGTTGCGGAAGACCAGGCTGCGGCGGGCCAAGGCATCCAGGTGCGGGGTGGCGATGGCGCTGTTGTTGTAGGCGCCGCTCTCGAAGCCTCCGTCGTCCGCTGAGGAAGGCGGGAGACACAGAGGCCCTGGTGGGCTGGGCTCAGGGGGAGCCACGTGTGCAGCGGGGGAGGCCTGGGTCCTGCGGCAGCAGCCTGGGCCAGTGATGCCCGGGCGAGTGCGGCACCGGGCGGGCACCATACCTGGGAGAGCGTGACGCCCAGGTGGGCAGGACCCAAGTGGGCATGACCACTCGGCAGCAGTGACCCTCGAGCGGCAGTGCTACCAGGTGTGTGTGACATCTGGGCGGGCCTGTCAGCAGGTGCAGGGCGCAGGTGAGCACATGAGCAGGCAGGTGGGACGGGGCGGCGTTGGGCCCGGCAGACACCACACAGGGACGCAGACCTGGGGCCCCCCTCACCGGCGTCCTGGGAGGGTGCTGACTGGACACCCCCGCCCCCCCCGGGGAGAGCGGTTTGTTACCCTCGGCTGAAGGCCCCGTGGAGACCACACAGCTTATCAGAAAGAGGGACCCTGGCAGAAAGCCAGACCTCAAAAGAGGAAGTAACGGGATTGCCTTGTGATGCCTGCTGGTCACCCATATGCAAGTCTCGTGGGCAGCAGCAGGGCGCTGGAGGAACTTGGAGTTTCTGGGAGGGGATGGCCTTGGGAAAGAGGGCAGGTGTGGAGCGGGGAGCAGAGGCCTGGGGGTCGGAAAAACCGCTGGGGAGGAGATGAGAGCCCCAGGGCACTCTGGCTGGCATCTGGGGATTGGGCGCCAGCCCTTCCTCTGGCATCCCCTCTGGGATCTGTGGACCCCGGAGTTCTGGGAAGCCGCCGGCCTCCCGAGCCGGGGGCTCGGGGCACGGGAGGGGGTGCACGGTCAAACCCCCGGCGAGAGTGGGGTGCTGAAAGCTGGGGCCGGTCCCTGCAGACCCCGCGGTGGGCGAGGCTGCTCTGCCTCCTCCAAGGGAACGACCATGAAGTGTCGGGGAGACGCAGAGACGGGGACGGGAAGGGGATGGCAGGGAGGGCGTCAGGGCGCGCTGGGTCGCCAGTGATCGCTGCCGCAAAGTAGCCGCTTCTGGGGGCGACAGCGGGCGGCGGCGGCGGGCCGGCGAGGACGCACTCACCGACGATCAGCAGCGCGTTCCGGGGGCGCGCCTGGTGCGCGAGACAGAGCCCCAAGGCGGGCAGCAGAGCCCAGCAGATCGGCCCCAGGCGGTGCATGGCGGCGGCTCCCGGCCCCGCCTACCCGCGGTCACGTGGGCGACAGTCCCCGCCCCGCACGGTCACGGGGCTCCGGGCCCCGCCTCGGCCCCGCCCCTCGCTCCCCCTCCCGTGCGGTTCCTGCGGACGCCGCTGCGGCGACGAGGAGACCTGCTGCTGCGGCGCCTGGTGAGTCGGCGACGGGGGGCGGGGGGCGGCGAGGGGAGGCGAGGGGCGGCGAGGGGCCCGGGAGGGGTGGGCGCGCTGCCGGGGACGAGCTGGGGTCGCCGGGGGTGGCCGGCGCGGCGGGCGGCCCGGGGCCCGAGAGTGTGGGCGCCTTCCGCGGGGACCCCCGCTGCCCACCCCCGCGTCCCTGTTCACGTCCCTGCCGCCTTGGGTCTTACTGGGGCCGGTGGGCTGCGGACCGTCAGGCGGGGTGGGGTCCTCACCCTTAGACGCCGCGGTCCGGGCCAGGCTCCGGGGGTGGGGGACGGTTCGGTCCAGAGCAGCCCCGCGGGGGCGGGATTGGGGTGCCCATGGAAGATGCTGCGCACTTGGAATTAGTGGAGGGACCTCTGACGTTTTCCAGAACCAACTAGAATCCGTGGGGCGCCTCTAGGGATGCGATGCCACAGGTGGGGGCGGGAGTAATGCGCAGCCTCAGGAAGGGAGAGCCCCCCAACCCCCGCCCGCACCCGCGCCGCAGTGGGCCTTAGTGCGCACTTAGAAAACCCGGGGCCCTCAGGCCTTCCAGCCCCCCACCCACGCCCCAGCAGCTAGACGAGGCTGCCCCCCCTGAGCCTGCCTCTCTCTGCGTTCCTGGCAGTTAGATTTTATTGGGGGGGATGGAGGGAAAGGAAACAAATTCTTCCGAGAAGAGAAAGCGTGAGTGTAATTTGTGTTTAGGCTTTTCATTGAGGAATGGATTATTTTGTTCTTCCCAGCAAGCACGGATTAGGGGAGAGAAGGCACCTGGGGTTTGGGCCGGTGGGATTCAGGGGGAGCAGGGGAAGGGAGGAGTGGGGTGGGGAAGGGGGAGGGCTCCACCACTGGTTGAGGCCCCCAAACCCATGTGGCGAACACCCCGGGGTGGGGACCGATGGACCGTGTCTCTCCTGGACCCTCGCCCTGTTGCTGGGTTCTCCGAAGCCCAGACCCTGACTGCTGGTCCGGATCCCCCGACAGGTATGTCATCTTCCCTGAAGGCGATGGAGCGGGCCACTCCCTGGCCTCCCGGCCTGGCCCCGATGGCCTGCTGCTGCTCCCGGGCGACCCTGCAGAAGTGGCTGCCCATCCTGGCCTGGCTGCCCAGCTACTCCATGCAGTGGCTGAAGATGGACTTCATCGCGGGGCTCTCGGTCGGACTCACAGTCATCCCCCAGGCGCTGGCCTACGCTGAGGTGGCCGGGCTCCCCGCCCAGGTGAGGGGTCTGCCCCCACGGCCCCTCTGCAGTGCCTGACCCCCGTCTGGGCCTGGCGCCTGCCCAGGAGCAGCGTAGGAATGCACAACATTGGCCCCAGACAAGGGGGCAACCAGGGCTCAGGCCGCGGGATCGAGACGCCTTGGTGTGCGACCTGGAGCACATGACTGCCTTTGGGCAGACACAGCGCTGTGTGGGGCGGTGTCACATTGCCACGCAGGCACCGGGCTAGCGCTGGGTTGCCTGGTGGGGCTGGCGGGACGCTCAGAGGCAGAGGTGACGTCCGCGCGCTTTGGTGCTCACGGGCCGCAGGGCAGAGGGCCCCGGTCGCTGCAGGTCGGGGTCCATGGGTGAGGGAGGGTGGGCGGTTTCCCGGCCCGTGTGGGCTGGGGCGCCCTGTGCCCACCCCGGGCCCCCGCAGGCCCCTGCGCTCAGACGTCTGCACCAGGGACCCCGTGAGCCTGCGTCCTGAGAGGGAGCTCACGGCTTTCTCTCCCCAACAGTACGGCCTGTACTCCGCCTTCATGGGGTGCTTTGTGTATTTCTTCCTGGGCACCTCCCGGGACGTGACGCTGGGCCCCACGGCCATCATGTCTCTCTTGGTCTCCTCCTACACCTTCCACGAGCCCGCCTACGCTGTGCTGCTGGCCTTCCTGTCCGGCTGCATCCAGCTAGCCATGGGTTTCCTGGGCCTGGGTGAGACTCCTGGGCCTTCCTGTCGTGGGGCAGGGGACCTGCGCTGCTGCTGTTCCTGGGGACCCGAGTCACCTGCCTCTTGGGGATGCCCTGCCCTCAGCATTTCCTTCTTTGCGTTTCAAGGACTACCCCTGTGAGGGTGGGGTGGGGGGCCCTTGGACCCTAGCCTCCCCGTCCTGCCCTTGAAACCAACCGGAACGGCGCGCCAGCCGCACCCACACCCCGTCTCCCGGCCCGGGTCCGCCCGAGTGTCTGGGACCAGCTCAGTGCCCCCTCTTGGCCCACCAGGGATCCTGCTGGACTTCATCTCCTGCCCCGTCATCAAAGGTTTCACCTCCGCTGCCGCCATCACCATCGGCTTCGGGCAGATCAAGGTGAGCGTGCTGGCTGGCAGCGGGGCGCCTGCCGGTAGCAGGAGCAGGGCCCGTGCCCGTGCGCGCGCGGGCCGGCCGACAGGCTGCCTTCCAGAGCTCAGAGCACGAGGCCTCACGTGGTCTCCCTGAATAAAACGAACCCTGGGGGAGAGGTGGAGGGACAGTCACGTTCTAGAGCAGGAAAGGGGAGAGGGGGCGGTCGCGACAGCCCGTGGTCTCGGGGGCCTCTCTGCCGGTGCGCTCTGTTTGGCTCCCAGAGCGCTCTTGTGCAGAGCGTACTGCCAAATTCTGACAGATTACTCCCCACGCTCACAGAGCTGATTTCGTTTTTATGTGTTCTTTAGAATTTGTGCTCAGTGTTTTCCAAATGCCACACTTCTTTGTTTTGCTGTTTACACATCTGTAAGAAGCAGCGGAGTCGTTTACTCTGCTTCCAGCACCTTCTACGTTCCTGGGGAGTAGGGGCTGTGTGCCTGTGCTGGGCGTAGGGGAGCTAAGGGCTCGGCTGCGTGTGCAGAATGAACTGAGCCCAACAGCCCAAACGAAGCCAAGGGCCCCTCCCCTGGCAGACTCTGGGCCCCACCCCTCCTGGTGACCTGGGGCCACCATCGCTGCCTCTGCAAGGTGGGGTGCCCGCGCAAAGCTCTGCTCGGGGCTGGCCCCTGAGTGTCTCCCCCGGGGAGAGAGCACCGAGGAGGAGAGGGCTGTGTGCGAACAAGCAGCCCTCCTCCTGTGTGTGAGGTACCGGGAAATGCTTTTCCTGCGTTAAATCCTCTCGGTACCCGTGGGAGGTAGGTGCGTGAACGGTGCCACGTGCGCCCACGGGGCTGTGCACACCGCAGGGGAAGCTGGGCCAGCGCTTTTTGGTGGGCCAGTCTCGTCTTTATCTGCAAACGAGGCCCTTCATCTTTCCTGGTAGCAGGGGTGACTTACAGGTCGTGGCGGTCATGGAGGGCAGCTGCTGGTTGCATTCGGTGCTGGGAGACCCTAGGTCCCCGAAATCTGGGGCGCAACGGCTATCGGAGAGGGCCCCCCGGACCAGCCAGGACAGACGCCCCAGCTGGTGTCCCCGCACCTCTGTGCCTTTCCCCTCAGGGCTGTGTGGGCGTGGGTTTGGGGTCAGCCCTGGCCTATTGCCTGGACTCCTGTCCCCCCCCCCCAGATGCCCCCAACCTGCTCTCTTGCCAGATAGAGGACTAGAGCGCACAGCGGACCCCCTTTCCCCTTCCGAGGACCCACTGCAGAGCGGGAGGTCCGGGCTTGGCCAGGGGTCACCCAGCTGCTTCTCCGGATGACCTGCAATCCCGGGGTTTTGCCACGACGCCTGCGCTTCGATTTTCCTCTTGGCGGGGGGGGGGGGGGGGGGGGGGCGGTGCCGGCGGGCGGGCCTCCAAGTGGTGGACGCAGCCTGGGGCCAATTCAGTGACGGACGCGGCTGCGGGCCAATGACAATAGGGCCTGTGAGGCAGGGGCGGGGCGGCCGCGCTGCTGCCCGCTGCGCTGTCGAACCAGTCTCCCGCTTTGAGATCTTCCCTTTTCCCAGAAAAGAAAAGCTGCTAGGGTGTGTCATTAACCTCAAGTGATGTGAAATTCCCTTTCCCCTGGGGATAACTTTGATCTGTTTTGGGGAACTCCGAGAACAGGCAAGTGCATCCCCGGACCCGTTAGAGGTGTCCGCCGGAAGGGCCGGGTGGGGAAGGGTGACTGATCAGAGCTTCTGTTTGAACAGAACCTGCTGGGACTGCAGCACATCCCCAGACAGTTTTTCCTGCAAGTGTATTACACCTTCCGCAACATCGGGGAGACCAGGTACCCTGCTGGCTGTTTTCTGTCCCCCTGTCGGGAAGCTCTTCCTTCCGGACCCCGCTCCTGGTCCGTCCCTTTCCACTGCCAGGTGGCATTTGTTTCATCCTCTGGGCCTTGCCGCTCCAACGGGTCCCTGGGGCCACGCCGCCAGGATCACCAGCGAGCTGGCCAGCCCAGACCTGCGGGGTCGGTCAGGTGCATGTGAGAGGGGGAGGCCTTGCTCTGGGCCACGTGTGAGCTGGTGACTGCGACTCCGTGCAGAGCCTGCCTTGGGGGGAAGAGACCGCATTGTAGAGAGGCCAGGTGTCCTCAGAAAGACCGTAGTTCAGTGAGGAAGGGAGAACACAGAGCCCGAGGGAGACAAATGCCCACGGGTTGTGCTGGTGGCCGGGGACGATGGCAGGGAGGGCGGGGACGAGAACCGGTGTCCCTGCGTGAAGCATTTCCCTCCCACGGAGGGGACAGACAGGAGACGCTCCTAGGTGAGTGCGGCTGGAAGCCAGGACACCTGTGGCCGGGAGGCATGACCTGAGGGCAGCTGTAGGAGGTCCTGCCCGGCGAGCAGTGCCCAGGCCTGGAGGGAGCGGGGAGGCCCCGTGACCGCCCTCGGCTTCCTCTGTGACTGGCTGCTGAGGCGTCCGGGGGCCGACCTCCCACCGGGGACATGCAGCCAGTGGGGGTCAGAAGTGGAGGCTGACCGGATGGAGACACCTCATGGGCTGTCGGAAGTGAACCTTCTGGAACAGATGAGGCCGGTGTAGTTCAGGGAAACCACGTGACCAGAAACAGGAGCCCGTTGTCCTGCCGTTGTGACCACCGCCTCTGCTCCCGGTCCGGCACCAGCCTGTGTGCTTACTGAGCTCTGAAAGAGAACAGGGACCCGGCCTTCTTAGGAAAAAGCAAAGAGAGCCCTAGAGAGAAAGAGCTTTCCAGCAGAAGGGTCCCCCGTAGGCCAGAGGGGCGTGCCATCGGCAGGCTGGGCGGTGACCCGCGTCTGTCCCCAGGGCCGGCGATGTCGTGCTGGGGATGGTGTGCATGCTGCTGCTGGTCATGCTGAAGATGATGCGGGAACACGTGCCTCCTGCGCATCCCGACATGCCCCCCGGCGTGCGGGTCAGCTGCGGGCTGGTCTGGACCGCCACGACAGGTGAGGGCGCTCGGGCCGAGGGCCCGCCCCGCAGCGGTGCCGCGCGCCCGCGACGAGCTGCCAGGGGCACGGGACGCGCGGGTGCTGGGGCGAGGCCACGGCGGGGGAATCTCCTGTCCCTGGTCTGGCTGGGAGTCGGACGCCAGGGTATTTACAACTGCAGGCTGGCTCTGATGCGCAGCTGGGCAGGAGCGCTGTTCCGCGTCAGGGCGTCTCGGTTCTGCCCCCGGGCACCTGGTAGTGCCTGGAGACGTGTTTGGTAGACTCCGCCGGACCAGGCTGTTACAGGCGTCCAGGGGGTAGAGGCCAGACGTGCCGCCGAATGTCCCGCCCGCCGGGTCAGCTGTGCGGAGGCTGAGAGGCCCTGGTGCGTGGCAGAAAGCTGGCCCTGACGGGCTGTGTGAGCCGCGCCTGCGGGGGCGCGGTGTCCTGGTTTGGGCATGACCGTTCCCTGGGCAACAGGCTCCCTAAAGAAAGGCACCCGTAGCAGCTGGAGAAGGAGGGTTAGTGTGGCCATCGCTGCGGGAGGGCCACCTCTGGGGAGGTGGGGACCTCTCCTCAGAGGTCCCCACCATCGCTGAGCTGCCAGTCAGTGACACACAGAGAGGAAGGCAGGAACAGGACAGCAAGGAAGCATAGGCACCCACAAGACCTTCTCGGAGCTGAGGGGGCGTGGAAATCACCCTGTGCTTGGCCCCCCTCTCCCGCGGCCACAGGATCCAGCGGCTGGAGGAGGCCGGGTTGCCAGAGTCAGCCCTTGAGTCACTTCCAGCTGCTCAGGTGGTCCCCAGTCCCGAGTCACTCACCAGACCCCGGCCGACAGAGTAGGAGCTGCGAGTGAATGCCGAGACCGCGCAGGTGGAGGGCACAGGCTTAGTGTGCAGACACGCGGCTTGCCGCCCTGCTTTGCCGCCTTCCTGGCATTTCATCGTTCAGGAGCCACTCCCCAAAGTCTCTGGGCTTTACTTCCGCCATCAGCAAACTGGCAAAATCAGGCAAACGCTCCGTCCGTAAAACCTTGACGCTCAACATGTGGCCCGGGACCAGCCGCTGCCCATCCTCGGTGGCTCGTCGGAGATGCAGATCCTCAGGCCCGCACAGGCCTCTGACTCCCACCTGCATGTTAGCACGCGAGACCGAGGCTGCGCAGCTGAGGGCTCCTTGGGCCGCGCCGCCTTCCTCTCCAGAACCCGTAGCGTCACTTGAGAAGACCAGGACCAGCTTCTATTTCATTCATCTCTGTAGCGCTTGTATTTTCTAGGTCATCGATTTGTGCTCTGATCTTTAGTATTTCCTTCTGCTTACTTTGGGTGTCGTTTACCTTTATTTTTCAAATTCTTAAGGTGGAAGCTGAGGACTTTGGTTTGAGACCTTTCTCCTTTTCCGGTCGGCGTGCTGTCCGTTTCCCTCAAAGCACTGCTCTCGCTGCATCCCGCAGTTGTGATCGGTTGTTTTCATCTGGTGCTAAATGCTTTCCGACTTCCATTTTGACGTCTTGGACTCAAGGATTATTTAGAAAGGGAGTATTTAATTTCTCCATTTGAATCGGAGGCTGCTTAGAAACTATTTAGTTCCAAAGATTCGGAGATTTTCCAATTCGTATAGTCCATTGATTTCTAATTTAATTTCACGGTGGTCAGAGAACCTAGCTTGTGTGTACATACACATACTGAACTACAACTTTTCCAAAATGACTCTTTTTGTCCTTGGTAACATCCTTTGCTCTGGAATCTGTTTTGTCCGACATTCATAGAGCTGCCTCAGCTTTCTTTGATTAGTATTAGCATAGGTTTTTCCATCCTTTTACTTTTATTACTTAAAGATTTAATTTATTTATTTCAGAAGGGAGATAGGAGAAAGAAATTGAGGTAGAGAAACATCGGTGTGTGGTTGCCTCTCTCGTACCCCCTGCTGGGGACCTGGCCCACAACCCAGGCCAGGGTTTACTAAATCAGTCAATCAATCTAGTTTTGAAATGCAGTTAATTTTAGCGAGAGAAACACACACACACATTGAGTTGTTGTTACATGTAGTGATTCACCCCCATTCACCGATCCCTCGTACGTACCCTGGCCGGGGGCTGAACCCACAGCCTGGGTGTATTGGGACGACACTGACCAGCGGAGCTCCCTGGCCGGGGGCCCCCGTCGGTCCTTCAGCGTCCTCTCCTGCCTTCCAGCCCGCTCTGTTTAAGACAGGAAGTCTGCTGTCTTGCTCACCTCTGCTCCTCTGTATGAGACCTTTTTCTCCAGCTGCTTTAGGAGACTCCCTTTATCACTGGCTGGAGGTGATTGGACATGCATTTGGAGTTTGCTCCCCTTCACGTTTGTTCTTCTTGGAGTCCCCTGCGCTCCTTGGATATGCGAGTTGCAGTGTTCATCAAATTTGGAAAGCATTGCAGCCATTACTTCTTCACACTCTTGTGCTGTCCCCCTCCCTGCCCCCCCGACGCCTCGGGCTTCTGTGCAGACCCACATGGGGTGGGCTCCTTAAGTTGCTCCGCAGCTGCTGGCGCTCCATCTGGCGTCTCCTCTCTGCGCCCCACTTTGAATGCCTTCTGCCGCCGTGGCTCCCGGGCCCTGGGGCTCCCAGCAGCCCCTAACCTGTGGGGGGCCCATCCAGCATATTTCTCCTGTCAGACGTTCAGGTTTCCATTTCCAGAAGTTCCATTTGGGGGTCCTCTACACACACACACACACACGATTCCCCGTGTGTCTTGTCCGGTTTTTAGTTCTTTGGGCGGCCCGGAGAGCCTGCTCAGTCACTCCATCTTGCTGCACGGCCGAATTGCCCTGGGACATCTGACCTCAGAGTGGTTCCAGCTGTGCTGTTGGCACTGCAGCCTCTGGTGACCAGTAGATGGCATGCGCACTGGTGCTGGGCGCTGCCCGTCCCCTGCCCCACCAAGTGCCTTTGTCGCAGGTGTCCCCACTGTGCCCCCGGGTGGCGTGTGAGGGGGTGTGGCCTGGGTGGAGTCTCGGCCTCCTTACCCGGGATGCCCAGGCCCCACCCACACGCTTCTCTGTCCCAGCTCGGAACGCCCTGGTGGTCGCCTTTGCTGCGCTGATCGCCTACTCCTTCGAGGTGACCGGATGCCAGCCTTTCCTCCTCACTGGGAAGATAGTCGAGGGGCTCCCGCCCCTGCAGAGCCCCCCCTTCTCGTTGTCCACTCCCAACGGGACGGTCTCCTTCACTGAGATGGTCCAGGTGGGTAGAGACGGGAGCCAGGCCGGCCTGGCCGGGGTCGCCGGGGCCCCCGGAGCCACGTGCTCGGTGGCCCGGAGCCCTGAGCTCAGCTAGGAGCTCACCGCACGGAGGGGGGTGTCTGGGCGTGGGGACAGGCGGGGAGAGTCCAGATGGGGCGCAGCCGTGGGAACCCGCGTCTGCTCCCCTGCCTGGAGCCCAGGGGCGTTCCTGCTGCCGTGATTGTGGGCGTGGCAGGGGTGGGCTGCGTCCCGCTCCTCGCAGGATCGGGGAGACCTCCGTGGCTGCGCGAGTTCCCAGCGCCGTGGTACAATCTGCGCGCCTGCTCCGCCGGACGCGGGGGAGCCGGGTCTGCCTGGCCTCCCTGCCAGGGCTGGTGGGCAGCTGGCCTCGAAGGAAAGCAGTTTTAAGTCATGAGCGAGATGCGCGAGAGCTCGAAGATGTAGATTCCAAGACGCCCCCCCCCCCCAACACACACACAACAAAGGACCATGAGAAGAAACACGAAGACGGGGGAGCGGGACGTACTGCAAACCCACACGCGGGGACCTCGAGCCGCTTCCGGGTTCGGAAAGGAAAGCCTTTCAGAAAGGACGGCGGCTGTGAGTCCTTTCCTCTCCCTCCCAGGACATGGGGGCCGGGCTGGCTGTGGTGCCCCTGATGGGTCTCCTGGAGAGCATCGCGGTGGCCAGGTCCTTTGGTAAGGTGCCCAGCACCCCGCCCTCCCCCCGCCCCGCCTGCCTGCCACTCGTGGGTGCAGCCCGTGCGCACGCGTGCGTGTGCGTGCGTGTGTCAGGTGTGTGTGTTCGTGTTTGCGAAGCTCAGTGCTGTAGGTGGGCGTGTGTGACCTGTTCATTTCATGGACGTTTTCCCACGGATGTCATCTGTCTAGCGACAACATTTTTATCATTCCTTTAGCGTCTCAAAACAACTACCGCATCGATGCCAACCAGGAGCTGCTGTCCATCGGTGAGACCCGCGCGCCGCTCTCGCGAGGCCGGGGCGTGTGTGTGGGACCAGTGGCAGTGGCGCTTGTGACAAGGAGCGGGGAGCAGGGCTGGCCCTGACTTAGGCCTTTGCGGTGGTCGCATGGACTCATTCTCAGGTCTCCCGGGGGCCACTTTAACTCCCCGGATGAATGGAGGGCTGGCAGCTAGCGCCCATGCGGAGCATCGCTGTGGGCCAGGCCCCGGGCCCGGCGGCCTGGTTCACGCCGAGTGCCCCGGACGCCTCTCGGCAGGCGTGGGCTGAGGCGCTCCGTGCTTGGGTCCCAGCCAGGCCCCGGGTGTGGGTTCTGCTCAGCACAGGGTAATCCACGTTGCCTGGGGAAGCGGCTCAGTAGGTGTGACCCGCCCCTCAACGTGGAGAACGGCGGGGGCAGCTGCCCCCTGACACTTCGGGCCCACCTGCCCAAGATTCCCTCGGCCTCCTGTCTCCCTGGGGCGGGGCGCGGGGGGCATGGTCACGCACGGGCAGGGCCGCCGCCGCGGGAGCTCGGGTTCCTCGCCCTTCCCTGTGAGAGCCTCGGCAACAGGACACCCGGTGGGGCTGCCGCTGCCTGCTGCCCTCCTGTTTCCTTCTGGCCTCGCCTCCTTCCTGCTGCCTCCCACCTCCTTTGTCCTCCATCTATGCCCTTCCCTCCCGGAGGCGCCCACCTTTCCCGTGTTTTTCCCCCTAGGCCTGACCAACATGCTGGGCTCCTTTTTCTCGTCCTTCCCGGTCACCGGCAGCTTCGGACGGTGAGTGCCTCTGTGCCCCTGGGGAGGTCCCGGTTGCGCTCCCGCTCCCAGATCTGGCTTCCCCTGGCTGCGCCCTGGCCCCCATCCTCACCCTGATTCCTTCTCCTGGTTGCAAGGTGACCTGTCCCGGCAGCAGCTGGTGACCCTTGGTCAGCTGCTCCGGCGTCTGGGGAGGAGTGGGGGTTTGCCTTGCTTCTCTCCAGGATCTCCCTGGTATGCCCGTGTGCTAAGGGTTAACCCTAAAACGTTCGGGGTGCATCGGGTGCCCGGCGTCTCGGTGGCAGAGCTGGTCCCTGAGGCGGGTGGGGGCGGGACTGCGGCCCTGCCCGAGGAAGGGCGAGCAGCCCACAGCGTCCACTCCATCCGGGTGTGCGGACTCTGCGGCGGCGTTGGTGGCATTGCCCTCAGACAGGCAAGAGGGCAGGACAGAAAAGTGGCCTGTGGGGAAGGAGAAAAGGAGGCGCGTCCAGCAGCGCCAGCCTGGGCCCGAGTCCTCAGAACCACTGGCCAGCCCTGTCTGAGTCCTGGGCCTCGCAACACGCTCAAACCACCGCGCCCAGCGGACGCAGGACACACTGCCCGTGCTCCCCACCCCCGTCTGTGCAGCGGGCTTCCTCACGCGCCCCCGTCAGAGTGACACGGCAGACGCATGCTGGGCACGTGGGTGGCGTGGGGGTGCCGCGCTCACGCCCACGCAGCAAAGCCTCCGCCCCGGCTCCAGTTCCGCGCTCCACGCGTCGTCTGGCTGGCGTGGCCAGGCGGCAAGCCCGTTCCGTCCGGAGCGCGTGTCTGTGCCTCCACCACACGTCTGCACAGCCCTCGGTGTGGCGAGCACTGCTTCACAAAGCCACGGGCGTGGAACTAACGAGGGAATCCCCGCCTCAGTCTGCGGAGGCAAACGGCGGCCTAGGAGGAGGCCGTCCCTGGAGCCGGGCGGACAGGCCAGCGTTAGTTCCCGAGGAGACGGGGCTGGCACGAAGTCGAGGTCGGGGTGCTTAAGAGGCGCCGATGGGGCAGGGTCCTGCGCTGGCGGGTGTCACGCTGGCCAAGGTCCCTGCGTCCCCAGCAGAGAGCGCCTCCTGGTGGGCGTGAGTGTGCGGAGTCGAGTCAGGAGCTGAGCCAGCAACCGGGCTGCCCGCCCCCATTCCCGGCCAGCGCATGGCTTTCCTCCCCTCATGCCGCTGTTCATACGGCCGCGCGCGTGTGTGCCAGGTGCGTGGATTGAGTGGGATCCGCTCGCCTCGACAGCGCCCTGGCACCGTCTCTCCATAAACGCAGCTGCTCCATCATTTTCCCTGCCGGCAGTGGGGCCCTGTTAATAGGGAGTGTCGCTTGGCTGGCTCTGCCGGACCAGCGCCCCCACGGGTGCCTTCGCCGGGTGGATTCCCTCACGTCCTGGGGGCTGGCCTCTCCCGACGCCTCTTGTCTTGGCTGGAGATGTTGCCTTCTCTCTGCGTCCCCAGCGCGGTTGTCTCTCTGTGTGCCCATCCTGGTGTCTCTGTGTCCCAATCCCCTCTCCTTAGAAAGACCCCCGTCAGAGTGGGTCAGGGCCGTGTCTTAAGGAACCCCCACTTCAGAGGCCCCTCCCCCGCCGAGCACAGTCATGCGCTGCGGATTTGGAGGGGACAGGATTTAGAGGGGACATGGCTCAGCCCGCAGCAGCAGGGTGGTTGAGCTGCGCGTCCTGTGGAATGTTTGGATTTATGACCAGATGTGCCCGCATGTTGTTCTGGGTCCAGGAAGTCCCCCTTTGGCGAGGGGACCCCAAAGATCCTTCCTCTCCTAAGATTTGGGGGCCCCGATGGTCCCACTCGGGCACCCCGTCCCCAGAGACCTGCTGCCTCTGTGCGGGCAGGCACCTCCCCTGCTCCGACGGCCACCGACGGGTCCCTGTGTTGCCTTCCAGGACGGCCGTGAACGCCCAGTCGGGGGTGTGCACCCCAGCGGGGGGCCTGGTGACAGGTGAGCCCCCAAGCCCGAGCCCCCAGGGCCGAGGCAGTGACACGGGAGAAAGGAGGGGTCACGGTGCAGGCGGCCGGGCGCCCCCCGGCGCGGAGCCCCAGGTCAGCGACGTCCCCACCCCGCAGGCGCGCTGGTGCTGCTGTCGCTGGACTACCTGACCTCCGTCTTCTACTTCATCCCCAAGGCCGCGCTGGCGGCGGTCATCATCACTGCCGTGGCCCCGCTGCTCGACACCTCCATCGTGGGGACGCTCTGGCGCGTGAGGAGTGCGTGGTTCCTCGCCTGTCCACACGGGGGCCCCACCGTTCCCCGGTCTCTCCTCCAGACCACAGTGGCCGGAGGGAGCAGCAGGGTCATGGGGTTCTGGGGGTGTCACGCGAGGCCAAGGCCCAGGCTGCCTCCCTCCAAGGACACCTAAAGCCAGCTCCACGCGGTGCCGTCCACACTGAGCTGGGTCTCCCCTCCTCCTCCCCCCTCCCCGCCCCCCTGCTGCGGGGGAGGGGCGATCTCGGGGATGGGGGGGAGTGGTCAGCAGGGTCCCGGGTCCCAGCAGAACTGGCAGTTCCTGCTCTGTGGCGAGTGTGTGTTTCTCCGAGCAGTTAAGGGGCTTAGGCAGCTTATCCAGCGCCCTGCTCCTCAGCCCCGCCACCTCTCACACCCCTCAAGTGCAGGCAGCGTGACCAGGCAGCGTGACTGGGTCCCGTGCCGTGGTGGGCCAGGGCTGCTCGGGTGTCATCGCGTCCCCACCTTTGAACAGCCCTGAAACAAGCAGCGCGGAGCTCAGAGGCCAGGGGCCGGCCCGAGGGGGCTGTGTGAGGTCGAGCCCGGGACCGCCCGCACCCTGCCCACTCGGCCCCAGGGCCCTTCCTGCTGCACAGAGAGGTCACGGTTCTCGCTCAAGGGCTCTCCCGTGGTCTGAGACGGGCTGTCATGTGGTCTCTTGGACCCTCGCTTCTAAGGCCTGGCCCTGTCCCCAAGTCCCTTTTACCTTGGTCCCTGTTGGCTCCCTCCCCGAGGGCAGACCATTTCAGCCCCACTGGGCAGGCCTCAGCTGCCCCTCAGCGCCGGCAGGGGGTGTATCTGCCTCCGACGTGTCCCTGAGCCTCTGTGGCCATGAGCAGCATCAGTCCCTGAGTCCCGGGCCCCCAGCCAGAGGGACCTGGGGGCTGCCTGGGGTCTGTGAGGCCTCTGCCTGGTGCGTGCAAAGCCGCAAGTGCCGGCCGGCAGCTGGGGCTCCGTGCAGCGGCCCCTCAGCCGCTCCCCGTCTCCCCCAGGGCTGGACTTGCTGCCCCTGGGCGTGACCTTCCTGCTCTGCTTCTGGGAGGTGCAGTACGGCATCCTGGCTGGGACCCTCGTGTCCGCGCTGACTCTTCTGTACTCGGCGGCCAGACCCGAGGTTCAGGTCTGAAGGGGACCCGCTGGCCTTGGGCCCGAGGGCTGACATGAGCCCGGGGCGGGGCGGGGGGGCCCCTTGGCTCTGTGTGCCGAGCTTTCGGTCTGGCTGTGGCCTGAGGCACCGCCGGCGACCGGCCAGTTGGGTGGGACGAATGCCCAGGGCCTTCCGCTGCGCGGGGCGGCGGTGGGCGGGCTGAGGGCTCGCGCCAGCTCTGCACCCCGTTCCCACGTCCGCGTCTCCCCCGCCCCGAGCCGGGCACTGCTGGCCCGCCCGCCTTGCCCCCGGGACTCACTGGCTCCTCCGGACACTGTCCGCAGGTGTTAGAGGGAGAGGGGCCGGTGCTGGTCCTGCAGCCGGCCAGCGGCCTGCACTTCCCCGCCGCCGAGGCCCTCCGGAAGGCGGTGGTGAGCAGGGCTCTGGAAGGTGCGTGGGCTGCAGTCATCCCCGAGCTTCCGCTGTCCTCTCTGCACCCCTCCTGCGCCCAGGACCCCAGGGCCCTCCCTCGCTGGCGGGAGGGGCTCGCTCGCCCAGCCCGGGAGGTCTGGGGTGTCTTGGCGGCTTCTCCGTGGCCAGGTCTGCCCCTCTCGTTCAGGGACACCGGCTGTCCACATGCAGCCAGAGCAAGGGTGACGCTTCCCTGACATTTGTCCCTGAGGACCTGCTCCTCCTGCTCGGAGCTGGTGTCTGGGGAGAGAAGGGCAGGCTCTCCCTCTGAGGGCGACGCGGCCACTGTCTTGGGCCCCCGAGCCCTCCCCTCCGGCCAGGCCGCCTCCGCAGCCCACGCGCGTGTGTCTCTGCAGCGTCGCCGCCGCGCTGCGCCATCCTGGAGTGCAGCCGCGTCTGCAGCATCGACTACACTGTGGTGCTGGGGCTTGGGGAGCTGCTGGAGGACTTCTACCGGGAGGGCGTCGCCCTGGCCTTCGTGGGCCTGCAGGTGGGCGTCTCGCAGCCGCGGGCCCTGGTTGCGCCCAGACCGGCTGCGAGGCCGGTGCTACCACCGCCGCACGTCTGGAGGAGGGTGCGGCCGCCTCCCGAGCGCGTCTGGCTGCAGAGCTGTGCTCGTAGCTGTTGGGTCCTGTGTCGTATTTGCAGGGCGCGCATTTTTGCATCCTTTGGAAAGCACTGACTAAGCAATACTGCTCCTTACGCTGTTTCTGATTGCCTGAGTGGGGGTGGGGGTGTTGACCCAGAGGCTGCGGCGGAGCCTGTGCCGGCCGCCGGGCCGCAGCCAGCCTCCCACCCGGCGCTCACGTCTCTCTGTCCCCAGGGGCCCGTCCTCCAAGTCCTGCTCGCTGCCGACCTGAAGGGCTTCTGGCACTTCCCCAGCCTGGAAGCGGCAGGTGGGTGCGGGCAGGGCCCTGGGCAAGACCGCCTGGCGTGCCCACGACGCGGGCTGGGGCGGGGACAGGGCTCTGGGGGCGGGAGTCCGGTCATTGGACGTGCGGAACGGGCGGTCAGGGGCCCTCTGGTGCTGGGGGTGATGTCCCAGGGGTGGGCGTCTTTCGTGGAGGTTCCGTTCACACGCAGAGACATGCACAGACTTCACACATCAGCGGGGTTCTGACCGACGGATCCAGTCGGCTGTCCACCAGGCAGGTGGAGAAAATCCCGTTGTTCGAGAACGTCCCCTCGTCCCGTCCCGTGACCCCACGGCGGGGGCCGCTGTCCTGTTTCTCTGGCCATAGCTCGCTCTGGCGCGCCACGTCCATGGGGGCTGAGGAGCCTGCCGGGCGTCTTGAGCCCAGCAGGGGGCTGAGCCGCCCGCGCTGTTGCTGGAAGCAGCCCCGATGCCCCTCCGCGGGATGCGGGTGACACACGGGCCCCGCCACCCGTCAGAAGGGGTCTCGGCGGCGCGGAGAGGAAGGGGTGATGGCAGCGTGTGGACAGAGCCCGGGGCCCTGATGTGGGGCCTTTAACCCCGTTCCGCGGGCTGAGCCCGGCTTACTTCCCCTACAAAATGTCTCTCTGCAGAGAAGTACCTGAGCCAGGAACCGGGGACCCAGCCCTACAACATCAGCGACGATTCTGTCCCGGAACACAGGGTCGCCCTGCTGAAGGCCTGACTCGCCACCCTGGGGACGCTGACGTTGGGAGAGTTCCGCAGGAGGTCCTGGTCTTTGTCCTTGTGCTTGTGAGGGCGGGCGCCGGGCCGGCTGGAGGGTCTGAGACAGCCGGAGCGGGGGTCCCCCCGGAGAAGGGAGGAAACCAGGCGGGGGGACCCACAGGCGGGCCCCGCGGGCTGCTTTGGGGCCGACTGAAACATTCCCCCCTGCTGTCCGGGGCGTGAGCCCTGTTTGGAAGAGGGCTTTGGAGAGAGCCTTCCCGGAGGTCGGCCCCCAGCGGAAGGGAGGGCGCCTGCGCGGCGGCCTGGCCCCCGAGCCGGTCCGAGGTTCTGGTCTGGACGACGGGAGAGAGAACCGAGGCGTCCCAACAACACAGTGTCGGCGAAAGAAAATTCTGTGTTTTTTAAATTAAAAAAGTCGTAGCTTTTGTGTTTTTGTAAAAACCATACATGCTTCCTGTGAAAACTGTGGGACACCCTGCCCCACCCACATGGGCGGTGGCTCCAGATGCGCCCCCCCCCCCGCCCCGCCAGCACGTGGTGTGTGTGTGTGTGTGTCCAGCGCCACAGGCATGGCTTAGGCCGCGCGTGGTGCTCTGCGAGCCTCCCCCCGCCCCCCGCAGTCATTGCTGTGAGTTATTTATCGTGACAATAAATGGAGAAGATGTGGTTTTGTGTGGTGATTTCTTCAATAGGCCTCTGCGCGTGGCCCGGGGCCAGGCCGGAGGGGGATGCGGACCCGTCCTGAGTTCACCCCGGTCCTCGGAGGGGGACCCGCGGGGTCGCTCTAAGGAAAGGGCAGCTGCGCTCCGGGGCTTCCGCGGGGAAACTCGCTGTGCGCCGGCTGCGCGCCCTGGCGTCGCTGTCCCTGGCCCTGCCCCGGGCACGGGCTACAGGGGTGGTGGCCACGCTGTTGACGCGGAGTGCGGTTGACGCTAAGCAAGCAGCCGCCGCTGTTAGGAAGGGACCTGCTCGCGTTCTGTTTTGTCTCCATTCTCATCTCCCCTCAGAAGTGACGTGGGTGCCCTGTGGGTGGCCCCGCCTTGGGGTCTGGCTCCGCTAAAAGGCTGCCTTCAGGGACGTCGCCCCGGCAGGAACCCTGATGACCGGACGGGGGTTTGGGGGGTCGAAGGACAGGGGCTGCGGAGACAGTGCTGTGTCCTCCCTGCGGCCCCGTCATCTGACACCAGGGCCGGGACGGGGCGGGGACGCAGGGTGAGGCTCTGTCCCTGCAGCCTGAAGCCGCCCGCCCCGTGGCCGCAGCGCCGCGGGCACCTGGAGGCCCGTGCCGGTGGGCTGGGGGCGCTGTGAGCCGCGCGGGGAGGCCAGGGCAGGGGGGACGCCGCCGGGGCCGGGGCCGCCGCTCGCTTTGAAAGTTGGCCTAGAGCCAGGCTGGCCTGGGCCGACCTGGGCAGGAACGGCAAACCCTGGGCCAATGGAAGCGATTAATTTATCAAATCTGCGCAGCTCTGCCTGCACTTTAGTAAAGGCAGCGGCTGACTCCAAATTCAGAGCCTGTTCCCCTCCCCCTCCCCCTCCCCTTTTAAAATCAATTTGATGCCCTGGACGGACCTCACTTTTTCCAAACCCAGCGACTCTCTGGGTGGGGCCAGATGGCGGGACCTTTGCCGGGACCCCCGACAAAGCCTGGGAGCAGGTGCCCGCGGTGGATCACACCGCGTCCCCTAAGTGCCGTGAGCACGCTTTCACTTGGGACGAGGGTCTTTGCAGATGCAACTGAAGTTCAGGTGGTGTCCTGCTGGGTCCGGGTGGCTCCGAAGCCCGACCGCTGGTGCCCGCACAGAAGAGAGAGACCGACGGGAGGACACTGTCCCGGGAGCAGCTGCTCATCGACGTCCTTCCCCGACTCTCCCGGCCTGTCTCCCTAAGAGCGTCGCAGCTTTCCAGAAGGGCTCGCCGTCTGCGCGGCCTCCAGCCCTGGGCGCGTGTGCCCCCCCCCGCTGCTCGCGCCTGGGGACGTGCGGCTCGGGGACAGTTTTTACCCACGGGGCCGGCAGAGCAGGACCTGCCGTGGGGAACCTCCAGGCTCAGCCCTGGGCGCCTGCGGCCACACGGAACCCTGAGCAAGCTGTATTCCACGCCCACAGTGAGTGGCTTAACCGCCACGTCCCACGCAGGACCCCCCGCTATCCTTCGGGGGGGAGACGAGCTGAAGCCGGGTCTGGAGGAGGCTGGGACTAAAGGGCCTGTTGTTGTGTTCGGTGTCTGTTGACGCAGCTCGGAATAAATGGGGTATTCTGGGCGGCCGCCTGGTCACACAAGGCCTGCTTTCAGCCGCCGGGGGCCCGGGCCCGGCCGGGGCCCCCGGCTGTGCCCCCGCCGCAGCGCCCTCGTCCCCCCGCCTCCCGCCGCGCTTCCCGCCTGGCAGAGCGCCTCTCTGCTGGCCCCGCGCTGTGGCAGGACCCCGTCCTCCCTCCCAGCGGCCCCAGGATTTTGCAGATGAGCAACCAGGCTGGTCAACGAGGTGTGTGGCCCCCGGCACATCCATTCTACAGTCACCGATGGGCGCAGCGATAAGGCTGAGGACATCTCAAATGATCCCGCGCCCGCTGGACCACGGCGGGCTCCGCGGGGGACGGCGTGGCCACGTCGAGAGCCGCCCTGCCGGTGCCCTGCCGCCGACCCGGGAATCGTGGCCAACGGGCAGACCTTCCGCAGGAGGAGCGGGCCCCTCGTGAACACCGGGCCAAGGCAGGGAGGTGTCCATACCTGCGGCGTCCACAGCACCGACTCTCTGGGGACAGAGCTGGAGGCGGCGCCACCCGAAGTCTCGTCCAGTCCTCTGGCTGCCTCGTCCCCCTTCCTCCATCCCAGGACCCCACCCTCCCCCCCCACCTGGCTGGCCTGTCTGCTTCTGGTCCGCCCCACAGAGTCAGCCACACCGGCCGTTGTCCTTGTCTTTTGTTATTTTCTAATTACATCAGGTCATTTATATGTTATTTATGTCACGCTTTTTAAAATTATTTTAAAACGTCACGTGACCCTGGCTGGTGTGGCTCAGTGGGCTGAGCGCCGGCCTGCGAACCAAAGGGTCACCTGCGCGGGTCCCAGTCAGGGCACAGGCCTGGGTTGCAGGCCAGGTCCCCACTCGGGGGCGCTTGAGAGGCAGCCGATCAATGTCTCTCTCACACATCGATGTTTCTTTCTCCCTTCCCCCTTCTCTAAAAATAAATTTAAAAAATCTTTAGGAAAAAACCTCATGTGGTGTTTCAGTGTATACATTCCCTGCATTGGTATCAGCCAGGGGAGGAAGGGTGCTTCTCGTGGATGCGGAGACATCTTTGTTTTGCCTTTACTGGGTCGACTCACGCGTTTTGACTTGGTTCTTTGGGGTGCTAACTGTCTCTGTGGTTTAGCTGTCCTGACGGGGCCGCTACGACCAGATTCTTGGCCCCTGATGTTCCATACTTGGTGGCTCGGATCTGCACCTGTCGAAACAGGATGGCCACGCTGACCACGCCATGTCCCGACGTCCCAGGAGGCGGGACGTCAGGCCGCCTCCTCCAAGTGGCTTCCCCTCGGATGGCTGAACACTGGCATTTCCGGTCACGCTCCGAAGCCCGCGCCTCCGGGTGCCTGTCCCAGCCGCAGCCCCTGTTAGCCTGGCGCGGCTGCGCTCGGGCGGCGGAAGGGAGCCGCCGCAGAGGAGGCAGGCTGAGGGCGCCGCGGTGGCTCCACCCGCCCTGGCGCTCACGCCCAGGAGGGAGAGCGGACACGCTCAGGCAGGACCGTGACCTGTTTCCTTCTGAGCGGGATTGACAAACCTCTTTACTGTTTTCCTGGTTCCTCTAAGGGTGGACAAACACATAGTAAATGGGGTGGAGGGACAGCTCCGGGGGACTTGAAAATGGCCTTAAAATCCCAAAGATGCCTCCCTGGGCGGGCCTGGTCTCCCTGTGGAAGAGAGATGCTGTGGACCACTTGGTGTGGTGTCGGGAAGTGTAGCCCCACGCGAGCCAGGCTTCGAAAAGGGCCTGCAAGTCGCGACCAGAACGCCGGGAATGCGGGAGGCGGGCACGTGCCGATGCCAGCACCAAGGGTTCCCGTGGGGGTTGGGCCTGAGAAACGCATGGTGCCCCTTGGAGCCGGCTCTGCTTCGCATCGCCGAGCCCTGTTATGCTCAAGCTCCGACCAGAAGGAGTGAGTTCCTGAACTCAGGAGCCACGCCTGAACGGCCCTCTGAGGTCAGCAGGTCTAACAGACCCGACCTGAGGCCAGTCTCTGTGTTCCTTCCACTGTTATCTATGATCCCTATCTGTTTTCTGTAACTATAGCCTTTAGGCATTGATATGCTTGCTCGCCTGCTGTAAGCCCCAGCACATTCCAAGATCCCCGGAAAAGCCACTTCAGGGAAGGGTTCGGCACTCCCCACTAGGGGGAACCACCACACCTCTCTCCTGGCAGACCAAGGGTGTCTGGACCGACTAGTTCTCCTCCACGACGGCCGGGAGGGCTCCGCGGGACGGGGACTCCCACGGGGCGGACCACCTGGCTAGTTACATAAAGGTCTAACCACGGCGCCGTATACATGCAAGTGATGTCATAGTAACTGTCCGCTGTTAATTTTTTTAAACATTTTGAAAAAAGTTTTCTAATTCCTAAAGGCAGCGTTGGATTTTACAATCAAAGACGCCGCACCAGGCCGGTAACCGCTTTCCCAGGCCCCCTGGCGTGTCCGGGCCCGGCACCCAGGCCGTGCCGGGCCGCGGCGTGCAGACAGCGGCCCCCGCCCACCTGCTGGCCCCGCGACAGCTCCCCGGGACGTCGGGGAAGGCCCGGAGTGCCAACGCGCACACGGGCGTCCCTGAGCGAGGGCTCGCTGCCCGACACTCACAGGAAGCAGCACCGAGGTCCGGCTTTGGGGAAAAGGAGCTCTGACTGCGAGCTCTGTGCAAGGAAACAGGAGGCGGGGCTCGAGCCTGCCTCCCCGTCTGGGCTTCCGGCGGGGTTTTAACGGGTGTCAGCACCAGACCTTCCCGGCTGGTGGACCCTTCGCCCAGACAGGGCCCAGCCTTACAAGTGGGGAGCTCTGCAAGTCGGGGGCCCGCGGGAGGGGAACCCCAAGAAGGACCAATCTTGCTGTTTGCTGCCCAGAGGGAGGACAGCGTGACCAGGCAGAGCGGGCAAGGAGCAGAGGGTAGGAGAGGCAGGCGGGGCGGGACCCGGCCTTTGTTACTAATAATGATGATCACCCTGTCGTCTGAGGCGGCAGCAGCCTGGGCGGGGCTCCTGCAGGTGCCCAGGCCGTGCTGGTCAGCAGGGGAGAGCATGGTGAGGGGCTCAGATAACACACCTTGGACACTTTGATTGGAGCCTGGAGCACCGGCGTTTGCTGCGTTGTTATTGTTTTACATATTTTATTTCTTTATTTTTAGAGGGAGGGGAGGGAGGGAGAAAGAGAGGAGGAGACGCATCGGTGTGTGAGAGAGACACGGGTCCTGGTTGCCTCTCGCCCGCCCCAACCTGAGACTCTGGCCAGCAACCCAGGCAGGTGCCCCGACTGGAAATCGGACTGGCGACCTCTCGGTTCGCGGGCCGGCGCTCAAGCCTCTGGGCTGCACCAACCAGCGCGATGCATTATTATAATCAATTACCTGGCAGCCCATAGGCTGTGGGGCTATGAGCTCGCAGGTGGGGAAACTGAGGCAGGGAGCAAGGGGGGTGCGGACCCAGACCGGGGTGGCCTCTTGGTCATCAGTGACCCATGGAGCCCTGAGTGTGGGCAGCAAGCCCCCACTGCCTCCACTGTGGTCACTTCATCTGCACCAGGCCCGGACAGCACGGGGCTGGTGGCCTCCACTTCGCACCCGAGTGGCCTGAAGCCCAGCTCAGTGACCCGCCTGGTTGCCACGGCCCGGGTGGAGTCGGGGTCCCCGAGTGGGAGCGACGGGAGGTTTGAGAAAGGACAACGCAACCCAAAGACACAACACAAGACAGTTCAGAGAAAAGTGGGGGCCAGGTGGGGCATTGTCCTCGGATGGAGAGACGATGACAATGACCACGGTCTCCGCGTTTATTTTATGGGGGTTGGTTAGATAAAGTTCAAGAGAGTTTTGCAGACTTAGGGGAACGCTGTGGGCACGGGTTGCTCCGTTCCCAGGCTACATGATAAAACTTTCTTCTGCAAAAGCTACAGTCGTCTTCAGCAGAAGCTTGCGGTTATCTACTCCCTTCTCAACCCCTCCACCCCGCCCCCGGACTCGGGCTGTCGCCGGTTGCCAGCTTGCTCTGCTTTGCAGGTAGCGAGCGGTTGAGAGTGGCTCTGCCAAGCGCTTACCCGGCTTTTGGCGTCGGCCTTCCCCGTCCTCCACACCTGGTGTCCGCTGGGCCATTCCCCTGCTGGCCGCCGGCTCTGCAAGGTCGTGGACGCCGTCCAAGGTGCTGGGCACGGGGTTGGGGGACGTGAGTGCATCCTCCGCCTCCGCTACCAAAGGCTCCGGCATCCGCTCAGCGGAGCGGGGGCGGCTGGGGCGACCCGGGTGCAGACCGGGCACGGCCAGCGGGCCGGAGTCGGTGCTGCCCTGCCCGTGCGCGAGCAGCAGGCACCGCCCCGGGCAGGGTTCACTGGGGGCGCCACCCGGCGGGGAAATTCCGGCCACACCCGGGCCGACCTCCCGGCACCGGCAGAGGCGGGAGGAGGGGCGGGACCCAGACTTAGGAAACGAAACTGGCGGGCGACGAGGGCGCGGGCGATGCCTCAGGTGCGCAGGCGGCCAGGGCGCGGGGCCGGTCCCGTGGGCTCCGGTCTGCTGGGCCCGTGAGGGAGGGGCGCAGGGCCCCGTGGGCAAGGGGTGCCCTACGGGGCGGGACCCGCAGGGCTCTGGGTCGGGGTCGCGACGCCCAGCGGAGGCCAGCCGGGGCGTGGCGCCTGCGTCCGGAAGCCGCATCCGACCTCGTCCCCTCCGGGACGCCTCTTCCTGCGGCGCCGGTTTCAGTTTCACCGCCGGGTCCCCGGTTCAGACCCACGTGCAGGCGTCGCCCATTCTGGGGGCTCTGGCGACCCTCCCAGAGGCGCAGCCGCGGGCACGGGGGACCCCGGGGGCTGGAAGCGTGAGTTTGGACCCCGGCAGGGGCCTCCGTGGGGCTGACAGGGGACTGGGGCGGCCAGACCTGGGGGCGGCGCCTCGACCCGGAGTCCTGCCCCCTCACTCATCACAACAATGGAGAAGTGTTTCCGAAACAGGCCCGCGTCTTTATTTCGCAGCAACTTGGAGGGGAACGGCATTCCTGCCCACATCGCCCGGCTGCCTGGAGCGCAGGGTCCTCCCCACGGCCGGGGCTGCCCCGGTCAGGGGCCCACGGCCAGGCCGGCACCTCCTTGGTGACGGCCTTGAGACCCTCAAAGGGGGCGGGGAATGAGGGCGTGCCAAGGTGGCGGGCTGCCGGCCCTCACCCCCTGCAGCCCGCCCCTGCCCTGGGTGGCGGTTGGGGGATGGGCTTTGAGTTTTGGCACAGTCCAGTGGTCGGAAACGAAGGGAGAGGAAAAAGTCTGGAAGCTGAACGGACGGGAAGCGTATTTCTGCCCTTGGGCCTCGGCCCCCTGCCCGTGAGACGGCAGACCCTCCGTGGGGCTTGCTATGCCCTGCTGTGGGGCAGAAGGGCTGCGGAGCCCAGGGAGACAACCGAGGGGGCAGAGAGGCCCGCACCGCGGGGGTCACTGACAGCTCCTGAGTGAGGGGACCCACGCCCTGTGGCCGTCGGCCCGGGGCCACGCTGCGGGAGAGCACCTCCGAGCTGGGTTGGGGCCTCTCCGCTCTGGCCCCGCCCCGCCCCCAGGAGGTCCCTGGCTGCTGGAGACCAAGCCCAGGGCAGCAGGCCGGCAGCCCTGCCGCAGACCAGGAGAAGGGGGGCTAAGGCCAGCCGCAGAGAGGACCCAGCCCGAGGGCCCCCTGGGCGCGTCCAGCCGGCGCAGGCCTCGCCCGGCCACTCATCCGGCACAGACCCCGGCGGGAAGCCAGCAGGAGGGGGCGGCAGGCGGGCAGGCGGGTGTCTGTGCTCCCCGAGCTGAGCCGCCCGGGGCCACTCTCACCCTGGATGCACTAAGTGTCCCCTGGGACCCTTGGCCAGGGCCTTGGCCTCGGCATGGACAGGCCTGGCCCTGACCCTGGTCTGACGCCGTTCTGATGGCCACGTGGTCGAGGACAGGAGCAGGGGCTTCACAGATGGCAGCCCCACCTGGGAGCAGGACCCTAGCCGGGTGGGGGGCCGCAGCCCGGGGCGGTCCCTGCAGGTGGTCCCTGGGTGGCTCTGACTCAGCCGGCCTGTCCGCGCGCCGGCCGGCCGAGCGCGCACGCCGGGCCTGCGTGTCTCCCCGGTCCTCCTCGCCTGTGGGCCGGGGCTTTTGTCCCTGGGAGCTCCTTGCCCAGGACACGCACATCTCATCTCGGGGGTTCGGACGAGTTGTGCCCCTGGATGTCCTCGCGCCCCGTCCCTGCCCTCTGTCACCCTGGCCTGCAGCCTCAGCCCGGAGGGGACAATGTTGGCCTCATTGAGAGATGGCGAGCTTGGGAGGCCGGGAGGGTGGGCTGGGGTGGCTGGGGCTGGGCAGCAGAAAGGGAAGGGGGTGCTGAAGGGACAGGGTGGGGCTGGGGGAACGGGATGGACTTGGAGGGACGACCTAGGTGTGAGGCCAGACTTTGAATGGCGGGGGAGGGGTTTGTGCTGGGTTTCGATGGGGTCAGAGCTGAGCCGCTGTAATTTCACTTTCCAGAAAATGAAACTGAAGCAGGGCTGTGGTCATGTGACCGGTGGCTCTGAATAAAGGCGGCTGCTTCCCCGGGAGTTTGGCTTCTAGACCTGCAGCCGCCCGCCGGCCCCGCAGCCCTGCCTGGAAGCATGGAGTGCCCCTCTTGCAGGCATGTCCCCAAAGAGGAAGCTCCCAAGTTCTGCAGCGAGTGTGGACAGCGGCTGCTCCCGGCCGTCCCGGCCCCAGGTGAGGCCTGAGGGGGCACGGATGGGACTGGGGACCCCTCCGGGACTGGGATGGGCAGTCAGCTGGTCCCGCCTCCTTTCCCGGAACTGGAAGCCCAGGGCAACGGGTGGCCGGCTGCGGAGAGAGGTCTCCTGGGGCTGAAGGACCTCTAGAAGCACTTCCCATCGAACAGTTCCTTGGGCCCTTGGCTGGAGGCACCTGTCACTTCTTTAGAAATTTCTATTTCGTCTCTTGGAGGGAATTCGAGGTTCTCTTTCCCACTTGGCGATGGGAAGTGTGAGCTGAGCTCCGTGGAGGGGGGTTTTGGAGGATGCTGCATGGGAGTGGGACCCCAGGCACGGGGCGACCAGCACGGGCCCCGCCCTGGTGAGGGTGGCGGTTGATGCTGGTTGGTCGGTCCTCAAGGCTCAGGTCTCCTCCGCCCTCTGGCTGTGCTCCCGGCTCCCGCGCTCCCTCTGGGGGCCTCCCCTGCTCTGCAGTGTCACAAACGGCCCAGGTCCACCTTTGGTCCTCGACCTGCGCCTGAACTCCAGCCACTACGGCCTCTGGGTTTCCTGTTTCTGAGGCCCAGCTCCTCTAGGCCAGGGCGGCCCTTCCCGCCAGCCCCCCGCCCAGCCCCCACACCACCTCCTCCCCTCCCCTTCTTCATGCCCCACATCCTGTCCCCAGGGGACACCGCTGGCTGCAGGGGCAGAGCCCACCCAGGAAGTCGCTCCCCCCACCATGCCACTCAGTGAAAGCTGCAAGTCCTCCGTGAATGCCTCTCCAATGCCCTCTGACTTCCTCTCCTGAAGCCCCTCCCCCAGCCCCATGCCCCCTCACCCCGTCCTTCCTGGGACATCCCTGTCCTCAGAGGGCAGCACGGCTCCCCACTCCCCTCCCTCCAGCCTTTGCTCAGCTGGCTCACCCCCTCAAGGCCCACCCTGAGCCCCCCAAAACTGCCTCCTGCCCCCAATCACACTCCATCTGTTTGTCTTGTAGCTTCAGGGGAGACCTTTGCTCTTGCTTGCAGCTTTATCCCAGGCCCCTTGCACAGTGACTGGCACACAGTAAGTGCTTGATGCACAGTAGGTGCTCCATAAAGAATTGCTGAGTGATTCAAAGGTCTGCAGGAGCCCCCAGGGATGATATCAGGCCTCCCCGCCCACTGCTCCGGGCGATCTCCGAGGCGGCGCCCCAGGGGGCCGGGCTGGTGCCAAGCTCTCCATCGCCGCGCCGCACCCGCTGCGCTCAGCTGTGCCGAGTGCCGCTGTGGTCCCAGAGGATGTGCTGGGCCTGAGCCACAGGAGGGGCGGAGGCGCTGTGTGTGTGGACCGTGTTTATGGGTTTTCTGTTTTATGCTGCGGACCCGTAGTGGGGGCGGGGCTCTGGCTGGCAGTCAGGGCTGAGTGCCCCAGAGGGTCAGGACCGTGTGCGCCCTCGGGGGTCAGCCGAGTGTCTGCTCTGTCGCTGACTCCTTGCTGTGCAGACCCGGAGGGGCGGCCTGGCCGAGCTCCTGGGGTCCAGGGGGAGCTTCCCACCCTGGTCCCGGGAACACCTGCAGGGGGTGGGGCCTCGGGAGGGAAGGGGTCTCTGTGGCTGCGGAGTCTGCACAGAGTGAGACCGAACCCTGGCCAACGAGGCAGCCCCGAACTGGGCCAGGTGTGGCGGCAGGGGCGACCATAAATCCCCATTCTGCAGGTGCCAAGCGCAGAGCACAGGCAGGTGAGGTGGCTCCCCCGGAGTCACGCAGCTTGAACCCAGGCCGATGGGCCTGGAGCCCGTGCTTGGGAGGGAGCCGCCGTCATGGGAGGAAGGATCGGGTGTGCTCCGGGGTGCTGCCCTCCTCCCCCAGGCTGGGTGGGGGAAACGCTCTGGCCCCTGCCGGACGGGCCTGTAGGCGGGGATCGGATCGGGGGCCGGGAAGGTGCTGAGGAGGGGCCTCAGGGGTTAGACCTGGCTTCTGGAGCCAGGCGAACCGGGGCGGGCTTGGCTGGCCGCTGAGTGGGGTTGGGAGGGCGCGCAGAGGAACCTGAGCGGCTTCCTCTGAGTCTGGGATCCTGGAGATCAGCCCCTTTGGGAACCCCTTGCCCCTCTTCGAGGGTCCCCGGGAAAGCCCACGCCCCTGCCCCTCCTGCCGTTTTGTGCCTGGGGCTTTGAGCAGGGAAGGAGGGAGCCCGTCTGAGAGGCGGGCTGTGCCAGTCCCCCAGGACGCCCCCAGGCCCCGCGCGCTGGCAGCCGGGCCGGCAGGCGGGCGTGGGGCGGCGGGAGTGTCTTCCTGCCCCCTCGGTTCATCGCCTGGTCTAGTAATCAAATGGATGTAGGGCAGATGAAGGGGACGGAAAAAACACATTCTGTTTTGTACGTACAAGGGTCCGTAAGCCCAGGCAGGCCCAGCGAGGGCCGGCAGCTCGGGGCCGCGCAGCGTCCTGAGCTAAGGAGGGGGTGGGGGCTGGGGCTTCGAAGGACGGGACGATAACTGGGAAGGCGGACAGACGGATGCTGGTCGGCAGATGTCTGCGGGGCCCGGGCCCGGCCCCCGCCGGAGCCTTGCGGGCAGTGAGGGCGGAAGGTAAAAAACCCCTCCTGGGTCTTTTGTTTCTGAAAAGTGGTCGGCCTAACATAACCCTCCTGACAGAGAGACACAGCGTGGGGCGGCGGCCGCCGGCTCCCTGGCGCGGCCGTCCCCCACGGCCCGGTCGGAGGCCACCCCAGGGCCGCCAGCCCTCGGCAGGGCACGGCCACCACAGCACGGGCAGCCCGCGGCTCCCGGCGCTCAGCAGCCCTGGCCGCTGCCCCCCGGCCCTGTGCGCACAGCGCGCGGTGGACAGGGCTGCGGTCCCGCGGTCCCTCGGGCTGGGCGACCGCGGGTGCTCTCTCACCCACGGTTGGGTGCTCTCTCACCCCCGTTCGTCAGTGGGGGCGCACCGCGGTCGAGGCCAAACACCCGCCGGCTGCAGTGGCCCCTGAGCACAGCCCACTGCATCCCTAAGGACCCAGGGTTAGTGCGTGTGACCCCAGGAACACACATGACTTCCTGTCTGTGGCTCCTCTGCTTCCTCCTTCCCTCACTGTGCCTGTGTTGGCAGGAATAGAAAGTGAAGTCAAGGGGCTGGGAGCTGGGCAAGGGCTCCAGGGTGGGGGCCCCCCTTTCACCCTGGAGGCTGGGGCTCAGGGGTGCTGCGGGTGGGGGGGGCCTGCCTGGGCCTCTGGTCTTGCGGGGACAGGGTGCATGGTAAAGAGGTGGAAAGGGAGCGTGTAGGGAGATCCAGCGGCACCAGGCCAAGGTTGGGGGGTGACTGGGGTTGTCTGGGTGGGGGATGTAGGGCTGGTCCGCTGGTGGAGGGTTCAACCACCTGGAGAGTCAGCATCTGAGGGCCGGGGTCCGGAGCCCCTCCCCATGCCAAGTCACCAGGGGACTCAGGTGGGACTTTCAGGTGGGACTTCAGTGCTGGAAGGCAGTGGGGGTTCGGGGGGGGCGGGCAGGGGTGAAGTAGTTCCTGGGCAATGCATTTAAAAAAAATTTCTTCTATTGTCCTTGAAGAAATTTTCTTCTAACGTTTCCTTGAGACCCTGCAGGAGGCCAGGCTGGGGGGTTGGTGGGGTGGTGGGGGCTGGGGACCAAGTGGCTGATCTGTCCAGAAGCTGGGGGCGGATGCCAAGGCTTTCTTGGGATGTGCACGTGGTTTCCCTGAGGTTTGACCCACGGGCGCCTGCCATCGGGGCGGGAAGCGTTTCCCTGCGGTCTGCTAGGTTCTCTGGATGATCTAGTAAGTCAGTCGACCTAAGATCAGATTCTCAGAACTGATACGGAGAGATCTGATCAATTCGCTGGGGAGGCGTGGGAGGGGCTGTGGGAGGAGTTGGCAGAGCAATGAGAAGGAGCCTAGGATGGGATTGGCCGAGAAGCTGAACGCCTCCTGAGCGCAGAGAATTATGGGCGAGAAGATTTGGAATAAAAGAAGCGCTCTCGGCCTAGCTCTCTGGCTCCTGGGCTCCCCTTCCTCGAGGACGCCTGGGTGGCCCTGCGGCAGCTGCCTGCGTTCCCTACCGAGGGCGTTTAGTTGGGCAGGAACTCCAGGCGCAGCCTGGGGGCGGGCTGGCCTGGCAGAGGGGGGCAGGGTTGTTCTTTGGGGGTTCTAGAAGGAACAGGCTCTGAGGCAGAAGCCCGTCCTTCTTCCAAAAATTGTGTAGCTTTTGTATCTTACATTGCTTTAGTTTATAAACCTATAGAAATAAGACAAAACTAACAGGGGGAATACTAGAAGCACTTCGGTGTTAAAACGCATAGTCTTAGTGAATAGGTTTACGTGATCGGAGCTGTGACTTGATAGGCTTGCATGAGCGCTGTTGAATGAAGACCCCTTCGCTGTATCACCACACTTTTCCTCTGGAATTTTGCCGAGGGTGGTGGCGGGCAGTGGACCCCGATGGCTGTTCAGTGACATAACAAAAACAACATTTAATAACACATATGGCTCCTGCACACCTGGGAGAGGCCAGGAAAGCCGAGGAATTCTCCCAAATGGCAGAAGCCACCCCTCTTCCGGGAGAGACCAAAGCTGATGTGTGGGGGAGCATGTTCCAGTGACCTGAGGGGTCTTCCAGGCACGGTCGTCACACAGAGGGGAGGCGGAGGGGGGGGTGTTTCCTGGGGCTCAGGCGGGAGTCCCTGGGGACAGGTGCCCCACCCCCTCCTGGGGCTGGGAGGGAGCTCGCTGACAAGTGGAGATTTCCCTCTCGGATGTAAATGTCTCTACCTGGCTCAGCTTTCCCTGCCTCTCTGTGGTTGGCCCTTTCTTAAAAGTAACAGCTCAAAACAATATCCCAGAAGGTGACAAATTCTGCTTCCCTTCACTGCCTTTGTAGAGTCTGAGAACAACCCCACGGTGACGTCGGTCCCCGAGGGAGAGATGGAGAGTGGACAGGAGCTGAAGGAGGAAGGCGGCCCCACGGTGACATCGGTCCCCGAGGGAGAGATGGAGAGTGGACAGGAGCTGAAGGAGGAAGGCGGCCCCACGGTGACATCGGTCCTCGAGGGAGAGATGGAGAGTGGACAGGAGCTGAAGGAGGAAGGCGGCCCCACGGTGACGTCGGTCCCCGAGGGAGAGATGGAGAGTGGACAGGAGCTGAAGGAGGAAGGTGGCCCCTTCCCGTCGCTGGGCTCCAGTGACCAGCAGGAGAGTCTGCAAGAGCCCTGCTCCCTGGGTTCCCGGAGAGTAAGTGCCGGTCCCTGGGCAGGATCCCTCCGGGCTCTGCCCTGCTGCTGCTCTCCGCTGCGGTCTCCTCAGCGCTCACCAAGGTTCCCCGTGTCCCCCTGGTGTCCTCTCCAGGGCGCGGCCATGGCGCTGCCCCCCAGCCCCGGCCAGGGACACTGTGTGGGGCTGTGGCAGATCTGCCCCCCTTCTGCTGTGCCTGGTCCATCGCTGGGTCTCTGGGTCCGTCCTTTGGGGGCCGCTGCCTGCTGTTTCCCCCCACAGGCCCGCACGCGGCCCCCCAGGCCTCCCGGGGTGCGTGTAGGGGGCGTGTGCGAACGGGGGTCTTCCCTGGGCAGAGGAGCCCCCCCAGGGCAGAGGGCCAGCCCCGAGCCAGGCCATGGGATGGGGGAAGTTCGGCTCAACTGAAATGAGAGTCAGGACTAGGCGAGGTGGGGTTTTCTTTTCTTTTTTGGACCGAGTAAGTTCAAGACTTTTTTGGAATAAAAAAATGGGCAGGAATAACCCGTCTAACAGTGAAAAAGAACAGCTGTGAGTAGGGCCTGGCTGTCCTGGCTTTCCCCACACTGTCCCAAAGCCACAGTCAGAGACACGGGGCCCTGGGGCTGGCAGATGGGCCGGCACGGAGACGCGGAAGGGCAATGGGGTGCGCGTAGCGACAGGTGGAGGGCACACTGCAGAGGCTCGTCGGAGCCGTGGGTGGGGAAAGGGGAAAGCAAACACCGGGTTGGTGCGTTTGACTCCCAGAAAGGCCTTGAAATAGCCGAGCACCTCGCAGAGCGTGATCGGGGCAATGAAGGGCAGACGGTTCAGGAAAGGCGCACAGAGGCTCTCTCTTTGTCCGGCTTCACGGACGAAGTTCTTAGCGAAGAGCGAGTGGCCCCCGTGTGCCAAAAGCTCTTGGGAATAAGTAGAAAGTGGCCACCAACCCGAGAGGGAAGCAATTGTAGGCCAGTGCGCAGAAGCACAGGCGGCCGCACACACGCCATCAGCGCGGCACTGCATTCGACCTGCACGTTAAGCCCTTGGTCCAAGGCGGGCAGCGGTGCCGATGCTCCCCCTCAGTCGAGGGTGGCAAGCAGACCGCCCCGCCGGCAGGTGCCCTGCGACCTGCTCTCCTGCTTCTCTGGTTTCACGATAAGAGAATGACTTCCGCGCGCGTGTCGTCTCAGCTGCCGTCTCCGGAGTGGCATCGTCTTTGTGGTAGAATCTTTTTCCAGAGATGGAAGGGGTGAGGAGGGCGCTCCCGCCGTCGTAGGGGATAAGATACTGAAAAGGTTTCTCAAGCGTGCACTCTACCGGGGTGGCCAGGGGTAGGGCAGAGGAGGGGACGGCCCTCCGGGGGCCACCGAAAGGCTGGAGGGAGAGGGAGATGGGCTTGGCTGGGACCCGGGAACGTCGCCCCAGGGGTCCAGGCACCGAGCGGCCGCCCGAGGTGCGGGCTCCGGGCGTCGGCCTCAGGGCAAGGGGGCCCTGGTTCCCAAGGGAGCGTAACAGAGCAGAGCAGGCCGTCCGCTTTGACCCGCCTGCGGTTCGTCAGGCACTTCGCTTGGAGCGCCGTGAGGGTGCAGAGCACAGGGTGCGTCTAGGGGCTGCCGAAAGCGAAAGCAGACGAGGAAGCTGCTGCCGGCTGGGGGACAGGTCCCGTTGGACCAAGGGCCACGGGGACGCCTGGGCTGCGAAGCGGGCTCCCACGGATAGCGGGCCCCCCGGGAAAGCCGCAGGAGTGCCCGGCGCCGCCCCCCGGCAGCCGGCGGAGCGGGCGCAGGCACTGCCCGGCCGGGATGGGTTCCTTGTGGGGTGGCGGCAGCGCTCGGACCAGGCAGAGTGCGGCCCCACAGCTTCGTGGCTGCACCGAGTGCCGCCGCGGGCGCATGTTAACACGGCTAGCTTTCCGTCCTGTGAACTTCCACCTCCACCTAAGAAAACTGGGACAGCGTTGCCACAGAAAGGGAATTTTTAAAAACGCCTGACTGTGCACAGAAGGGAAGCTGGGTGCAGGGCACCGACGTGCGCTGGCGGGCTTGTCTCCGGGGCCTGCTCACGGGGGCTTTGTTACCGTGCCCAGTCCCTAGCGTGACCCTCCGGGATCCTTCTGGCCAGGAAGCGGGTGCGGGGGGTAGAGACCCGGCTGCGCTGCTGTGACCGGGAGGAGGCCCCAGCATTAGGAGCCGGCCATGCGGCTGGACCCCTCCCCCACCAGCGCGGGGGCGCTGTGTCCGAGTCGTGGGGCGTGTGCATGGCGGGTAACGGTGCCAGCGGCTGCCTGTCACCTGGGCGGCTGTCCCCCCGCCTTTTGTTTGGTGGCCCTTGGGGGCTGACTGACTGGGCGCCTTCGCTGAAAGGCTCTGCTTCCTCCCCGGGGGCTGATGGGTCTGCCCTGCCCTGGGGTTGCTGCGCCCAGAGGATGGGAGGACCCGTGGGGCCCGTGGCAGAAACACCAGGTGTCTGCCTCTCCCAGGACAGGGTCCGAGGCCCTTGGCCTTCCCTGTTGTCCCCGCTCCTGAAGGGAGTGCTGGGGAGGCCCAGGTGTCCCACGCGCCCGGGGCCTCACCTCTCCCGGTCGCGGGCAGCGACGGCTCTGCCATCCCGCGGGCTGTCCTGCCTGCCAGGCCCCGGCCCCGCCCCGCGCCCCGGGGCACCTTAGAAGCCCTTCTGGGCCTCGCCCTCTTCCTTAGGAGGAGGAGGAGGCTGGCGGGGAAAGGAGATGGGGGCCCCCGGCCAGCGCCAGCTCTGTGCCGTCCTCGGACTTGGCCGCTGTCCCGTCCCCGACAGTCCCGGCCTGGCTCTGCCTTAGGTGTCCGGTGGCCTGGTCTCCACAGCCACATCTGTGTGGGGAGCAGTAGCCCAGGCGGGGGGTAGGGGTTGTGGGGCAGAGACCCTCAGGAGCCAGGACCGGGCTTGCTGGCACGGGGGCCTCTGGCGTGGGCCCTTCCCTCACACACACGGGCTCTGCCGGCCCGCAGGAGCCTTTTCAGGGGTCCCTCCACGCAGGACCCTCTGCTGCTGGCCTGGACGGCGGGGCCTCTGAGGGTCACCAAATAATGGACCCATGGGGGGGGCCCAGGTGCTCTTACCGAAACAATGTCCCCCCACCCTCCTTGGGGCCCCTCAGTTGTAGGTCCTTTGCCGCCACCCTTGCAATTATCACTCTCAATGGCAGAATTTGGTGAAAAGGAACTATTTATTCAAAAGTTATAAAAGCTTTGAATACTGGCTAAAGGTTAAAATCTCAAAATCCATTTAAAAACACCCACCAACACACACAGCCCTGCCTTCCCCCCTTTGCCCAGTCAGGCCAGTCAGGGGCTCCGACCTTCAAAAGGAACAGACCAGAATCCCGGGGCTCGGCTGGGAAGGCCCCGCGCGCTTCCCAGCACCATCCGCTGCGTCGCCGCGGTCTCCAGCTCTTCATCCCGAACCACGCGGCGCCGGCTCCTGGCCCACGAGCAAGAGGCCTGTCTCTGCTCACTTCCCGCGTGGTCTTGGCGCCGTTCCCCAGCACCGGTTCTCTTTGTCTCCCCGGCGGGCCCTGTCTCCCCGTCCTAGCTCCCTCCTGGGTTAAAGTTATTCAGACCTTCCCGGTTTGCCCTGTAGAGATGCAAAATAACTCTCTTTGCATATGAGGAATGAAGCTGTCCTGTTATTGACATGCAAAATGCCTCTCCACGGCCCGGCTCCGGGTCTCCCAACCCCGATGGCGGACCGCCTGGGCGGGGTGAACTTCTTACATTTTTCTTGGACACCCCAGGTTCTGGATCCCGTTACAGATCCCCTTTGGGGGGGCCCTGGCTGTGCCCCATTATACGAGGGCTCTGTGAGGGGGGCTTCCGTGCCACCTGCCTCGTCTGAACGAAGGGATCCTGTTTCAACAGGGACCTGCGTCCGAGGTTTCTGAGCTGGAGGCTGCTAATTGCCCTCCCAGCAAAAGAAGAAGAGAGGGGGCAGCCCCGGGTGAGGTGGCCGACGTGCTCTCTGAGGACCCGGAGCAGGTAATCGGCTAAGCAGCGGACCGGCGCCTCCGGCCTGCCCCTGCCCCTGCCTGCCAGTCTAGGCCCCTCCCCGGGCCGTGCCGTGCTGTGGGTTTCGGCACTTGCGACCGAGGGCGAGTGGCTACAATTTTACATTCCAGCTGGTATGGCAGGTGCCGCCTCCCCCATCCTCCCGTCTGCCCTTTCGCTTCTGGTGGCAGCGCCTCCTTCGAGAGGCGGGCACTCTTCAGGGCAGAGGGCCGGCCGCCGCTGCTGCCTGAGCACCCGGGGCGCCGCGCGCCACGGAGTTCAGGCCCTGGGTTCAGGAAGCTCGCGTGCGGCGTTGGTTCGTTTTCTGTAGCATTGGGGTCACTTCCGCGCGCAGCAGTAATATCAGAAGCGACACTTGCCAACGCGTGTACTGAAAGTGTTTGTTTTGGAGGCAAGGCCTGGATGTAAGGGGGTTCTGTTTCTGTTAAAAGCAGGTTTGGGCCCCGGCTGGCGCGGCTCAGTGGCTTGAGCGCAGGCCTGCGAATGGAAAGGCCGCGGGTTCAATTCCCGGCTGGGGCACACGCCTGGGTTGCAGGCCAGGCCCCAGGTGGCGGCATATGAGAGGCGACTGATCGATGTTTCTCTCCCTCTCTTTCTCCTTCCCTTCCCTGTCTCTAAAATTAAATAAAAATAAAACCTTAAAGAAAAAGCGGGTTTGGGTTGGTGGCTGCCGCCCCAGTTGAAAGCCGCCGGCTGCTGCGGGTGGCGCGGGCTGGCCTGGGGTCCACCTCCCGGTGTGCTGCTGTGGCGGCGGCCAGCCTGTCCCCGACAGGTGTCTTCCAGGAACCGGTCCCGGTCCCTGCAAGGGTCCCTTCTGTACTTGTAGTTACTCACCGCAGTCTTTACATAGCCGGCCCTCGCTCGGGCACGTGCCTTCTCGTTCCGAGCCCACTGGCTGCCCCGCTCCTTCTGGAAGGCGGGCCTGGCCCTGGTCCCAGGAGGGCAGCCGGCGCCTGCTCATGAGGTCACATCCCACCCGCCACCTTTGGAGAAGCCTGGAGGGTTGGCCGCCTGCCCCCGCGGGGTCCTCCTGTGCAGTCTCATGCCCCGAGGACCCTGCGGCCTGAGTCTGTCTGAGAGAACCCGTGTCTGGTTTGATCAAAGCTATTCGAACGTTGGGCACCCTGGCCTGGGCTGGGGCTTCTGTACAGGTGGGAAACCACCTAATGTGAGGTCTGGTTATTTGAACTTAGAAATCGTTCGCTTGCAAATAACTGAGAACCGAGCTCAGATTAATTGGTGTGATCCCGGGAATTCGTCACGCGTATAACGGAGAAATCCTCAGGTGGACGGCTGCTGGCGAGGCCCAATTCAGGCACGGGTGACAGTCCCCAGGCCCAGGTGTCCCTGCCCGGCCCTCCTGACGCTGGCGTCGCCTTCCACGCTGTCTGCAGCCCTCCGGACGCTTCCACTGTGTGTTGCGTTGTGGCGTCCACACTCGTCCATTCCCGCTGCCGCATCCGGGGACGGGAGAGCGGCTCCCTGGGTGGCTCTTTGGAAGACAGAGGAAGCACCTCTTTACCAGGAGACGCTTCCCTCGGGTCTCACGGGCTCCGACTGGGTCCTGTACTCGTCCCCGAACCAGTCAAGTGGCCGGGGTGATAGGGTGACCGTGGGTCGCATGGGGAGAGCGGAGCAGGGAGCCCCGGGGGCACAGTGGCCCCTGCGGTGTGGGGGCGCCCGGGGCCCCTCGCCTGTGCCTGGCGTCTCTCGAAGGGGCTCGGCGTGCTGTGGCCCATCCGGTCCTCACAGCGGCCTGATGACCTAGGGTGCCCGCTGTCCCCATTGTACAGATGGGGAAACTGAGGCTCGCTGTCGCTCAGCAGCCCGTGCCTGGTCCTGGGGGCGGCGTGGCGCGTGTGGGGCCCGCGGGTCAGCCGCCCTCCCTGGTTCCTGTCCAGACTCCTTTCTCTCGTTGCTTCTTCAAAGCCCCGGCTTGTGTCTATCGAGGCCCCTGCCTGTCCCGGACGTGCCGTCTCAGCTCCGCCAGAGAGAGATGGAAGCTCGGGAGGGCGGCGCGGGCCCCGGGCCCCGACCACGGACACGGTGGAGATGGGAGGGCGGTGCCCGCAGAGAGTGCTCCGGCGGTGCCCGTGTGTGGGAGGGGCGTCCGGTCAGAGCCCAGGGGAGAGGGGACACCTCTCAGCCCTGTCTTACCCTCGCATCAGCACCGTGCTCCCCACCAGCACGGGCGGGCCCGCCGCCCCCGGCGGTTTGCGGGGCTCGGGGGGAGTCCCTGTGCCTTTGCCCAGTCCAGCGCTGGCCTCCCCCCTCCGCCCCCGCCCCCGCTGGGCCCTGCTCTCTGGGGGTCTCTGCTGCACAGCCCGAGCCCCTGCAGTAGGGGCCTCTTCTGGGCCCCCAGCAGCCCCCCACTCTGTGGACACCCCACCGGGCACCTGGTGAGTGAACCGGGCCGCCTGCCCCCCACGGCCCCTCCCCAGACAGGGGCTCCCATGTGTGGAGCGGAGGACAGAAAGCCTCCGCTTTGCTGGGTAGAAAAAGCTGATATTCATTGTAAAATCACCACAAAATATTGGAGACTTGGCAAAGTTATCTCGCTCCAGTTCTCTGTGAGCGCAGGCAGAGCCGGCGTTGCAGAGCTTCAGCATCGAGGGCGGTGCCCGACGGGGCAGAACTGGCTGCATGTGCTGCGTGTGCAGCGGTGTGCAGCGTGTGGTACATGCACAGCCGTGTGCTGTGTGCACAGCCGTGTGCGGCTTTAGGATGGGCGGCAGTGGTCTCCTGGGCGCAGCTGTCAGGCACCTGGTTCTGGGGCAAGAGGGCAGGCGGATGGCGACCCAGAGTGTGAGAGGCGAGGATGGAGGCGGGGGGGCCGGGCTCGGCCTGGTGGGCTTGTGTGTGAAAGATGGCTCCTTGGCAGGGGTGCCTCCGGGGTCGGCAGGGCCCCCAACGACAGAGCATCATAAAGACAGAAGATGAAGTGCAGGCTCAGCGCTGGGGGCCCAGGCAGGAGGGGGGCGGGACGGGCTGTGGGGCAGTGAGCAGGGGTCCGAACTCGGGCTGCGGTGCTGGGCCAGCGAGGTGGTTGCGAGGCCCGAGCCCCCATGCGGCCCAGGGCCGGGGGTTTGCCGGAACCTCTGGCCGTGGCGTCTTTCGGATGCGGCCTGCGCCGTCCCCTCCAGGAAGCCTTCCGGGCTAAGGGCCCCCTCTGGTTTCCCAGTGTCCTCACGTGCCCCAGCAGCAGCCCTTCCGTACGCTGAGACTGCCTGTTTCCGGTCTGCGTCCCCTCCCCCGCCCGAGTGAGTGGCCTCGCTGGGGACAAGTCGTGATCGCTGGCTCTCCGTTCCTAGCGCAGAGCTGCGGACGCCCGCCTGGGTCGGTCAGCTGCGGACGCCTGGGGACGTTATCTCGGGAGCGTGGCGCTCGCCAGGAGCTTCTGGGAAGGGCTGTTGGCCGCATGGTCCCCGCCCCCGGCCCACTGCCAGTTTGGCCAGTGGCTCTCAACCAGAGTGAACAGAGGGGCCGGGGCCGGGTCCCCCAGTGGCCAGACCAGAGCCGGGCGCCTGGGGCGGCCCCCCAGGGGCGGCCTCGGGCAGCGCTGCCTTGGAAGCTCAGAGCCTCGGGCCCCCGACTCGCGCCGAATGCCCATCCCCGCGTGATCCAGGCCACTGGAGACCTGGGCCTCCCATGCAGGTGCCACCGCTTGCAACGACCGTCCCGAGCCCTTTTCCCTGCGATGTTTGCGGCACCCGTCCTCAGGCGTCCTCCGGGGTCGCTGTGGGAGGATGTGCTGGAGGTTCGGTCAGGAAACCCCAGAGCGGACGAGAGTGAGGCCCCCCCACCCCAAGCGCAGACGCCGCTGAGCTCTGCCTGCCCCGTCCCTGGCGACGCCACTGAGGCAGGGCAGGCGGGTCAGAGTCCGCACCTGCCTTCAGTGGGGTTGCGAGTCACCCACGCTTAGCGAAGTGATCAATACTCGCTCCAGAGCGTTGTCCCCGTGGGCTCCTCGAAAGGTCCCGCCACACCGGCCTCTTGCAAGCACCATTTCCGACTCCAAAGCTGGGAGCCGTCTGCTCTGAGCAAGGGCCTCAGGGACGAGGCCCCGCGTGCCCACGTGCGGGCCGGGCGGAGCTATTCCGCCAGTTCCCTTCAGTCTCATCCTTTTCGCGAGTTCAGTTTTGTGTACGTCGCATGCATGACGTAAGAGTGTAACCGCGGATGCCCGCATATGCCCTCCGAGCACCCTCCTCACGGGCTCTACATCCGCGTGAGGTTGCAGCTGGGCCGCCTGTCCCTCAGCTCTGTTCACCACCCCGTTCCTTCTGTGCCTTGTCGTCGTTCTTCCCAAGGTGAAGAGATGGCAGGTCCCGCGGATGTCAGGGGGGTGGCTCAGCGAAGCTCGCCGTTCCCGAGCCACTGAGAAGAAATTGGAGGAAAGCTTGGGTGAGAACCAGATATGCCTAAGAAGCATCTCTTTTTCTGTCTAGAGCAAGAGGAGGAGGAGGAAACGGAGACAGAACAAGAGTGCCTCTGCGTCCACAGGGCCAGAGTCCCTGTCCTCCCCCGCCTCCATGCCCGGCGGCCTGCATTTTCTGGCCAGCCCTGAGGTCCCGGACGCAGCCCTGCCCGCAAGCCCAGCTCAGGCAGCCACGGGGGGCGAGTCTGCAGGCAGCGAGGCCCCCCAGGATCAGACTCGTGGGGATGCCCTCCCAGAAGGAAAGGGCCAGGAAGGGCCCAGCCCCACCCCTGCAGCCAGTGTGGATGGTCCCGGAAAGAAAGCCGCTGCCCAGGAGCTGCCGCTGCCTGAGCCAGACGGGGCGCACTCTGAGCCCCGGAAGGAACTGCGGGCCGCCGGGCAGCGGCCTGCAGCCCCCGCCTCTGGGGTGAGTTGTGGCGGGGGGTGGGGGAATGACCAAGGCTGGCCTGCCATGCCCTGGACGCCTTGCTGCGTGGTGCAGCTGTGCCGCTGCCTCCCTGTCTGGGGAGGGTGGCTGTCCCCCGGCACTTGCTCCCAGGAATGGGGCTGCGGGAGGAGCTGGCCCTCCATCCTGAGCTGTGGGCCCTCACGTCACCAAGGCACAGTCTCTGTTCACTTTGTCACCTCAGGCCTGCGGTTGTGAGGTTTCTTTTTTTTAAAAGAGACTTTATTTATTTTAGAGAGAGGGGTAAAGGAGAAAGAAAGAGAGGGAGAGAAACATCAACGTGCAAGACAAACACCAATAAGTTGCCTATCGTACGCGCCCCAGCCTGGGACCAAACCCGCAACCCAGGCTGCGCCCTGACCGGGAATTGAACCGGAGACCTTTCACTTTGCGGGGTGACGCTGAGCCACACAGGTCAGGGCTTGGGGTCTTTATTTCTTCCAGGCTATTGAAGCCCCAGCTGAACCAGCAACTCCAGGGAAGGGAGCTGAGAAGAAAGTTCAAAATAAGACTCAGGAATCGAAACAGCCGCGCGCCAACGACCCTGCTTCCCGAGAGCACCGCCAGGTACAGCGCCCCCTCCTGTGCAGGGTGCCCGCGTGCCTGCGGTCCGTCCCACGGTCGGCTCCTTTAGGCCCTGTTCCTCTGCAGCTTGTCTTTTACCCAGTTATTCCCCAAATACGTGTGAGGTGCCGGGGTGGAGCCGAGAGCGGCCCCTCTCCTGCCTTCTGAGCCCACACTCCGGAAGGGAGAGACGCGACACACCGCGGGGCAGGGTAGAGGCCAGGGGCCTGGAGGGGGAGGCCGCTGGGTGAGGCCTCTCCGAGGAGGGGTTGCTGTCGTGGACCCGTCGGTGGGCAAGAGGCAGGCCACCGGGCGACGTGGGACGTGTCCCTGGCCGAGGGAATGGCACGTGCAGGGGCCCTGAGGGAGAGTGTGGTGGCAGCCGGGGCCAGGATCTGTGCGGGCAGGGGTCGGGGGGCGAGGCGTCCTCAGAGGCTGTGGTGGGTGCCCCCGGCTATCGGGGGCACCCTTGGGGGCCAGTGTTAGAGGTTAGGGTTTGGTTTCTTGTCCCAGGAATCTGAAACCACGGGCAAGACGGCCGTTTCTGGAGAGGAAGCCAAGCCCCAAGCCCTGAAGAAGCCGGGAGAGGCTCCCGGGCCGGACGCGGCCGCCATGAAGGAGAAGGCGCAGAAGACGCAGAAAGCGGATGTGCAGGAAGTGCCGCGGAGGTGGGGTGCGGCTGGCGGGGGGCCGGGGGGCTGCTGCCCCACTTTCTTGCCTGCCTTACGTTCTCAGCCACCTAGTCCCTGGGACCCCAGAGGGAACAAGGGCCTTGCAGAACCCAGGAGGCAGGCTGCCACGGTCTAGAGCCCCAGCCAGCCCCTCCCCTCCGGCCCCAGCCCCAGCCCTTGGGAGGCCCTAGACTGTCCCCTGCCCTGGCCCGCTTGTGGGGCAGAGATGAGAGGTCCCTGGTGGGCAGTGTGTCCCAGGGCCAAGGCGCTGGGTTTGTGCTGAGTACATGTTAATGGTGAAGAAACAAGGACCGTGTGTGCACGTGAGCATGCATGTGAGCGCATGCGGGCACACGCCTGTGTGCAGCCACCTCTGCACTCATACATACAAACGTGTGCGCGCGCGCTCACCCCTGCATGTATGTGCAGCTGCATGTACGTGTGCATGGATGCACACTCACTTCTGTGTGCACAAGTATGCACACATGTGTGCATGTTTGAACACGTGACTACACACATGATTGTGTGTGCACGTGCGCGCACACCTGCACAGTTGTGTGTTGTGTTCGTGTTTGTGCGCATGTGCATGTATGCATGTGTGTCTGTGTGTGAGCGTGTGTGCGAGCATGCACCTGCACGTGGCAGGGGGTGGGCAGGTCCCGGTCGAGCCCTCATTTCCTGGTGGCCTTCCTGCAGCGCCCTGAGCCCCGTGGAAGGGGTCACGGTGTTCTTCCACGCCATCATTTCCAAGGACTTCGGCTTCCAGCCCGACCAGCACAAGGTGTTTGTCCGTGGGGGCGCACAGCTTGGGGAGCCAGAATGGAACCGGAACGTGTGCGAAATGCACTGCACCAAGTGAGTGTGCCCCAGGCGGGTGAGCGGCCTTTGGGGTGTACCGCGCGCCCACCTTTGAGGTCGACTGAAACAGTTCTTTGTAGTGGAGCTGATGATGACATTCTTAGAATTTTGGAAAATGAGTATTTCAAACAGCTCTTCCCCATGATGCAGTTGTCGCTGTCGCCATGGGAACACCCCTGCGATCAGCGTCGATTTGTAGCTCCCAGCATGCACTCCGTGCTGTGCGTGGGAGCACAGGCACCTCCGAGAGGGCCTTCCCGTCACCGGGGGTGTCCTGCTTGTTCACAGAGACATGCACCCTCACGGGTACCTCGTCGAAGGCAGCACTGTCATCTCCAAGCAGCACCTGAACAAACCCATTCCGTACAAGTACGTGGTCAACCGTGGCCAGAAGCAAGTAGAGTTTGAGTTCATCTATGAAAATCAGAAGGGGAATGCGCACATCAACCGCTGCCTGCACGTGAAGTCTGAGCTGCTGGGCGCGGGAGGTGAGTCGCGGCGGGTGCTGGGCCAGCTCCCCGGGCTGGGCCCTCCTCTCCAGAGAGCAGAGGCCCCCTTGGCCCGTGGGGGTCCTCTCTGCTCGGCACTGGCCGCACCCCCAGCGCCGCATGCAGCACACCTGAGCTGGGAGGTGCGTTTCCACCACGGCCGTGTAGGAGGGGAAACAAGGGTCAGGGTGTGTAATGAAGCGAAGGTCTGAAGTGATGCTGTAGGAAGCCAGGGGGCCGGGGAAGTGGGGCTGGCAGTTGCGCCTTCTGCAGATTTCCAGCTGGCGCCCGGGACTGACGGCGGGCGAAGCCGGAAGAGCGCCACCTTCTCATCACTTTATTCTCTGTTCGGTCTTCTTCTCCTTGTAGTTTATGTCTTCCTTTCCTGTTTCTCTCGCTCCGTTTTACACTCTCGGCTCGTAGCTGTGTCTGTGTCTGCGTGTGTCTGCGTGTGTCTACGTGTGCCTGCGTGTGCCTGCGTGTGCCTGTCCGCCCGGGCGGAGGTCTCCGTCTGCCACGCCACCTGTGCCGTCCTCCGCGGCCGGTACCACGCCTCCCAGCAGGGGGCAGCGGCACTTGCACTGAGTAACTCAGGAGCGGCGCCCACCTGCCAGCGAATCACAGTTTCGTATCAAACGTTTACCCTCCGACAGACCATTTTCTAAGGAGCTCCTGTACCCCGTTTACCGAGCCATAGCGTTTGCCAGGTACTTTCCGGGCAGCTGAGTCGTGTGACCCGTGTCACCTTGCGCCCGGGCGGTGCCTACACACCAGGCCCGCACCGGCCGCGCTCCTTCACTGGCCAGGCCCTGCGTGCTTGCCCCCGAGGGGCCCCTGACCGGCACACCTCGGCCGCCTCCCGCTGACCACAGCCCTCGGGCCGTCCTCCTTCCCTCCCTGGCCGGACTTGCCGTTCCGCTCTGTTCCTGGTAGCCAAGAGCGGCCTTCCAGGGCAGAGCGTCCGGGGCCAGGGTGTGTGTGCGTGTGTGCGTGCGCGCACGTGTGTGTGTGACGTCCTTCCTCTCCCTCCTAGACTGGCATCAGTACGATGACATCGCTTGCATGAAGCCACCCGGGAAGGTCCAGGCATTCCTGAATAAGTTGTGGGACCAGACGAGGAATAAGCTGGTGAAGGGGAAGAAGATCGCCGCTGGCATCATGGTGGACAGCCTCTTCAGCATCCTCCAGTCCTGGAGCGCCATCAACCTGAAGGGCTTCATCACTCAGTTCCACCAGTTTTATTCCGTCATCCGAGCGCCCATGATCTACGAGATGGGGCCACGGCCCTGGAGCTCCCTTCAGTACGAGGAGAAGCAGGTATAGGTTTCAGGGGAGGGGGTTGCAGCCACTCCCTTCTCTGCCTTCTGGGCAGCCAGCATCACCCCGCCTCCTGGTGGCCAGCTGACCTCTAGACTCAGTGGGCAGGAACAGACGGGGGGCGGGGGGGTGGCGGGGGAGGGGGGGGCGGGGGGGGCGGGGGGGCCAGGTAGACCTCCCGCCCCTTTTCTCCAAACACCTCCTTGGGAATTCTTTCCCAAGAAGAAAGAAAAAAGGAAAAAAGAGGAAAGAAATACCTTTCCTGTTTTATTGCTTCTCCCAGCACTGGTCTGATCCCCTCACTGAACCCCACCCCAACGGCTGGTCCCACCTCCTGCCCCAGCCCCGCCCACCCGCTGGCCCCGCCCCACCCGCCCCCACCGCGGGTCCGCCTGCTCACTGGGTCTCCAGGCGGAGGCGAACGGTGGAACCCTCCGCACTGCCCGTGCACCTGCCCGGCGCTGGGGCCTGGGTAGTTGGGAGACGCCTCTGGGGCCAGGTCTGAGGCGGCCGCTGAACCCTCGGAAGCATGCAGAGCCCACACCCGAAAGCCCCTCCGTCATGACGGAGTCTCTGGGCGGCATCCTTCGTGGCGGCTTCCAAAGGTCCAGCGCACCGAGGCCCTGGGACGGGGGTGCGCGGCTGTAGCGGGGAGGCAGGGCATGCGCGCCTCCGCCCAGGGCACGGGGGACTCGGGCGGTGATGGGGCGGCTCGGAGGGATTCAGCTCCCCGCCTGTGTCTCCCGGGTCTCCTGGGTCAGGTGAAGGAAGACCTGTGGGAGCATTTGAAACACAAAATGGCACCGTTACTGGCGGAGAAGCCCCTGCCTGCAGATTTCCCGGTGAAGAGCCGGCTGAGGATGGGCCTCGTTGTCCTGCGCTTGGTCCACGAACTTCAGCTTCCCGTGTCCGCGCCCGACCTGTCCTCGCTGTGCGACCTCCTTTGCTGGAATGGCCAGTCCCTTGAGGAATTCCACGCCGAACTAAGCCTCATGGCCGAAGCGCCCCAGAGGTAGTGTGTGTGTGTGTGTGTGTGTGTGTGTGTGTGAGAGAGAGAGGGAGGGAGGGAGAGAGAGAGAGGGAGAGAGAGAGAGAGAGAGAGAGAGAGAGATTGATTTCGTAGCGTTGCTGGTGGTTTTCGCCTGGTAAGTCAGTGCTGGGCAGAAGTGGACGAGAACACGCGGGAAGTAAGGGCCACCCGCGGTGTCCGCGCTCCCGGCTGGCACGTGAGCGCCGGCTCCTGCACCCGGGGCTCTTCAGCCGTCCCCACGGGACCGCGCGCCTGAGCTGATAGTGCCTAAGATCCGCAGCGTGCCCCGAGGTGTATCTTTTGCCGATCTGACCCCCAAAATTGGTAGTATTTTGATTCATTTATACCGGGTGGCTATTGGGCTGGCTGTGGTCATTATTTTCCTTTTAACAATCTGAGGGACAAGAGGTCAGTGCCCCTGATTAAATAGCCGGGTAGCGCCTATTTTAAAATGTCACGCGGCACACCGGTTGAAAGTTGCTGCTCCAGCCTTTCTGCTCGCATGTATGCTGGTTCTTCCGTAAGCTGCCGGCTGCGCCGCTTTGAGATGCCGTGTGGCGTGTCACGCCACGGCCCGGACGCTTGCACAGGTACCGTGGGCGCCCGCCCCGCGGCCTGTGCCCCCTCGTGTTTAGTTCAGGAGACGCGGGGCTGCCGTGCTGGTCTGGGAGCACCCGAGGTGGCAAGGTCATGGCCAACCATGGGGAGCGCACGTTTTACTGAGGTTCCGGGGGCACCTCGTGAGCGACCCCCGGCGATCCCAGCGGCTTCCCGCAGTGTCTGTGGCAGCTGTTGGAACTGACCTTGAGGACGGTGTGGGGTGGCCTGCCCCAAGCAGCGGGTCTCGGACGGCGGGCTGTGGGTTTGGAGGTGACGGCACCTGCCGAACGCTGTCCGTTTTCACCGAGAGGAGGGACCGAGGCGAACAGACGGTGTCGGCGCAAGGGTCCCGAGTGTGGCGTTGTCGGCGTGTCCTAGGGAAACGCCATGTGCTTTCGATGGCCGCCCTGTCACACTTACGAGGCCGCTCCCACGTGGCGTCCCTGCCGGGCCACGTGCTTGCTGCTGCGGGTGCCTGGGCCTCAGTGTCCTCTGATGTCGAGGAAGGTGGGAGCGGCTCCCGTGGGGGTTTGCTGCGGGGCTCAGCGAGGGCCTCCCCAGTGTCCGACGCTCGGGGGGTGAGGCTGCGGGCGCCCTGTCTCCCACGCGACCCCCTCCTGCCCGGCCTGGCACTCCGTGCTCAGCCGCCCGGGCGCCCTGGCTGCTCTGTGGGAGGAGCTGGCCCCGCCCCGGCGACATGTCAGGCCGCACGGTTTGCCCTCGGCTCACGGCGGGGCCTCTGGTCCTTTTCCAGGTGGCGAGAGGCCCTGATGGACCTGTGCCGAAAGAGCATGGCCCAACAGGTCGACCTCTGGGTGGGCGTCTTGCCTGTGCTCCACCACTTCACGGAGCGGCCCCCTCCAGCAGGGGGCGCCGCGATGCAGCAAGAGGACACCTGGGCAGCCCTCAGAGGCCTCCCTTTCAAGGAGTTTCGGGAAAAGAGAGCCAATCAGTAAGTTGTGGGGCTCGGTTTCTGTCCGTAAGTCTCGGTGGACTTCCATGGGGACCCGAGGAGTGTGTCACTTCTCAGAGAATGACTTTTTAAAAAAAAAAAAAAAGTGTAAACATACAAGGAATAGAAAGAAAAATACAAAAGCGGCTGTTGAAAATCTTTTGGTAGCGAAGCCTTTTAGAGAAGATACAGAAAGCAGAATCCACGAGAGAAAATGGTAAATCAATATCAGTGCAAAAATTAAATCAAAACCGAAGAAAACACAAATGCAAACTAAGTACAAAATGGTGAATACCGGCGCTCCATTCCTTGTACATCCTCTGTGCACGGGGCCTTTTGTCAGGGCGACCGTCCTGTATACAAGCTGCCCTGGCCCTACGGGGCTGGCCCGCGGGGTTTCGGGGGTGAGGCAGCGGGCCCCGGCGGTCACTGCTTCTTCGCAGCTGCTGGAATGGACCTTTTGAGTTAGCTGCCCAGCCGCGGTTTGGTATATGCTTGCTTGTGCTGTAAGTGCATTCACTGCGGCCGGCACACGGAGACAGCTCAGGTGCCTGTTAACGGATGGGTGGGTCAGGAAGGTATGTGTGCACAATGGCACCTTCTGGGGCGAGGAGAAAGAAGGCGCGCTTCCTCGCAGGTGCGCCTGGAGGGCGCTGTGCCGAGCGAGGGGAGTCAGACAGAGAGAGGTCCCGGGTGGCACTTCTGTGCGGGAGGGGAACAAGTCACACTCCAACAGACAGAGGAGCCTTTGGTCACCAGGGGCTCGGGGCTCAGGGAGGAGTCGGTGTGGGTCCGAGGATGCAAAGCCCCAGCCCCGCAGCGCGCCCTGGGCGCGGAGGCACAGCTCGGTGTCGGGAGTTGACAGCGCCGTGCTCCAGGCAGGAGAGCTGCCCAGAGAGCAGGTGCCCCGCGGAGGCAACGCGGGCTGTGCGGCAGGGCGAGGAGCCCCGGGCGCCGCGGCCATCGCCCCAGGACGCAGACCGCAGGTGTGTCCCGTCAACGCGCTGGACGCGTCGAGGTGACGGTGCCCCGTGTCAGTTATGTCTCAGCAGAGCTGGCGCAGTGCTTGGCCCTCAGTGGTCTTTTGCTCGTGGTAACATGTACATCACGTGCGATTTACCAGGTCATCCATTTTCAGTGCGCAGCTCGGTCGCATTAAGCACGGTCACGTTGCCGTGCAGCCGTCACCCTGTCCTCTCCAGGGCTTTGTCATCGTCCCCAGAGGAAACACTCTGTCCCCATGAAACACCCCCTCCCCAGCCTTCCCTGACCCCCGGTTGCGCCCTCTGTCCCTGTGGATGTGACCCGTCCAGGCCCTCCACGCGGGCAGGAGGGTCACGCAGGGCTGTCCTTCTGCATCTGGCCGTGTCCCTCAGCACAGTGTCCGCCAGGCCCCTCCATGCCGGCGAACTCTTACACGCCCCTGTTTACTTGTCCTTCGATTCACTGCGTAGCATTTAAATCGTCTTAAAAACCTGAACTCCCAACCTGCCCAAAGCGCGGCTTGACGTCACTGAGTCTGGGTGACAGATGTCACCGCCCCTTCACGGCTCCTCCCGACCCTCCCCCAGGAACCAGCTGCTGCAGCTGATGGGGGAGAAGAAGCCACTGCTGGCCGTGGACGCATACCTGTTCCGGTCCTGGTTCAGTCTGCTGCCGCTGCACAGCCTGGTTGCCTACCTGAAAGAGTTCACCGACTGCTTCAGTTGCTTTCGGGCCCGAGTCCTGGACTGTCTGCTGGGGACCTTCCACCGGCTTCAAGGACTGAAGGAAATCTCTCATGGAAACCTGAAGGTTTGCGCCTGCAGGAGGGGCTTGAGCTCTTGCTCAGCGACAGCACACCAAACGGTGGGGTGCGCTGACCAGGGGGCGGGGAGGGACCCCTGTTCTTCCACTTCCATAAAGCTCCCGCCATTTCTCCTGCTTGGCTGCGGAGGCAGGGGGCGAAGTCGCCCCGAAGGCTGGCACATGCCACGGGTCCCAGCGGCCTTCTCCATTTGGGGGTGGAAACAATGGTGTAATTTTAAACCTTGAATTTTATTTCTAAACATGCGTAGTACTGGAGCCTCTTAAAGCTCGTTTGTAGGAAGACGTGAGCGAACTGCTCCGCCCATTGCCGGGTCTGTGTCAGCGAAGGTTGGGGGGGGGGGGGCGCCGTGGCTCACCCCACCCTGTTTTCCTTCCCGCCACCACCCTAGGATGTTCAGGGCATTTTGGATATGCTGTTGAACCTCCTGGACAAGTTTAAAGACAAGTAAGTAGAAAACCTAAATGTGGTCTCTGGCATTTGGTTGTCCCTTATGAGGTGGCCCATCCCATAGTGGCCGGTGTCATTGGAAGGTGACAAGTCAGTGTCCCTCCCTCTTCTTGCTTTGCGCCAGTGATGGAGTCACCTGCATTTTAAAGGATGCGATAGGGCATGGCTATCAGGTCCCTTCCCTCGGGCCTGCGTTCCTGTGCGTCCCCACGCCTTCCTCCCTGGCCGCGGTCACACGGTGCACAGTGCACGGTCCGCTGGCGTTTCTCCCTGCCTCTCTCCCTCCTGGGTCTCCCAGAATTGGTTTCCCGTTTACACGTCGTTCAGTCTTTAGTCATGTAGTGCATCCCTAGCTTTTTTCCATGGAAGGGGCTTCCCTTGGAATAGTTGAACGTGCTTTTGTGGAAGCACTTCAGACCAGGGACAGAGCCCAGAGGACTCCGTTTGCTTTCCCCCTCGACACGAGTCTGAGATGGCCTGAAATTGACTGAAGCTACCGTAAGGGGCCCAAACACATGCCTCACCAGCGGTGTTTTGGAGGGAAGGCTCCTGGGTGACCGGGGCTGTCCTCTCATGTCTCCCGGGTCACTTGGGTGACGTCTCTTCCCTCCCCGCGGGGCAGGATCCTCGAGGAGAACTCCATCCAGTCCTGCTGGACCGTGTGCCTGGAGCTCCACGAGACTGTCTGCACACTCACCAAAAGCCCTGTGTTCCATGAGCTGCCTGCCTTGTCTGCTGAGATTGTTTGTGCAGTTACTACCGTGAAGCCTCCAGCGGTGAGCGGAACACGCCTCCCTAACCTCACGCCCGGGGCGGGGATGGAATTCCAAGTAGCCTCCATTCCCAGACGAGGTTGACTACTTCTAGGGTGGCGCCGGCTCCGTAGTCTGCGGTCGCTGGTGCGGCGCCTCTGTTCTACGCGTCGAGGACGTCGCGGTGAACCCGCACGGGCCTTGTCCCCTCGGGTCTCACCCTGGAGGGAGGGAGGAGTTAAGTGCAGAACATCAGGTGGCTGGGCAATTACAGAGCGGAGCAGGTGGCACGGGTGGCAGGTGACACCCTCGAGTACGTCCACGTATGGCCTTTCCCACGCGTGCCTTTTCCTGCCCGCGTGAACTTAAACACAGCAGCAAAGGCCGCACACGCCACGTGCATGGCTCGGTGCCTTTGTACCCGGCTGCCCGCCCTGACCTGGCTGCGCCGCCCATGTCCACTCCTCCCGAAGGCAACCGCGCTTCAGGTTCCCCAGTCAGCGCTCTTGTCTTTGAACTTTCTCCTTTTTGCGCCTGACTTTCTTCGTGCATGTTGTGTGTCCGAGGTTCCCCCAGGTGCTGCTGGCGCCTGTGGTTCGTGCCGTTTCATCGTTAGGGGGTCCTCAGCCCCTTGAGTTTACGAGCTGCCATGTGTGGAGATGGAGTGAAATTTCCACCTGCTATTTTCATCGTTTACTTGTTAACCGGGTTACATGCCAGAACCGAGACTTGAGTGTTATAAAATAATTGTGTGTTTTAACTTTATGGCTTTTAGGTGTTTTTTTTCCCCCCCTTAAAATGCCAGAGACACATTTTTAAAAAAGTTTGTATTTATTTCTTTTTCGAGAGAGGAAGGGAGGAAGAGAGAGAGAAGCTTCAGTGTGCGAGAGATACATCAATTGGTTGCCTCTCACACGCCCCCTACTGGGGGCCTGGCTCACAACCCAGGCATGTGCCCTGACCAGGAATCGAACCGGCGATCCTTTGGTTCACAGGCTGGCACTGCATCCACTGAGCCACACCAGCCAGAGCCAGAGACACATTTTTAATTGATATTGGTAAGACGACCATTTTCTCTGAAGCAGGTGCTAGTTGAAACCGTCACAGGCAGGAGCCGGCTTCCAGTTCTTTTGTTTGTAGGAAATCCGTCACTTACGGAGGTGCCGCTTCCCCATGAGTAACTATCTTAGACCACGGTTGGGATCTCAGATTAGCGTAATCCATAAGGCGGTCAAAAGGGTACAGGGGAAACGCCCAGAAACGCGGTTCCCGCTGACGCAGTAAAGAATTACAGATCAGTAAGTCTGTTCAGGAGGGAGCTGGGTCTGTTGGTGCTAAGCTCTCATGGAAGAGAAGGGCCTCTCCGACGTGGGGTGGCAGGCGCAGGCGCAGGGCAGGGCGGGGCGAGGGCGGCAGGAGCCCCAGGCCCTCTGTCCTGAGTGCGTCTGCAGCTGGCGGGATGGGGTGAGGGGTTACAGGTTGTGTGCCCGGCCAAGGTGGTGCCAGCTTCCAGGACGGGGCGTGGCCACCCACAGGTGTTGCGGGCTGCTTCCTTTGGCTGCTGTGGGCCCTTCTCGGCCTTTCAGGCCTTGGGATGGAAGCGCAGTTCCAAAGGCTTTCTTTCCCGGCCAGTGGAAAAGACAGCGGGAATTGCAAGGACCGCTGGGGGCGGGGGGCTTGCCCCGCCTTGGTGGGCTGTCTGCCCCGCCTAACGGAAACACCCCGCTGGGCCGTAGAAACAAAACGCTTTGCAAAACTGAAACCAAACAAAAGTCACGGGGAGTTATGTAAGTGGTTTTGGTTGGTGCCAATACAAAGGGTGAACAGGATCGAAGGACCAGATGGAGGAAAACAAGGGGAGAAGGTGAGGCTTCCCAGGTAGATTTTCAGGCTCGGAACTGCCCCTCTCTTACCTGTCTGTGTCCGGCCCAGACGGGCTGTGGCAGCGGGGACTCGTTGAGGGGCCGTTGGAGAGCATGCGGGGGGCGTGGGGGGTCCGTGGGAAGCTGGGTGCTGACACGGTGCTCTGGGAGCCCAGGGCGGGGCCTGGGGCGGGCTGCGGCCCCACCGACGGGAGCCCGTGCCGAACGAGGGACACGGGCCGCTCGCCCCTTGGGAGGGCTGGCGGGGAGCCGAGGGTGGCGGAAGACGAAGCCCAGGCAGGGTCCCGGCGTGGGGGGCATGCATGTCTGCTGAAGCTCCTGGGTTGCTCTAGAAAGTGCTGTGCTCCTCGAGGACTTGAAGCAAGGGCCAGTGTGTCCAGCGTCGAGCGGAGAGCTGCCGCCATGTGTTCTGGGCTCCCCGCAGCCTCCCAGCTGGCCCCGGCTGTCCCCTGTCAGGGTGGAGTCCCCGCATGCCCCTGTGTGCCTGCACATGCCTCCTATCTTTCTGGATTGGCGCCTCTGTGGTTCCCGCCACGTTTGCCTGCCTGTCTGTCTGGGGACCGCGGGTCCCCACGCTCAGTGGTCGGTCAGCTCCTGTGACGGGACCACATGCTGCGCAGCATCCCCGGCCTGGAGCACAGGCACGAGGTGGCTCAGGCGGGCGGGCGTGGCGCCCGCAGGCCCAGGCTGTGGGCCCTGACACTCACACAGCTTGGGGGCTCCGGTGAGGAAATAAAACGCAACGCAGCACCGCGGGGCCCCCGCTCCGCGGCCTCGGGAGAGGTGTCTGTGGGAGTGAGCGGCCTGCGCTCCTCGGAGACGGGGGCGGGAGGCGTCACTGCCGGCCGGGGTCCCAGGCCCCAGGGGCTTGGGGGGGACGGGATGAGGCGGAAGCCCCTCCGAGTGAAGCGCCCGTGGGGAGGGGCGCGGGGCTGCGTCTTGTCACAGGCTGCGTGTCCCGGACACGGTCTGGTGCAAGGCCTGCATTCTCACCAGCTGGGGTCCGCTGAGCAGCCGGAGGCCCTGTGTCCCTGGGGGCACGTCCTCGCCGCCCCCTGCCTGCCCCCCGAGACAACGCGGCGGCTTTTCCTGAGTTGGAGTCCCTGGGCGTGTTGTTGGGGCGGCCGAGCTGCCCTGCTCCGTCGCTGTCGGCATGAATGCCAGCCATCCCTGCCCTCGCCTGTGCCCGCGTTGCCCACGTGGAGTGAGCTGGAAAGGTCGGGGGAAAATAAAGTGCCGAAAGAACGCAGGCTGCGGGCCCGGCCGGTGTGTGAACATCGCCGGGTGGCTTAAATGTGGCGACTTCCCTGGCGCCCGCCGGGAGCGCTGGGATGCCTCACCACGCCGTAGAGGGCACAGCACCAGGGCAGCTCACTCTCTCTCTCTGTCCCCTTTCGTAACAGGATTCAGAGGCAGGGCCGGGAAAGGAAGCCAGGGAAAGCTCAGCGAAGACCTTCGTCCAGGGCATCCTCGCCACTACGAGATCGTGGCTTCAGGGAATCTTCAAGAAGAGCATGTTCCGGAGCTCACACGACTCCTTTGTCACCGCTGTCACGTTCACATACGACCAGGAGATTCAGGTGAGCCGTGCGGCAGCACCGAGACCATGGAACGGGTCTGTGCGGGGATGCGACACCCGGGCCACAGCTGCACCCTGAGCGCCGGGGGCTCAGCTGGACAGTGGGTGCCGCAGGCCTGGGCCTCGGGTCCCTGCCAGCTCCCAGCGGGCGGCGGAAGGCCGGGGGCCGGTCGCGCTGCCTGCCGGCGCCCCGGCAGTTAAGCAGGCCTTGTCGGGAAGGAGCTCCGGGACGGCGACCTACGCCGGGGGCATTTGGTTATGAATCAAATCAGTGCTGAGGTCAGGAATCAAGTTTGTGACGTTGGACATGAAGAAAAGGATGAAAGCAGGGGCTCCGTCAAGGGGAAGCTGGGCCGAATGGCATCTGAATGTGGGAAAGGGGATTCAGCCCCAAAAAGGTGGGACTGGGAAGGTTTCCAGAAGGAAAAGCATCGAATACAGTCGCCTGCGCAGGAGAAGGGCGGCAGACCGGGGTGCGGTCAGGTGCGCCCGAGCTGGAGCCGGCTGGGCCCGAGTCCCAGGCGGTGGCCGGACAGGGCACCTGCCGGCGAAGCCTTCGCACTCCCGGTGGGTGTTAAGTGGCTCTGGCTTCTTCCCGTGTCCTCCAAGTTACCGAGGTCAGACCTCCTGCGCCTCCAGGGTGTTGGAAAACCATACCACCCACACAGCGGTCTTTACCCCTTTACCTTTCTGACGGTCTCGCCCCCCCTGGAGGGGGACACCTCTGGCTTCATGGGCTGCGTTTGGTCCTGCAGAGTTGCCCCTGTTTCTATATGCGAGGCCTGTTTCCTCTGTTCCCTGGAAAACCACACGGGTGGTGGCCATGCAGGCATCACCGGACAGGAAACGGGCGAAGATCATGGTCACGCAGACGCCATTCTCCCGGCTGGCTGCCAACATGACCGTGATAGGTGCAAGACGCGCGGCCGGTGGGAGACGCGCGGCCACCACAGGAGCTGGTTCCACACCACTTTACGTACCAATCCGAGGCTTTTCCTTCCTCCGTCCACCGGGGACGCTGTGACCTGAATGTGCAGCTCACCACTGATTTCCAGACTCTTCCCGGCCTCCTGACAGGACCAGGCCTGCTTTCCATCAAGAAAGTCTGCAAATAGAGGCCCCTGACAAGGGACAGACTAGGGCACGTGCCCTAGGAAGACGGTGGCAAACTCTGACTTGTACTTTGGAGGAGAGGACCGGAAAAGCGCCCTGACTGCCGGGTGAGGACTCAGACGCGCGGACAGAGACGCGCCCTGGCGGAGTCGAGCGGTTCCGTTCTCTCTCAGGACCCGACGGCGTCTGCCCGGAAGCCTGACGGACGCGCACGTGGGGACAGCTGCTGGTCCCCTGACGCAAGAGAATGACCCCAAGTCGGTGGCAGTGGGGGTGGCAAACTCCTACGATGGTAACTCAGATGCCGTCGGGCATCCACGCTGAGGCAGGTGCGGCCGCTGTCCCTGTTCTACAAAGAAGGGGCCGAGGTTTGGGGGATGCAGGCCGAGCAGCCCCGAGAACAGGTGCCTCCCCTTCAGCCTCAAAGCAAAGGGGGTGACCGACCCTGCCTGGGCTGCCGAAGGCCACGAGCTGCCGGCCACAGTCCTGGAGGGTGGGACGAGCCCCCTGACCGAGGGCCCCCTGACCTCACGGGGCCCGGCTGCCGCGGGCCGTCACCTTCCAGGGCCACTTCAGAAGCACAGTGACAACGCCACACAGCCGAGGCTGCGTGAACAGGGAGGGACCAACGACCCTCACCTCTGGGTGGCCCACGCAGAGGCACCGAGGGCCTTCATCCAAGTCCTCGGAGCCCAGACGCTGAGGGCCCGCCCTGAGAGCCGAGAAGATGCACATCAGCCTTGCGCCCGTCGGCAGCTCGGTTGTCAGTCACCTGGGCGGAGCGGCGCTAGGCTGCACTGTGAGTGCACCGGCCTCGGCCAGTGCCTGCCGGGCTTGGTGCTGCGGGAAGCCGGGTTCTCCTCGCTGCGCGGAAGGGCGTGTGGACGAGGGGAGACAGGAGAACTCCCGGCTGGAGGGGGCTCGGGTGTCAGCGTGAACGTATGATTCAGTTCATTGCAGCCTTATTTACAGCCTCGGAGGTCCGGAAGCAACTCAGGCGCCACCCGTAGGTGACTGGATAGAACAACCACGGGACAGTCACACGATGGATTATTACGCGGCTGTAGAAAAAAGGAAATCTTACCTTCTGTGACAACGTGGATGGACCTAGAGGGTATCAGGTGAAGCGAAATGAGGCCAGCGGAGAAAGGCAAATACCGTGCGACCTCACTCGTATGTGGAATCTGATGAAGAAAATAAACGAACAAAATAGAAACACTCGGGTACCGAGAACAGCCTGACAGACGTCACAGGGGAGGGGCGGGGGCTGGGTGAAAAGGTGAAGGCGTTAAGCAGCACAAATTCGTGGTCGCGGAACAGCCACCGAGCCGCAGGTTGCAGCGCAGGGAGCCGAGCCAGTAGCGTCAGGATAACGGTGTGTGGGCCGGGGCCGTGTTCGTGCAGTGCGGGGACCGCGCCGAAAGGTGCATGGTGACCGCTTCGCTGTGCGTCTGAAACGAGTACAGAATAATACTGAATGCAAACTGTAATTGAAAAGTTAAAAAAATTTTTTTAATTTTACTTATTGTTTAGAGAAGGAGTAGAGAGGGAGAGAGGGAAACATCAATGTGTTGTTGCCTCTCGAGTGCCCCCTACTGGGGACCTGGCCCACAACCCGGGCAGGTGCCCTGAGTGGGAATCGAAGCAGCGACCCTTTGGTTTGCAAGCTGGTGCTCAGTCCACTGAGCCACGCCAGCCAGGGCAAAAAGAAAAAAGAAAGAAAAGCAGCCACAGTTCCCATGTCCGTCCACTGAACGGGCCTCGAAAGATGACGCTGGGCCTGAGAGCCCCGCTGTGGCTTCTAGGAACCGCCCGCACCGACTCAGACCCGAGCTCCGGGAAGGAGCAGCCGGCTCTGGCAGGTGACGCACAGGCCAGCCTGAAACGTCCCGCAGTGCTGGAAAACGGGGTGCGCGGTGGCACGTCACCAGGAAGCAGGGCCGAGGCAGCGTGCTCTCCTGGCCTAGATCCCGGAAGCAGCGGTGCCGTCTGAATGAAGCCTGCGTTTCGGGGCCTGAGAACCTGCCCGTGCTGATGTCCCGGCTGTGACAGCCGGGCCCTGACTGCGGAAGGCCTGAGCACACAGGCACTCTCACCGCTGGTCGCCGTATTTCTGTAGATCTGAAATTTTTCCTCACTTTTTAAAGGAAACAGAAGCCGGACAAACAAGTGTCAACACGAGTGACACTTCAGATGTGTTTACAGGAGACAAAGGAAGGAGGAGAAAAGAGAGCTCTCTTTTTTTTTGAAATTTAACACGAGAAAGCTGACTAATAAATGCCGGAGAAGCGGTCACAGCAGGGCCAGCACCGTGGTGGCTGGCGCAGGCGCGGCCCCTGTCCTGCGCTGCGACCCGCGGTGGGAGGCGCCGGGGAGCGAGAGCCGCAGTGCCCCCATCGGAGGTCACGCGATGACACAAAGCAGAAAAGAGCACATCAGAAAGCAGGAGACAGGGAAATCTGGCCGAGGACGTGGTAGACCTGACCCCCAGGCCCGCGGGCGTCGGGCTGTGCCGGCCGCGCCCCGCCCCTCCCTGAGCGGAGCGGTCGTCCCTGGGGGGCGCGACAGGAGATTGAGAAAGAGACAACACGCCATAAAGACATAATACAGGGCAGTTTAAGGAGAAGCGGGGGCCAGGTGGGACATTGTCCTCGGATGGACGGACAATGGCCCTGAGCTCCGTCTCTGCGTTGTTTTATGGGGTTGGTTAGATGGAGCTCAGGGACGGTTCTGCAGCGGCAGGAAGATGGCTCGTTTCCCAGGCCGCTAACTGACGATACCTTCTGCCAAAGCTGCAGTCGCCTTCGGCTGAAGCGTGCGGTTCACCATGTCCGTCCCAACCCCCGCGGGTGCAGGCCGCTGTCAGCTCCCGCTTGCTCTGCCGTGCAGATGCAGGTGGTCCAGCGTGGCCTTGCCAAGCACGTGACCTGGCCTTGGACGCCAGCCGTCACCGTCCTCCAAAGACGCGCGTCTCAGGGAGGCGCTGATGCCCGCCGCTGCCCGGCCCACAGAAGGCGCGTTTTCAGCGTGGCTCAAGCCGCCGAGGAAAGATTTAATCTGAATATACTCCTGGGAGAACTGGGAGCTGTGTCTGAGCGAGGCACCGTCTCTGGGACAGCTGGCCTGGTTTTCAGAACTGTGGGCATTGTCCGCGAAGAAGGCCGGAGAGGACGTTACCAGAGAAGAGGCGCGATGGCCAAAGGCGGAGCGTGTCCCCAGCCTGGACCCTGGACCCAGAGTCAGGACAGAGCAAACAACGGGGCGGATGGGGAGGGGGCCTCCTCGAGGACAGTACCGCACCCACCTGCACTGTCGGAGCAGTGGGTGGGCCCCATGGCAGGGGACACCTTGCCGAGTACTGGGGGGCTGAGGGACACGGCACTGGCTCCCCTTCCCGGGCTCGGCAGGGAAAAGGGTGGCTGGAGACGGAGAGAGCAAGCCGTGTCCTGGGCGAGCCACTGGGACCCCGATGGAGGTGCGGGGACTTCCTGTCTGCTCTCACGTTTGACATTGTTCAAATCAAAACACTGGAGGTGTTTCTCCCAGATGAAAAGCAGTTACACAGCGCAGGACCAGCGTGGTGACCTGCCCCGTCAGGGCCCAGGGGAACGGGCGCTGCGGCGGGTGCCCCGACTCCCACTGGTGGGTCACGGTGACAACGGGCGGTCCGAAGCCGGGCGTCCTCGAAGCCCCGAGCTCTTCGCGCTCCCACAGTTGTCTTTCTTTCTGTGGCATTTCCTTGTCTTGGGGGTTGCCGCTGACGTACAGCTTTTGCAGGTCTGGAGGCGGCTCGTGGGAATAGACTTGCCCGCGGAGTCCGGCTGGAAGGAGTCGCTGCTGAGGGACATGGAGGGCAGGATCAGACAGGTACCCGGGTCGGGGCTGCTCCCGCAGGGGCCGGCAGGTCGGGACAAGCGGGCTCTGGGGGGCAGGCGGTTCGCGAGGAGAATGAGGGGTCCGGGTGCTGACGCCTGGGGAACCTCCGGCGCAGGCGGGGCCTCCGGGTGGCCCCGTGGTGACAGCTGTCTGGCCCGGCAGCGTGTGGGGAAGAAGACACAAACTGCTCCTCGTTTCAGTTCAGGCCGTGACCCTGAGAACTTCGAGGCTGATTTCCTCACAGGATGGGGGCATTTGATATGTGACTGCTCAATGAACCTTTGTAGGAAAACACAAGGCGAGGCAGAACCAAGTCGGTGTTCGCAGCTTCCCCGTTTCCGCGAGCTGCATTGTGGAGCTCCCTCCGCAAAGTGGGAAAGGAGGCCGAGGCATAGTCTTGTTGGTCTCCCACTTGGGGGACACTGAGGACGTGCTTGCCGTGGGGAGGGGCGAAGCCTCAGACAATGGGGAACTGATAAAATAGCAGGAAGGCAAACCCAGGCGGGGTGCTTTTGTCCCACAGACGCGGGGGTGCGGCACCCCGAGCTCTGACCGCTGCCCTCTGTCCTCACAGGAGAGCCCCCGCGCCCGGATCCTGGGCTTCTGCAGCTCCCGCTGGAAGGCCACCGGGGACAGCGTGTACAAGTGCTTTGAGAACTGCGCCATCGAGGCCGTCAGCGCGGCCTGCCAGGTGAGCGAGCTCGCCCTCCGGGGGTGCGTGCGGCTCACGGCTGCACTAGGGGTCGCAGGAAGGGCCAGGAAGCGCCCGCCGGTTCTGTCCTGCTCCGGCCCGGAGGGTGGGCACGGGACGTCCCTTCCTAGCCTGCAGGGACGGTCAGTCGCGGCCACTCACGTGTGTCCTCGAATCCCAGGGTGTCACAGGCTGCTCCTAAAGGTCCCTGTGAAGTCACTGCTTCTCGTGTGTGTTGTCTGCTGGCACTGCTTGGCATGTGCGCAGTAGAAGACCCCAAAGGCTGACCAGACTTGTGTGGAAGAAAAAAAGTCTCATCCTGTCCACTCCTGTAAAGGAGACGGACACTGCCCCACACCGCCCCTAGGGACAGCCTCCGTGTGCGCACGCGGGCGAGTTCCGTGCAGCTGCCTTGCAGCTGTGCGCGAGTTCTCTCGGGTTTTCTGTACTAAGACTGTGTCACCTGGGAAGAGAGGCCGTTCTGCCTCTTCCTCCCGACCCGGGTGCCGTGGGTGCCCCGGCCTTTCCCAGTGGCCGGGAGGGCAAGGTCCAGCGCAGCACAGGGCGGAGGGCGGGCCGGCCTCGGCCGTTCCTTCTCCCCGAGTGTGGAGGAGGCTGCAGGCTGTTCACAGACACCCCCCCGCGGGCGGGCGCGTTCCCCACTCCTGCTTTGCCGAGTCTTTGTCACGAAGGGGGTGCCGGGCCGAGCGCTCTTTCTGCATCCACTGAGATGATCAAGTGATTTTTTTCCTATCAATTTAATGGACTACATTAAAAAACTTTCATTTGTAGGATAAATCCCACTTGGTAATGGTGTTTAATTCTTTTTTTATAAGTTGCCGGATAAGGCTTTCTTTTATCCTTCTAAATATCAGAAAATCTCTCTTGTAAGCTAACTACCTCTATTTCTTTTTCTATTCGTTACTGAAACTTTCTACAAAAAATCTTGAACCTAAAGAAGGAAAACATTTTGTTTCTTGGCGCAGAAGTAGAAAGAGAATTCAGATGGAGGTATGGTTTGTCGCAGCCTTGAAAGAACTACAGTTTAGGAATACAAAGTATGTGGTGTGTTTTTGATGATGTGAACGTTGAGGAGAAAATGTAGAAACTGGCGGGGAGCCGGAGGCAGGGGTGCGGTGCGTGCTTGCGGGTGTGCGTCTCCGCGGCTCTGGTCTTCGCTCTCAGCGACACAAAATGCCCTCAGAAAGACTAAGTATTTTGCCCCGGCTGGAGTGGCTCCGTGGACTGAGCGCCGGCCTGCGAACAGAAGAGGCGCCGGTTTGATTCTCCGTGAAGCGCACAGGCCTGGGTCGCAGGCCAGGTCCCCGGTTGGGGGCGCACGAGAGGCAACCCCACATGGATGGTTTTCCCACTCTTTTCCCCTCCCTTCCGCTCTCTCTAAAAACAAATAAGTAAAATCTTAAAAAAAGAGAGAGAATGGTTAAGTATTTTATTCTTCTGTTTTTGAGGCTTTGTAACCCTGGTTACAGGAGATGGCTGGAGCGCCACTGGGCAGCTTACCTCTGCTGTTTAAAAGCAAACCAGTGAGAAACCCCCTCAGCGGCCTCCCCTCTGCTCCCTTCCCCGCAGTCTCAGACCAGCGTCCTCGAGGGCCTGTCCTGCAGCGACTTGGAGCAGTTCGGGACCCTCGTGTCTGCCGTGATCACAAAGTCCTGGCCGAAAAACAGCAGAGGCCCCGTGAATGACCTGCCCGAGGTCCTGAAGCACCTGCTCACCGGGCCGGACGTCAAGCATCTCTTCAGACTGTACGGTATGTGGACGGGGGTGTCCACACGGTGTCCTCCTGTCTCCACTGGGGACAGAACATACTCCCTGATATTCAGGATGGGCTGAGGCCCGGCCAGGGCCTGCTGTCCTGTATGTGAATAAGAACCGATGCTGGCGGCCACCATCCCCGCGTCCCTGCTGCGCCCTGGCGGCGGGTCCTGGGAGCTGTCCTGGAAGTCCCCTGCGGGCCCACGTTTTTTAGATGAGGACACTTAGGTGGAGGGTCACACAGGACTTGCCCAAGGTCTCCAAGATGCTGAGTATTCAGACCTGTGGTGCAGACCCAAGAGTGTGCGGCTCCGAAGCCGCTGTTCCTCTGAGCGCAGAGCCCCGCGCGGTCCAGCGTGGGTGCGGCGGGGCTGAGGGTGCCTGCTCTCTGCGCCCAGGTGTCCTGTGACCGAGGAGGGGACCAGGGCTGTGTGTGAGTCGTTAGGTTCAGACCTAGAGGAACAGCAGTGGATTTCGATCTAAAAATCTCACATCAGTTGATTCTGAGCCTCAGTTTCATCAAATTACTGGAACAGTCAAAAAAAAAAAAAAACCAAACAACTAAGCTGCTTCATATAGGGGTTCTTGACTTGAAGGGATGAAGATCACGGAGGAGGGACTTCTTTGTATGTTATTAAAGGCTAGTCACGTGAAATGATTGTATGCCTTTAAAGTAGCACACCTTACTTTTTTAGAGCAGTTTTAGGTTAGCAGAAAAATTGAGCATAAAGCAGAGAGGCCCGCATTGACCCCTGCCCCACCCCAACGCGCAGAATTTCCCTTTATCGTCTCCCTGTGGTGTCCATCCCTATAGCCCATGAACCGATACCGATGCATCGTCAGTGACTAAGCTCCGAGTCTGCACGAGGTTCCCTCGTGGTGCTGCGTGTCTGTGGCCGGACAGGCGTAGAAAGATGCGTGTGGCCGTGACGATACGGAACAGAGTGACGTCACCGCCCTGAGATACCCTGGGCTCTGCCTGTCCACCCCCGCTCCTGCCTCCCCTGGAGTTTTACTTTTTTTAAGAAGATCATTTGTTTGGAAACTTTACAGGATGTAGGCTTTTCAGACTGGCTTCTCTCGCCTAGCAGTGTGCATATGTTTCCTTTTGATAGTTTGCATCTTTTTTTTCTTCCCACCGACTAGCATTCTGCTGTCTGAGTGGATTGCAGTTTGTCCATCACTGACTGAAGGATGTCTTGGATGCTTCCAAAGATTTGCAATTATGAATGAAGCTGCTATATTGATTTTTTAAGGGCACAGATAAATTTCCTCTCCTCATTAAAATACGGTACAACCCAGATACCACTTGCAGAGAAATCTCCTAGTGGTTAAAATAAGGATATTTCAAAATCCTGCCCTCTAACATGACCCTGAGATCCACATTCTAAATTTTGCAAGATAGCCACGGTGTGCAGAGTAGCACGTGGTTGACATGCCTGTTCTCGCAGGCCGTGCACGTGCCTCCTGGAAGCCGTCTGGGTCCCTTGCTGGGTGTGAATGTGTGATCAGCACTGTTTATTCCTCTGCTGCGGTGCTTCTTCAGATGGGGGATTTGAGAGGTTATGTGTCTGTTAAGGATACTGACCGGGGCCCTGGCTGGTGCGGCTCAGTGGATTGAGCGCCGGCCTGTGACCCAAGGAGTCGCCAGTTCCATTCCCAGTCAGGGCCCAGGCCTGGGCAGCAGGCCAGGTCCCCAGCAGGGGGCGTGCGAGAGGCAACCCCACATGGGTTTCTCTCCCTCCCTCCCTCCCTTCCTCTCAGTCTATAAATAGATAGATAGATAAAATCCTTCAGAAAAAAAATACTGACAGGGGCACAAGATTTAAAAACCTGAGAAACATGGTTCCCCTGGTTCTCCTGGCTCATGGCGGCTGCAGGAACAATTATCTTCCTGATCAAGGAAGCGCTGGAAAACCTCGATCGAGCGTTAGGGTTGAGAAGGGTGTGCGTGCGCGCATGTGTGTGTGGGGCGTACAGCTCCCCCGAGAAGGGGGGCCGGCCGGGAGGCCCGCCTGGCTCCCGCTTGCGGCGGCAGCCAGGGCAGCGCGGCGAGGAGGTCACGGGGGTCCTCACCTTGGCAGAGGGGAGGCGGGAAGGCGGCGGCCACCCACTGGTTTTCACGGGTCTCAATCCGGGCAGGAACCAACGAGCAACTACTAGAACACATCACCAAGGAAGGCAGGGAGCGGATGGCGACCGCTGACTCTGTCCTCATGGAAGTGGCCGACGACCTCCTGAGCGGGGCGGTGTTGGTGGGACAGCTGGACCTGATCTGGAACCACAAGACCCAGTTCCTGGACATCTGGGAGCTGAGTGAGCGCAGTGCGGAGCGGGAGGTGGGGGGTGGGCTTTGTCTTCTCTGCGGGGAGGGACTCTTGTTGACGGATGGTTTGTTTAAAGATTGATGAATTTATTTACAATTATTTTCTAAACAATCACAAAGTTATAAAAAATTGGAAATATAGTGAAAAGAACTTTTTTAAAAGCCCTCAACCATTTGAGGATCAGTTGCCGAACTGACGGCCCGTCCGTCCCCAGGACCTCGGTGCGTGTTTCCTGGGAACACGGCCATTTCCCCGCACGCCCACAGGGTAACCGCTGAGGGGGAGGCAGGCCTTGGGAGGTTGCTGCTCTGCGTGTTCAGACGCCCTTTCAGGTCTGCCCAGGGGTCTCAACAACGTTCTATGTGGCAAAAAGATTTTGCTCAGAATCACGCATTGCATGTTGTGCCATGTGGTTTAAGTCCTCTGGGAAGTGATAAAATCACACCGGAGTGCTCACTGGGTCGATCCGACGCTGCTGGCGGGGGCACCAGCACGTCAGCGCCCCGCTGGCCCCCGCTGGCCCCCGCCGCCCCGAGCAGGCAGCGCCAATGCAGGGGGACAAAGTGGTCGTCATGGAAAGGATATGACCGTTTGCTTCATTACGTTCCTTTTTTTCTTTTTTTTCAAGAGAGGGAAAGTCTTTCGCCCCAGGAGAAAAAACAGGACATGCAGCAAGTGCTGTGCTGCCGGTGGAAAGAGCTGACGTTTCTCCGGGAAGAGAGAAGACACGTGGACAGCCTCCTGAAGCTGTGCGAGGGGACGAAGCACCTGCTGAAAGGTGGGGTTTACGAGGATCGCAGTGACCGGGACGGGGGTGCCCGAGGGGAAGGGGACGCGCGCGGTCGCCCTTCAGTCTTCGCTGGGGCGAGGGCTTTCAGCACGGTGTGCATTTTAGACAGAAGTGCGTCGCTCTCTCCTTGTCGGCATGTGCCTGGCCTGAGGGACATGCTCAGATGCCCTCTCGATCCTCCAGGCTGGGCTTGGAGCTGCCGCGGGAGACGGGCTCGGTCTCTCTGTTTTCCCGTTTCCGCCCGCCACGTGGGACCCTTCCGACGCCCTTCACTTAGTGTCCGTTATTCGTTCGCGCTCCGGCCCCGAATGGCCAAGGGCGCTGATGCCCCTCGCCGGCCGGGCCACCAAGAGGCCACGGCCATCTTACCTTATTGCCTCCACTTGGTTTTCTCTAGAGTGGCGCTTCTTGTTTTGTCCTATGTTTATTTTCAGTATTTTATTTTTAACTCAATTCCAGACTCTTTCACTGCTCGAATTTCCTCGTGCCATGATCAGTTTGATCTTTCAGGAGCCTCCCCACGCGGGAGGGGTCTTTCCCATCCTGGGGACACCCCGGGCCTCGCTCAGCGCTGGGTCTGTGTCCCGGGTCCTGTGACGCCCTCTCTCACTGTAGTTGGATGTTGTCTTCCGTGACGTCCCCGAGGTGGGGGCAGAGGACATTCACTGCCTGGTCCTCGTGAGTCCGAGAATGTCCGCTGTCACGCTCGGCTGATCTCGGGGCCCGGGCGGCGCTACGGCCCGGAAGTGCTTTCCCTTCGGGCTGCGGGTCACGCGGCTGCGTTGTCTCTGCGGCATCGCTTTTGAGCGGTCAGATGCGGTACTAATATCTGATCCTTCGTGTGGGACGTTCTCTCTGGAAGCTCCTGAGATCCTTCTGCACGTGTGTTCTCTCCTTTGGCTTGGGCCCATTTCCTCTCCATTGTCTTGGGCATAATTCAGTGGATGTTTCTAATCTTGAAAGGCACGTCCTTGAGTTCTGGAAAGTTCTCCTGAGCTGTGTCAGCCGTTACGTTCTCTCTGGCCCCATCGCCATTAGCAGACCTCCTGGGACGACCGTCTGCCTCTGGAACAGCCCCCTCCTGTCTCCTGTCTCTGGTTTTTGTTCCGCTTTCTGAGCAGCTTGCTCCACGTGAACTTCCAGCCTTCCCACCTCTCCGTTCATTCCAGTCCCGCGCATCCTTAATCTGCAGGAATGCGTTTGTCTCCGGGTGAGCCTTTCTGAGCTCCCGTGCGAGCTCACGGTCACAGTATCTTCTTTTCCTGGGCTTGTTGCTCTTCGGGGTTTAGAGGTTTTCCTTTTTTTCTCATGTAGTTTCTTCCAAGTCACTTTTACCTGTTGGTGTTAGTACCTGCTCCTCACCTTGAATACGTTCCCCACGTTTTATATTAAGAGGGGTGCCTTGCAAGCTGACCGAGAAGTTGGGGTGCGTGTGTGTTGAGGGAGGTCTTCCCTCCAGGATGACTCATGTCTCCCGGCCCGGCCAGGGGCGGGGCGGACGCCGCTGCCTGGCACCTGCGAGTCAGGAGGGAGAGGCTGGCTGGACGGCCCCCAGCCCGCGCCCCCTCCCGCCCCTGCCTGCCGCCGCCGCCCCCGGTGCCTTCCGTCTCCCTCTGCCTTGCTCCTGAAGTTCAACAGCACACGCGTTGGGAAGTGTTGCTGTTCTCCACGCACCTGAGGCCTCCGGTGCAGAAACCCCCTGTGTTGTCCTTGCTGGAATGTCACCTCCCGCTGCCGTGGAGAAGGGGGTGGGGTGGCTTGTCACGCAGGCGGTCCGCCTGTCCCCTCTCCTGGTTTAAAGCCGCCCCTGCAGCTGGGACCTGCCGGCACCCAGCTTCCCGGCGCCGGCTGTGCTCCCAGGTCCTGGGCCTCGGGCCCCGCCGCCGGCCCGTCCGCGCCGTCCTCCCTCTCTGCTCCTCCCGGCCCTGTCCGTCTGTGACTCTTTAATAAACTCTCCTCTGGCGTCTCCTTCTGTCTCTCCCTGGGAGCAGGGAGCACAGTGCATGCTGGGAGTGGGGACTAAAGCCACTTGTGGCCTTGAGTCCTGACCCGTGTCTTTCTCGTATGGCTCCTCAGTGGACTTCGGAGAGGTTGCGCAAAGACACTTGGAAGACCTGAGCGGTAAAAGCTTAAATGACGCCGTGACGGTGAACACGTCACCCACCTCCTCAGACTTGCACATGGTAACACATTACCGCCTGAGCCCCCACATCCAAGAAATGGCCCAAAAGATAGACATGTTAAAGGACAGTCACATCTTCCGGACCTTCTGGGAGGAGGTGGCAAAGGCGCTGCACTCGATAATGGAGGAGGAGAAAATGGAGGAGGTGGCTATGGACGTTGAGATCACATACAAATACCTTTACGTCCCCTGTTTGACCAAGTTCCATGAACTGTACAAAGACCTGAAGTCAGGAGACGTGACCTTGGCGAAAGTCGACACCATCTTCAAGGTCTTTGTGAACCAATACGACAGCCTCACCACCGACCTCAATGCCATGTGCGCCCTGGACCCCGGCGACCCGAACGACTGGGTCCCGGAGCGCGTCGAGCAGATCAGCGAGTACCACCGCCTGCAGCGGGCCGCCGACGTGGCGAGGGTCATCCAGGACGCCAAAGAGGCTTTGGGCCTGACCGGTGACTTCAACATTCTCCACATTTTATTGAGACTTGTGAGTTATTCGCTGGGGATCTTGGGGTGAGGGCAGGGTCCCCGCTCAGACTCCCCGGGAGCCAGGCGCTGTCTGGTGTTTAAAAGTAGGTCGGGGCGGTTTGTAGCCTCCTCTGGCAGCTTCTTGTTTGTATTTTACTTGATGCTGAATACGCCAGGGGCTTGCTTCTCACCTCTTTTTTATAAATAATGTGACTGCTTGTTGGCATGAGGGTAAGAACTTGGCAAAGGGACGTCAGGTGCTTTGCGGCCTCGCCCTCCTGTCCCCTCGCGCCTCCAGGGTGGTGCGCGGGAAGTCCTTTCTATGCGCACGGGGAGGTCGGCCCTGGTGCCTGTTCCTGGCAGACGAGCCTTTGCAAGGTCACTGTGCCCTGTGTAGAAATGTACGCAGACAGGTAGGATGACAGTTAACATTCAGTGCACAGTGGGTGAGTCCCACGCACGCCCGCTGTCCCCCAGTGGTGGGTTCTCCGGGGGGTCCCTGTGGTGGGCTCCCACTGCCCTGCCTGGGCAACAGGAAGAGAGCGCGTGCCGGCAGGCCCTCGGGCGCGCGGCTCAGCCGAACGTCTGCCTCCAAAGCGGAGTCGGGGCTGCTGCTGACCGAGGGGGGGCAGCGGCGGGGGCGTAGCGCCCAGGCCCGGGAGGCGGGCCTCAGTGCCGGCCATCACAGCGGATGCCGTTCGGGAGGTTCAGTGGCCGTTGGGACGGCCCGCGTCCTGCAGGCTCTGGGGTCCCGGCTGGGCAGGGCCGGCCCCCAGCAGAGCCTTGTCTTGCAGACGGACCGCGTGGAGGACCTCCGCCACGGGACCCTGGGCCAGATCGACAAGCAGGTCGTGTCTGCCAGCAGGGCGCTGCAGGACATCAACGAGCTCCGGCTCGAGGCCCTGCAGGAGCTGGCCCTGAGGAAGCAGTTCATCAGCTGGGTCCAGGGGGCTCTCAGAGGTACGACCCGTCGCTGGGGTTGCGGCGCTGAGCGTCCCGGTGGCGCCCGGGCTGGCTGTTCCAAGCGGACGGGCCGCGCGAGGCATGGCGGTGCTATGCCAGCTCTGTTCTTCAGGTCATGCGCCATGTGCGGGGGGGTGGTAGGTTTTCTACCCAGACGGTGCTTCTCTCACTCTGGTGTGGAAGGAAGCAGCTTCCCTGCTGTGAGCAGCTGGGGACTGCTTTCTTTAAAATCTTGCCCCCGGGAGTGTTTCCTCTGGTTGGTTTCCACTAAAGGCCAAGGAGGGCTCCTGCTCGTGGAGAGATTTGCTGACCACGTCCTCGTTGGCCTTGCGTGTCCCTCCCCCGCTGGGGGCTGGGCGGTCTTTATAGCTCTGGGTGAGGTGCCTTTTTATAAAAAAAAAATACTTATTTTACAGAGAGGAGGAGGGAGGGAGAAAGAGGGAAACATCCATGTGTGGTTGCCTCTCGTGCGCCCCCTACACTGGGGACCTGGCCCACAACCAGGCCTGTGCCCTGACTGGGAGTCAAACCAGCGACCCTTTGGTTCGCAAGCCGGTGCTCAGTCTACTGAGCCCCACCAGCCGGGGCTGGTTGAGGTGCCTTTGACGAGTTCGCTGGAAGAGAAGAGCAAGCAGGAGAGGAGGCCGAGGCAGAGGTAGGGGGCGGGGGCGGGCAGCGCTGTGAGGGGCAGGAATGGGTGAGAGTCTGCCTGCCCCAACTCCCGTCCCGATCCTCTGCGCCTGCCACCGGGGGCTCCGGTCCACGTGGACACGCCTCCTTTGATTAGTAAGCAGCCCAGAGAACGATCTGCACTTTTTATAGGAACTGTCAACATGTTGTTACCGAGCGAGGGCTCGCTGCCGGACACGGATAGATGCCAGCACTGAGGCCCTGGCTCTGGGGAAAAGAAAGAGCTTTTATCGCGAGCCCGGCCGGCAGGGAGACAGAAGGCGGGGCTCAAGGTGGTCTCCCCATCCAGGGTTCGGGCGGGATTTTAGGGGCTCCAGTCCCGTATCTTCCCGGACAGCAGGCCCTGCACTCTGAGGAGTCTGGTGCTCGGGCCCCCGTTGCATCCGGTCCTTCGGTTCTGGGGCCGGGCAGCCTTGGTCCCGGATGCTGGTGGAGGACAAGACAGGACCCATGAGCCCTGGTTCTGCGGGCGGGGGCCCGCACCAGCCGGGCCTGTTCTGTGCATGCGAGGTGGTGATGCTGCAGGGCCGGGCGGCACAGGGAGGCCCGGTGGTGGTCAGTGGCGTTCAGGTGAGAGGCGAAAGAAATGGTGCCAGCTGCTTTGTGAAAGCAGAAAGTGGATAAAACCCCCAAGATGTTACGTGTCCGCCCATAGCCTGAGGAAGGGGTACGGTGCTCGGTCGGAGTCTCAGCGTCTCCTCTCGTCACGAGGCGCCCCCTGCTCCCCGGTCTCTCCTCGCCCCCAGGTATCCATGAGCTGAAGGTGTTCGTGGACCTGGCCTCCATCTCCGCGGGGGAGAACGACATCGACGTGGACCGCGTGGCCTGCTTCCACGATGCTGTGCAGGGCTACAGGTGCCTGCTCTACAAGCTGGACATGAGCGCAGGTTTCTGCGAGTTCATGGACCACCTGAAGGAGCTGTGGAAGGCTCTGCAAAACGACCAGTACCTGCCCAAAAAACTGGTGAGTCTTCTTTCTGGCTCCCACGCAGAGGGGGTCTGGGAACGCGTCACCCAGCAGGACTTGAGGCGCGAGTGCGCGCGCCGTGGCGCGGCCGTGGTGGGCATTCGGGCAGGCGTTGAAGACGACGGTGCCGAACAGGTTTCCTTCCCCTGGGGAAGCGCTTTCTCCGTGTTGCCCGTTACAAAGTAGGACACAAAACAGCAACATGCGCAAGGGTTACCAGTGTGTCCCCCGACAGTGGTGACTGTGACTTCTGTGTACTTCCGGTGTGTTCCACATTCCCCACAATTGGGATGGATGAATATTTATCAGAAAAAGTAAACACTCCCGTTCACGTGCATCTTCCTCACCTGGCCCGGGGGCCTCCGATGTGCCACTTCCCTCGCAAGCCGACGCAGCCCGGGCGGCCGGGTGCCCACGGGGGGCGGTGGCGTCGAGGGGCAGATGGGGGCTTTCCTTTTCTCTGTGGGAAGTTCCTGTCCAGGCAAAAAGCCTTTGTTGCAGTTTTTCCTCAATTCTTCTGCCTGGACTTGGGGACCCCAAAAGGGCCTGAGGAACAGAAGGCTCACAGCCCTGTTCTGTCTGGCCTTCCTGTCTACCTCGTCTGGGCGCCATAAGCCCTGGAGGGGACGCAGGGAAGTAGCAGCCTCATGTCACTGGTGTCCCGGGAGACGGGGTCCGAAGCACCAGGGTCATGGGCAGGGGGCCGCGCCCAGCCTGTGGCGGGGAGGAGACGCCTGCCCTGGGAGGCTGCGCGGCGGGAGAGGAAGGACATGACCCCCGTTTCCTCTCCTGTCCCAAAGCGTGACTCTGCCCGCAACTTGGAGTGGCTGAAGACGGTGAAGGAGAGTCATGGGTCTGTGGAGCTGTCGTCCCTGTCACTGGCTACCGCCATCAACAGCAGAGGCATCTACGTGGTCCAGGCGCCCGCTGATGGCCAGCGGGTGAGCTGCTTGGTACACGCGGTGGGGGGCCCCTCCTGCAGAAGACCACCCCTAAACGTGTCCCGCCCTGCAGCTCTCCCCAGACACGGTGCTCTGTCTCACCCTCCCTGGGAGCCACGGGGACATCGAGGAGGAGCGAGAGTACTCCCTGGAGGAGCTGAAGGAGCTTTTGAACAAGCTGATGCTCATGTCCGGCAGGAAAGACCAGAAGAACGTGGAGGTGGAGGTGTTCTCGGAGGTGAGCGCCGGCTCCCGGAGCCGGGCCCTGCACGTGGCCGGGGCAGGAGGGGGCTGTGCGTGGGCTTGACTGCTGCGAATTGCTCTGCCCTGAACTCGCGGGTCTACAGAGTGCGTGTCTTTCAAACTCAGGACCCAGGAGGACGTCTCCGTTGGGACAGGCCCTTTAGTTAGTGGCTCCTTCTTAACGTCCATAGACTGCGTTGTCCCTGAGGGGAGGGAACCCCGGGCATAGTGCTTAGAAGGAAACTTAAATGGCCCCCCTTGGTCTGCAGATCAGCAGGAGCCCAAAGCGCCTTCCAGGCGGAGGTGGCCGGCCGGGGACACCGCACTGAGGCGCACGTGGGAATGGCCTCTCTGCTGTGCTCCAAGGGCTTTTTTGCAAAGCTGATTTGTGCTTTGTACACGGTGCCCTGAGTCTTTACACTTCCGGCTGCTCAAGGCAGAGGGGACGTGACGGAGGCAGGCGGGCCCCTTGGCCAGCCCCCTCCCGCGGCTCTGGCCCTGCAGGTGTGAGGTCCGCGTGTCTCCTCCCTGTGGCCCGCACGTGACGCTGTCTCCCGCTTCCGTTGGCTCCAGGTGTTCTCCAGCGTGGAGAGGCTCATGAGGTCCTTCATCAGCCTTTACTCGGCCGGGAACTTGCTGTTCCGGGACTGGAAGGCCAAGGTGCGCTGCTCCCCCGAGGCGGACGCCTCCGTGCTGGTGGACTTCGGCCCGGGGCCGCTGCAGGTGCTGGAGGGCCGCGGGCCGCTGGGCCCGCTGCTGGAGGCCGTCTGCCGGCAAATGGAGTTCTTCCTGGGCCAGTGGGAGACGTTCGTGGCTCAGAAACGAGCCGAACACTTCTACCTCAACTACTACACGGCTGAGCAGCTGGTCTACCTGAGCATGCGGGTCCTGAGGTACCCGGCCGAGGACGCTGCCCTCACCATGCTGTCCTTCCTCAAGCCCGACTGCAGCGCCCAGGATGTCTGGGAGGCCTGCCGCAGGCCTGACGGCGCAGCCGCCCAGCACCGGCCGCAGACCGAGATGGAGCATTTGCTGTCCGTGCTCCGTGGTCCGTCCGGCTTGGCGGACAAGCTCCGGGCCATCATGGAACAGTCCCTGACGGGCATGTGTGACTTCCTGCCCCACTGCCTGGACCTCGAGGGCCTGGGCCGCTGTCTGGCTCACCTGGCGACGAAGGGCCGGCCTCCCGTTGTGCGCGAGCTCCCGAGAGGCCTGCAGGCCGGCCAGCCCAACCTCATCGTCTGCGGCCCCGCGGAGGTGCTGCTGGCCACCCTGGCCATCTACATGCGCAGCCTGCTGCAGCCGCTGCCCACCTACGACGAGGTGCTGCTGTGCACGCCGGAGACCACGTTTGAGGAGGTGGCGCTGCTCCTGCGCCGCTGCCTGAGCGCCGGCGCCCGGGGCCGCGGCGTGTACAGCCTGCTGCACGCAGATCAGCTGAGCTACGAGGTGGCCTGCCGGGTGGAGGCGCTCTTCCAGAACCTGTGCACGCGGCCCCACCGGGAGGACTACCAGCTCGTCCTGGTCTGCGGCTCCGAGCGGGAGCACTGCTACCTGCCCTCGGCCTTCAGCCAGCACAAAGTCCCCGTCACCCCGCAGGCATCCCTCGAGGCCATGCAGGCCTACCTGGCACATCACTTCAGGGTCCCGGAGCGGACCCCGTCGGCCGCGGCCGTGTTCAGGGACCGGATGTGTGTTGGGATCGTGGCCTCGGAGAGAGCGGGTGTCGGTAATGGAGGCTGTTGGGCTGGGTGGGCTCCCCTGTCTCACGGGGCTGGGGGGTGAGGCGGATGGATGAGGTTCTCCCGTGAGATGGGAGACTGAGTCCCGGGAAGGTCGGCTCACCCGAAGCTGCAAACCCGCCCACAGCGGACTGGACTCTCGCCCGGCCCAGTTCGGGATTCCTGGGAGACGGCCCCCTCCCCTCTCTAATCAGCCTTTGCTGATGCTCCCTGGACTTTTCTAACACTCCCCCAGCTCCTACGAGGTTGAGGTGGGTCGTAGAGCAGGAGGAGGTACGATCTCTGTCCTGAGAAGAAACAGGCGCCTAGTCCCCATCGCCATTCCCGCTGCGGTGACTTTATCCCATGCGCAGCCCCGCTCCCCCACCCTGCCCCCCGCCGCTCACTGGCACTGCGTCTCTGGTCCCAGGGGAATAGCACGCACCGTGAGCAGGGGACGGCGAGGAAATGTCGGGGCCCTTTAGTCCCGTGCGATGTTGTATCGCTTTGAATTTCGCACAGAGAGAAGTGACTTGTGCTACTTCTTGCTGGGTTCTCTTCCCCGTGGTCCCCAGCCCTGGCACCTGATTTCCATGTTTCAATGGTACAGGAAAGTCTCTCTACGTGAAGAGCTTGCATCAAACTCTGCAAATGAAGTTTAGCAGGAAAAACGCGCGTCTCCAAGTTATCCGACTGATCGACCCGCGGGTGGACGAGCAGCAGGTCCTGGGCTCTCTGCTGCCCTTCCTGAGCGCGCAGTACCAGGCACAGCCCATGATATTCCACTTCGACGTGACCTCCTCGGTGAGCGCCCCGGGTTCCCGCCGAGGGGCAGCGGCGGGAAACACGCGGCTCCTGCCCCGCCTCCTCCGCGCATAAAGAATTCCTCAGCCGCGTATTGATAGTCAGCCTCGTATCAAAGGACCGAATTAGAAGGTCCTCGGGGTGGGTGGCCTGGTTGTCTGTGTAAAAACTTACACCCGTGCCATTGTGATTCTGTCTTTAGGTGCAGACTGGAATCTGGGCGTTTCTTTTTAAGCTCCTCATCCTACAGCACTTGATGGACATAAATGGGAAAATGTGGCTTCGGAACCCGCGCCATCTGTATGTCATCGAGATTCTGGAAGGGCAGTCGGCGCTGCTTCAGAGGCCTTCCCGACGGGTGCGCAGCCGAGAGCCTGCCCCGCCCGGTGGGGCCTGGTGGGGCCTGGTGGGGCACGGTCCCTCGGGCCTTCTGTCGTCCCCACTTCTGCCTTAGCGAGGCAGCTAAGTGCGGGCTTCGCAGAGACAGTTCGTCAGTTAGCATCTTAAATTTGTTTTGGCTCACAGCTGGCGCTCTGCGCCCAAGGCCGAGGCCAGCCGTGCTCTGGGTGCGGGAGTCATCCGCCGGGGGATCATCTTTCCTGATGCCGCTGGGGTGGGAAGGAGACTTCTGTCACTTACACTTCTTAACAAAAGGGAGTTTTGGGCGCGCGCGCGTGCTCTCGCTCTCGCTCTCTCTCTCACGCACGCACGCGCGCGCAGAGCAGGGAGATTGGGTTTCAGGGCCTCCCGCGAGGCCGGAGTGGGCACATGAACGGCCCCTCTGCACAGAGGGGCCGCAGAAACTGCTCTCCGAAACGTGGTTTTTCACGCCGTTCTGTCCCAGAGACCACAGGGAGGGTTCAAACACAAAAACGTTTTTAGAAGAAATTTAGTTATGACCATGTATATTCATCTTTCCTTTCCAGAGGATGCAGAATCCCCAGTTCAGCTTTCTTGACATCTTCCCCAAAGTCACCTGCCGGCCCCCCAAGGAAGTGATAGACATGGAGCTCCGTCCCCAGTGGCACTGCGGAGAGCCAGGAATGGATCAGGCCAAGTTCTGCAGCGAAACCTTCCAGAGACCTTTCCAATATTTGAAACGGTTCCATCAGAAACAAGACCTGGATGCGTTCCAGTTCCGGGAAGGCTGGGTGGAGGGCACTCCCAAGGAGTGCATCCAGCACTTCCTGATTTACTGCGGGGTGGCCGACCCGTCCTGGTCGGAGCTCTGGAACTTTGCACGGTTCCTGAACTATCAGCTCAAAGACTGTGAGGCCTCTCTCTTCTGCAATCCCAAGATCGTCGGGGACACGCTACGGGGCTTCAAGAACTTTGTGGTCACCTTCATGATTCTCATGGCGCGAGATTTCGCCACACCAACACTTCACATGTCTGACCAGAGCCCAGGGAAGCACATGGTCCCCATGGATGGAGTCGAGGAAGAAGACATCGCCCCTTTCTCTCTGCGAAAGCGGTGGGAGTCAGAGCCGCACCCGTATGTGTTCTTCAACGACGACCACACATCCATGACATTCATAGGCTTCCATCTGCAGCCCAACTCGAAGAACATGGTTGACGCCATCGATCCCTTGAGTAAGAAGGTGATCAAGAAAGACATCATGACGACGGACTTGTACCGGGGGCTGCTGCTGCAGAGGGTGCCCTTCAATGTTGACTTTGACGGGCTGCCCAGACATGAGAAACTCCAGCGGCTCTGTCTGGCGTTAGGGATCCAGTGGCCCGTTGACCCCGATGAGACATATGAGCTCACGACGGACAACATGCTTAAGATCCTTGCCATCGAGATGCGCTTCCGGTGTGGGATCCCCGTTATCATCATGGGAGAGACCGGCTGTGGGAAGACCAGACTCATCAAGTTCCTCAGCGGCCTGCGGCGCGGCTGCACCCAGGCCGACACCATGAGGCTGGTCAAGGTCCACGGGGGGACCACCGCAGACATGATCTATGCCAGAGTCCAGGAGGCGGAACGCCTTGCCCTCACCAACAAGAGGGAGCATCAGCTGGACACCGTGTTGTTCTTCGACGAGGCCAACACAACGGAGGCCGTCAGCTGTATCAAGGAGGTCCTGTGTGACCGCACGGTGGGCGGCCGGCGGCTGGTGCAGGGCTCCGGCCTGCACATCATCGCGGCCTGCAACCCGTACCGGAAGCACTCCCCGGAGATGATTGCCCGCTTGGAGGCCGCCGGCCTGGGCTACCGGGTGAGGGCCGAGGAGACGGCGGACAGGCTGGGCTCCACGCCGCTCAGGCAGCTGGTGTACCGGGTCCACGCTCTGCCACCGAGCCTGGCTCCTCTGGTGTGGGACTTCGGGCAGCTGAATGACACCACAGAAAGGCTGTACATCCGGCAGATCGTCCAGAGGCTGGTGGACACCACCGCGGTCGGCGATGACGACGTGCGCGTGATCACCGACGTGCTGTCCGCCTCCCAGCGCTTCATGAGGAAGCGAGGCGGCGAGTGCGGCTTCGTCAGCCTGCGGGACGTGGAGCGCTGTGCGAGGGTCTTCCGGTGGTTCCACGAGCGCAGCGCGATGCTGCTATCCTGGCAGCGCGCCGTCTGCCACAAGCCCGACGCCAGCGGGGACAGCAGCTTCGAGGACGGGGAAGACCCCGTCCTCTGGGCGCTGGTGCTGGCCGTTGGCGTGTGCTACCACGCCTCTCTGGAGAAGCAGGAGTCGTATTGGGAAGCCATCTGCCAGTTCCTTCCACAGCCGTACAATGATGGCAAGGCCGTGCTGGCCACGATCACGCGGGCGCAGGACCTCTTTCTGGATGGCGTGTCTCTGCGGAAAACCATCGCCAGGAACACGGCTCTGAAAGAGAATGTCTTCATGATGGTCGTCTGCATCGAGCTCAGGATCCCTCTCTTCCTGGTGGGCAAGCCCGGCAGCTCCAAATCTCTGGCCAAGACCATCGTGGCGGACGCCATGCAAGGCCAGGCTGCCCACTCGGACCTCTTCCGGAACCTGAAGCAGGTCCACCTGGTGTCGTTCCAGTGTAGCCCACACTCCACCCCCCAGGGCATCATCAGCACCTTCAAGCAGTGTGCCCGCTTCCAGCAGGACAAGGACCTGCAGCAGTACGTCTCCGTGGTGGTGCTTGACGAGGTCGGCCTGGCCGAGGACTCGCCCAAAATGCCCCTCAAGGCCCTGCACCCACTGCTGGAAGATGGATGCATCGAAGATGACCCCGCCCCCCACAAAAAAGTGGGCTTCATCGGCATTTCCAACTGGGCCCTGGACCCCGCCAAGATGAACCGGGGCATTTTTGTGTCCCGCGGCAGCCCCAACAAGGAGGAGCTCGTGGAAAGTGCCAAGGGGATCTGCTCTTCGGAGCCCCTCGTGCAAGAAAGAATCAAAGGCTACTTCGCGCCCTTCGCCAAAGCCTATGAAACAGTGTGCAAGAACCAAGACAAGGAATTCTTTGGGCTCCGGGACTACTACAGCCTCATCAAGATGGTCTTCGCCAGCGCAAAAGCTTCTAACAAGAAGCCTTCCCCGCAAGACATTGCCCAGGCCGTCCTCCGGAACTTTAGCGGCAAAGATGGCATCCACGCTCTGGACATCTTCGCGGCCAGCTTGCCCGAGGCCCGGCTCTCCGAGGGGGTCAGCACCATGCAGCTGATTGAGCAGAACGTGTATGGGGACCCCGCGCGGGCGCCAGGCGGGGTCCTGGAGGACTCGGAGTCCCGCTACCTGCTCCTGCTGACCAGGAACTACGTGGCCCTGCAGATCCTGCAGCAGACCCTCTTCAGTGAGGACCAGCAGCCGGAGATCATCTTTGGCTCCAGTTTCCCCCGGGACCAGGAGTACACCCAGATCTGCAGAAACATCAACCGGGTGAAGATCTGCATGGAGACCGGCAAGATGGTGGTGCTGCTCAACCTGCAGAACCTGTACGAGAGCCTGTACGACGCCCTCAACCAGTACTACGTCCACCTCGGGGGCCAGAAGTACGTGGACCTCGGCCTGGGGACCCATCGGGTCAAGTGCCGGGTCCACCCGGACTTCCACCTGATAGTCATCGAAGAGAAAGATGTCGTCTACAACCACTTCCCCATCCCCCTCATTAACCGGCTGGAGAAGCATTATTTGGACATCAACACCGTTTTGGAGAAATGGCAGAAGAAGATCGTGGAGGAGCTCAAGGGCTGGGTGGACAAGTTCGTCAGTGTCACAGCGACACCTGTTGGAGTCGCACACAGATACAGACCTTCGGACGTCTTCATCGGCTACCACTCGGACACCTGCGCCTCTGTGGTGCTCCAGGTCATCGAGAGGCTTGGTCACAGGGCCGCGACCCCCGAGCATTACCAGGAGGTGCTGGAGGGCGCCAAGCGGGTGCTGCTGGACTGCGCCACGCCCGACGCCGTGGTCCGTCTCTGCATGTCCCCCCTGGGCTTGTTCGACGCGCGTTCCCTGTCACAGGAATACTACTACCGGCAGCAACACGACTCCTTCGCAGACTTCCTGCAGGCTCACCTGCGAGCAGCTGAGCCGGAGCGCCGCGCCGTCTTCACCGAGGTGACTGTCCCCTGCCCGCTCTCTCCGCAGAGCCCTAGGTGCCTGGGGCCAGAAACTCGAGACCCTTTCCCAGTCAGTGTCTTGGAAGCACAGGGGGGTGTGTTGAGACTTTTGCTTCCTCTTCATGTTAAGTGTGAAGAGACCCAGTTTAGCCCATTTTTTTAAGCTTGCTTTATTTTTAGAGTGAGAGGAAGGGAAAGAGAAAGAAACATCCATGTGGGGTTGCCTCTTGTGCGCCCCCTGCTGGGGACCTGGCCCGCAACTCAGGCCTGTGCCCCGACTGGGAATCGAACCTGCGACTCTTTGGTTTGCAGGCCGGCACTCAGTCCGCTGGGCCACACCAGCCAGGGCTAACCCAAGTTTGAGTTCCTATTTCTGTGCAGAGCCCTGTGCTGAAGTCGCACTCTATCCAGTGTGCGCTGTGACAGATGAAGTGCCGCGTTTTGAGAACTCCGTCGGCTCACCGGGGACCTGGAAGGGCATCAGCACGGTTCTGGTCCTTGGTCGCCACCCAGTGGAAGTGGAAAGGCGGACTCACGAACCCGTGCTGCTGATACCGTTCCATAGTACTGTCCCCAGGCAAAGTCGGGTAGTGCAGGGCAAGCCGTGAGGCCAGGGGGACCTTTAGGAGCTGGCCCCAAACGGGCTGTGAGGTCAGTCTGGGAAGGTGTCAGAGGCAGAGGGCCTTGCCTGAGCCAAGGTGGCCGGTGGGAAACGACGGTCTGGGCAGGAGGCCAGGAGTCAGCCGCTGACGGAGCTCAGCGTCCGGGCGCTGAGTGCCGAGGGATGAGCTGAGGGGCCGTTGGACAGGCTCCGTGCAGGGCCTTGGCGGCTGCCCCGAGCCGCTCGCCCTCTCCTGTACGGAGGGGCGTGATGGAGAAATGGGCGTGGAGGTGGGGGCGTCTGATGAGAGATGATCGTAGAAAAGATGGGGCGGAGCAGGGGAGGGGAGGCTGCTGTGAGCACAGTCGATGACGGATGGGTGGCGTTGAGAAACAGGAGTCAGTTGGCAGCGTGGATGACTGATTCCGTAGGAGGGAGACCGCCCAGAGGTTTGGTGAATCACAGCAGAGAATCCTGGAAGGAGCAGCAAGTATGGGGGGGGCGGTAAATCCCACGGGTGCCCCTCTGACGCCCAGGGGACATGCCCGCTGTGCAGTCAGGCACAGGCATCGGAAGCCCAGCGGTGAGGCGGCTCTGGAGGCGGCGATGCAGCCGCCGCGAGGGCGGCGTCCCCACGAGGAGTGTTTCGGTGGCACTGAGTGCTGTGGCCCAGGGGTGGGGAGAAGCGCTGGCAGCTGTAGGAGGGGAGAGAAGGGGCACGTCTCGCCGGCTAATTCCACTGAAAGTAGGGAGCAAGGCCGCCAGGGAAGACACGGTATTTGTGATGAGCCCCATGATGACTTCCCGTAGGGACCAAAGCGGGAAGAGGCCCCGTTTTGGGGACAGGGTGTCTCCCCTCCGATGCCTTGTTTCCCTCAGTGCCGCCTCGGTTTCAGAAGCTCTGGGTTTGGATCCTTTTCTGGCTGCGGGCCAGCCGCACCTTGCCGGGCACCCTCATGTTTCTGGGAGCCGGATCGAAGGGATGTGCAGGGAGTTTGCCTTCCTTGGCTTTGCAGATTACCACTTTCTCCAGACTGCTGACCAGTCACGACTGCGAGGTTTTAGAGTCAGAAGTCACCGGCGGGGCCCTGAGACCCACGATCCTGTCGCTGCAGCAGTTTGACACCGAGCACTCCTTCCTCAGAGAAGTCCGGTGAGGCCCCTGCCTGTCTCCCTCTGCGCTTCCGCCGCTTGGCCGCAGCGACCCCGGGTGTCGTCGCCGGCGTTGGCGCACGCGTGCGAGGGCCCGTGGCTCCGAGCAGGACAGCCCTCCTCCGGGCACACCCTTCTCTGAAACCCGGTCCTGGCAGCTCCGGAGGAGGCATTTACCGGGCCTGCGTCTTCCTCCGCTGGGTCGCCCCCTCCCCACGCAGCCCCTGCCGCTCGGGGGGGCTTCGGCGCCCACTTTTCAGGATGGAGGACTCCCATGCCTAATTTCCCTTCCTCAGAAACTGCCTGGATCGCACAGCTCCGCGCAAGATCCTTGTCATCCAGACGGACTTCGAAGACGGCATGTGCAGCGCTCAGCTCATTGCCTCCGCTAAGTGCGTTTCTGTTTTTCTTCTCCGAAGTTGCATAGGAGACCCCAGATTTATTGGGGAGTCCTAAAGAATTCCTTCCCTGAAAACAGTACCGTATCCCCATAAACTTAGAATAAAAGTAAAAACGATTCTCCCTTTTCGTTTCCCCAACTGTGGACTGGAGACACGGAAGAGAGAGAAGAGGAGAGGCTAGCGAGGGTACAGAAAGGGTGGCAGGCGGCAAGGCCAGGCGCTAGGGCACTGAGACGGTCTGAAGGCATGTCCTTGACAGATGGGTTTGCAGGCTTTTAGTGATTATTTGTTTTAAATGACACAATTGGACTTTATAGTGTCCATCGGGGAGATACGGTGCTTTCAGAACTGTGTCCCCTGTCCCTGCGTGACCTCCGGACCCTTCCACGCACGGGGAGCCGTGGTTCCCGGCTTGCTTGCCCGCCCACGGCACCCCGCGCCCTGAAGTGGAAGTCTCCGCGGGTCCTGCCCTTGGGAGGGCTGGGGCAGCCCAGCAGGGGTCCAGGTGCGGGTTTCCGAGCGATGAGAAAAGCCTGTCGAAGCGGAAGGGCGCGCGCTGCGGGAGGGAACAGGCCTGGCAGGCGAGGCGGCCGGGAGGGCGTGAGGTTACATCAGGCTGCGCGCAGGGCGGCGTGAGGCGGGCCGTGCAGCACGCCCTCCAGCCTCGGCACCCTGCGGGGCTGTGTGGTGCCTTTGCTTTGACTTGTTTTGGTGTGTGTGTTTTAAAAACAGGTATTCTTCTATAAATGAAATCAACAAGCGCCAAGAGCATCAGCACTGCATCTTCGTCTATTTCATCACCAAGCTGTCCCGGATGGAAAGTGGATCGTCCTACGTTGGGTCCCATGGAGGTAGGACAAAGATACGGATGGGTGCAGTTACGTGAGTGGCAATCAAGGGTATTTCCAACTGGTTCTAGAGTGCGCAAGTCTGAAATTAGAATATTAACGGTAATCTCAACAACATTCGTTTCAGATGCTATTACGTATGTTACCAGTGATTACTGCAAACAGCGCTCCTTTGGAGCTTGCTTCTCCAACATACAGCATTTCCTTCATTAGCTTGTAGATACACACTTAATGGGCCTCTCTGGTCCCTCACCTTTTATTACGTGGGAGAAGCTGTTCCCGACTAGCCCCTGATGGACGCCTTGGTCCTTTGTGCCTCTGTCGGGGTGGGGTGTGCCATCGTAAATCAGTTTCCTTCTCTTTCCCTGACCCCCGCCCCCCAGGAATAGATCATGGAATGTTTATTGGGTAAGAAAGTTGGTATTCCAGACACGGGCACGAGGGGTTCACTCTAATAATCCCATGGATGGTGGGAGGACCCGTGCGGTGCCCCCAGCCCCGCGGTGGCCACGGCACAGCACGTGGAATTCCAGCGCGTGCCAGGCGTGCAGCCTTTGGCCGGGCCGCCTTTACCCGTCGGTTATTTCAGGGCGACGCAGGCTGCTCCGTCGAAGTTGTTGAGATGCAGCCTGGGTTGCGGGGTGTCTGCGTCCACTGAGGGTCCGCGCAGCGGCGGTGTGTCGACCGCCAGGGTGTGTGGCGCATCCCTGCTCTGCGCGATGGGTAGGCCGGCAAGGGTACGCGGAGAGAGTCGGTGACTTTACTCCTCACAGGGCTGTGGCGGTCTGTGCACATCGATGACCTCCGGAGGTCCACTGTCATGTCTTCGGATGTGACGAAGCTGCAGGACATGACCATCAGCCAGCTGTTTGATCCAGACAGTGAACCTGAGTGTACGTTGCGGGGGGAAAGCTTTTGGGAACGTGGGACGCCAGGCATGGCGTGGCGGCCGGGCGCCGACAGGAGCGCCGTGGTGCGGCCTGAGAGCAGGACCGCTGTGCCTCCGGCTGTCGCGGCCTTACCTCTGCGCCTCAGCAGCAGCTTGGGGGGCCCCCGAAGCCTCCCTGCCGCTCCCCAAGGCCGCTTCCGCTGGAAGAAGTAGCTTAGTGGGTGCTTGCGGCGCCTGTCCCCTCTGTCCCTGCATCGGCCCTCAGAGCCGGGATGGGCGGGAGGGGCTGCCGTTGGACAGCCGGACGCTGATCTGTGTGCCCCGGGCCTGTCTTTGGGGACCCCGCCACCGCCAGGAGCCAGGGAACGGCTGCCCGCCAGCACCCCCAGCAGGCACGGAACCCGTGCCCCGGCCGTCTTCTGGGCCTTCCCGGCCTGACGGTGTCCCTTCCGTTGCAGCCGTGGTGGGACACGGGGCCGGAGACGGCCGCGAGGAAGAGATGGAAGTGGAGGGCGATGAGCCCGGCGCGGCCCGGGCGGACGTGGAGACGAACCGTCCTGAGGTGCGGGAGAGCCAGGCCTCCGGGCCCCGGGGCTGCCACGTGAGTGCCGCGCGCTCGTTCCGGGGCCGCGCGGGGGCGGCTGGGCCCCCTCAGGAGCTCCGCCCCGGCCCCAGAATCCGCGGAGCAGACGGAGAGGGCGGCTCGGCCCGGCCCTCTCTCCCCCGTGCGGCGAGTGCCGGCGAGTCAGCCGGACAGAGTCTGGCGGGACCCTCCCTGCCACTTCCTGGCCGGTCGTGCTGTGTCCCCCCACCCTGGCAAGTCCTGAGCAGGCAGGACCACCTCGCCGTGGGTCTGAGGGGAGCCTGGCACGTGGATGACTGGGGTGCTTTGCCGAGGATGCACCCCTCCCGCTGTTGGGGGCCTTGGCTCCAGCCAGGCCTCGCCCACGCAGGGGTGGCTGACGGAAGCTCTCTTGTGTCCGTGACAGACGCCGGCCCTGGACACCGGACACCTGCTGCGCAGCTGCATACAGGGCGCCGTGGGTCTGCTCCAGGACCCGAGCGAGTGCGGCCAGCGCCACGTGAGGCGCGTGGAGCTTCTGCTCAGCCTCCTCAGCGAGGACAATGCGCACACAGGTGAGGTCCCAGGGGTCCCCACGCCCCTCGTGGGCTGCTCTAGACCTGGTGCCGCAGGTGCGCAAAGGCTGCCCCCCTCCCGGTGGCCGGGCCAGTAGCGCGGGGTTTTGGCCGACGCACCCCCTCTGCTCTGTTGCAGCTGCTTTCTTCCGGGTGGCCAAGCGGCATCTCCGTGGCCTCTTACAGAGGCAGGAGGAGAGCTTCGGGTTCGACAGGAAGCAGTGGGTGGTGAAGGAGGCCTCCAGCCCCAACGCCCTCCAGGAGGCAGGGACGTTCAGGTACCAGGCCCGAGGCGGCAGGGCGGCAGGCGACCCTTGTACGCGTCCTTTCCCCGCCGGGGACAGGGCGTGGGGCCCTTTCTCTGAGTGATTCAAAGTGATCTTTTTTCCCGCACAAAGCAGTACAAGGTGGGCTGGGTGAGGGTCATGCGGAGGTCTGCTGCGTCTTTTCACGACTTTTGTATGTGTGTTTAAACCCGTTCCTGGAGGGCGTACCTTTTGCCAGCCAGGGGCAGACCGTAGAAGCGGGCGCTGTTTCAGGTTACTAGATGAAGGAGGTGATTGTAGGGAGGGAAGAGGAATTACTTCCCCAGACCTCCTGCTCAAAGTTACTTGATAACTATAAAAACAAGACCCTAAGAATTCGTGTATTGCCCATGTTCCTCTTTCTGTAAAACCCTTTTCTCGGGCTGAGCCCAGGCTGAGTAGCGTGGCCTGGGGCGGGGGCGCTGGTCTGGATCTGCAGGAGGGCCGCCGGCCCCCGCCGGCAGGGCTGTCTCGGCCTGTGCCCCTCACCGCGGCCCTCCATTCCCTGCTCTGGGAGCGGAGAGTCTACCCACCCGCAGGCCCCGCCCGAGGAGCCGTCCTGACTGCCTGGACTCCGCTCGTCGCATCAGAGGGAGCGGCCGGGGCGCTGCCCGCGAGGGATGGCACTTGGGAGCTTATCGATGCGATTTTGTTGCCGAAGGGGTTCTTTTGCAGCCCTTTCTTCTCCAATTATCCCTAATCCCTTTCCTGAAAGTACGTTCTGAGTCAGGATTTTCGTGAGAGAGGAGCCTAGAAGGAGTCTCTCCTCCCCGGGCCTCCCCTGAGGACGTGACTAAGAACTCCATTGTACACAGACAGCCCTTAAAGCCTCCAGTGCCCCTTTCACACCCGCCTTCGTGCCTCAGCTGCCCCGTTTGCCGGGGGTTCAGAGGGTTGGGATGCCCCCCTCTCGCCGCCCTGCTGCTTGTTGTCACGTCAGGACGCGCGCGTCCCTCCTGTGGTCGGGGCCGGTCGGACGGCATGCATTCCGCTCGCCGGCGCCGGCCGTAGCGTCAGGCAGCCCTCTGGAGCCTGCTGGCCCACGAGCACAGCCTTCGGGACAAACGCTTTGCCATCCGCGTGTCTTGGGCTGAAGCCCTCTCGGGCGGAGACAGCCCGAGTCCCGGTGGCCTTGCTGCTCGGGGTTCCCCAGCGCCCGAGTGCAGCATCCGCGCGCCTGCCCGGTGCGTCTTCCCCGCTTCCCCCTGTCGCCCCTGCGGCCTTCTGCCCTTTTCCTAGTTTGCCATTTCCCCCTTCCATCAGCAGATCTCTGGAGCTGTCATCACATTTTGTTTCCTCCGTGGACAGTTCTGAATTCTCTCTGAGTTCCTAGGTACCGTGTCCTTAAAACTCAAGTAGGAGTTTTCTTCCTTTGGCCAGAGAGCCTGCATTTCCCTCCCCAATATTAATTACCTACAGTTTATCGTGCACACATGTTCTTATGACAACAGGGTCACGTCATTAATAGAAGCGATGGCACGTAGAGATTAGTGCCCCCGTCCAGTGCGCCGACCCACCGGGGACAAACGCTAACTTGGGGTCACCGGGCGCCTTCCCACCGTGGCCACACTGACCTAGGGCTGGGGGGTCCTGTCCCCCACTGCAGGCACACCCTCTGGAAGCGGATCCAGGGCGCCGTGACCCCTCTCCTGGCCAGCATGGTGTCCGTCATTGATAGAAACGGCAACCTGGAGCTCCTGGCCGCGCCCGATACCCCGTCCTGGACAAGAGACCTTTGGATGTTTATTTTCAGTGACATGAAGTTTCTGAACATTCCTCTCGTGGCGAATGCTCCCAGGTGAGGAGCAGGCTTTCTGTCTGTGGTGCGGGAACAGCCCCGGCCTCAGTGCCCTCCTGTGGGTCCGGGGACACACAGGCCGACTTCAGAGCCACCCCGCAGTCGGCGCCCTGGGAGTTGAGTGACATTCTGAGAAATCTGCCCTCGGCCCACCTCCCAGCGCTCAGAGCGCGCACCTCGCCTGGCCTGGGGCGGCGGCACCGCGCCTGCTTGGTGGAGCGCGTCCAGGTCCTTCCTGCGCGGGCCGGCCCGTGCACCGCACAGGCTCAGCCAGCTTCCTCGGAGCTTCCTGTTTGGGTTTAGGGGGCCTTGACTCCAGGATGTAAGGGTAACAAAAAGGGCAGAGTGAGTGGAATTCGGGGTCACCGGTGGACGCACTGGGAGGAAATGACTGGCACTCGGGAGGCAGGCTCCTTGGAGAGTCGTGTCCTGTCTGCACAGGGCACGGCAAGGCCCGGGCCCCCAGGGCCTCAGCTGCCGAGCTTCACCCCGATGCCAGCCTCAATCCGTGTTTGCTTTAACTGCAAAGCGGGTGATGCCAGGTCGTCCCGGTCCCTTCCTCACAGGAACCTGAGGCCTAGTGGGCTGTCTGCGTGGCCTCAGAGGCACCCGGTTTTGAGGACTGAGAAGAACGGGCTTCAGGGGGGCCCCTGTCTTGTGTCTCAAGCGACACCTCACCAGCCACCCTGTGTCCTCCTCGCCCAACAGCCGGTTCCGAAGTGAGGCGGCCCACATCCCGGTGCCGAGCCACATGCAGCTCTCCCAGGATGACCACAGCAGCTTCCCGTTCAGCTGGAGAATCAGGGACTACGTGGACGAGCTGGGGGCCCAGGCTCAGTACATCTCCGAGCCCACAGGTGCGCCGGGACGCGGCGGGGACCCGGGGTGGGCACGGGCAGGCACGCCCGTTCTGAGGCTCCTGGGCAGCAGCGACGCGGCACTCAGGCGGTGTCCTTGGCTGGTCTTTTCTCAATGACTGTCCGCGACAAGAGCAGAGCGCTATCGTCCGAGCCGACCGCCTGTGTCCCTCCTGAGCCCCGTGGCACCTTGCTGCGCTGGTGTCCCTGGCCCCGTGACCTGGCCGTCAGCCTTCCAGGGACGCCAGCGTTCACACGTCTTTGGCAACAGTCATATTTCGTAATGAAATGATCTTTTTGGAGTTGACTTCCAGTACTGCCTTTAAAAGATACAGGCTGGCCTGGCCGGGTGGCAGTTGGTTGGAGCGTTGTCCTGTGACCAAAAGTCCACGGGTGCAGCACCCAGTCAGGGCGCATGCCTGGGTTGCGGGCTCGGTCCCCTGGTCGGGGTGTGTATGAGGGGCAACTAACTGATGCTCCTCACATCAGTGTTTCTTCTCTCTGCCTCCCTTCCCCTCCCTCTAAGATAAGCAAGCGTGTCCTCGGTGAGGATAAAAAAATAAAGGAAAATTAAAATCCAGGTCAGGGTACCTGACGATGAGCTTATTTTTCTACCTCAGCGTCGGCTGCTTTTTCTGAGCAAACTGAAACCAGCCTCCGTCGGAGGAGAGAGTAGCTCTCGGTTCAGGGGCTGCACCCACCGGCCCGGCTCTGCCACACGGGCCACGTGCAGGGCCTGGAAAGCGGGGCCTCCTGGCTGCAGCAGCACGCGACCTGCCCCTGGCGCGGGGGGCCCCCGCCGCCTGGCCTGGCTCGCTAGACGTGCACTCGGCCTGTCTGAAGCCGCCTTGTCCCTTTGGGGCTACTGAGGCTGCTTGTGACCAGTGCTTAACGCCTCTCTGCCTTTATGTCCGTCCTGCCGAGTGTCTCAGGGTGTCCTCGGAACCGCGCCGCCCGCCGTCCTGGGCTGCCAGCCCACAGACCCCGGCCCCGCTGGGAGTGTCCACGGAGCACGGCCCAGCAGCCGCAGCCGCGCCCCCCGCGCCCGGCGGAGGGGTTCGCGTCCTCACCTCCCGCTGCTCTGGTGTCTCCCCTGCAGGAGCGTCCAAGAAGCTGCTGGAGATCTTCCAGCAGACGCCTCTGGGCCTCTTCCTGGCACGGCTCCCTGGGGAAGAGCGGCAGGAGCTGCTCCACTGCTACCTGCGGGACTTCCTGCTCTTGACCATGAAGGTGTCCAGCGGGGAAGAACTGACGGTGCGTACTGTCGCGCCGGCCCCGGACGCAGCGCTGCGGGCGGGCGGGCTCCGAGGGAATGCCGGTGCGCGGCGAGGGGGCCGCACTGCCGCCTCCGCCCTGGCCCCCGAATGTGAGCTTTCGGGGACGTGACAAAGACCTCCCATTCTCCGGGAACATCTTTTCAAATGCTCGGTGTCTCCGGGAGAAAATTAGGTGAATGTTTAAATGACCATTATAGGGGAATAATGATAAAGAAGTTTCTGTGGAAAGAACGGTACTCCTTCAAACTTCAGGGCCTAAAAAGGGAAAGTGACAGATTTGAGGAGAATCTAGAACCAATATAACTAAGGGTTACTAAATATTCTTAGGAATCAAAAAGAAAATCCCCCAACTTTAAAAAGTGGGTGAATGTTGTAAACCAACTGTTAACAGAATTATGCAGACATCCAGGAAACATCAGTAAAATTGCTGAGAGGCACCAGTACGTCAGCAAAACGTGTGCAAATTAGATGCTATCTATGCCTATCCCTGTGGCAAGACCGGTTTTTACAAAAGGCCGGCATTCCTCCATCACTGAGAGCGGCGTGAAGCAGCGCGGAGCTTTGGAAAGCCGCCTGGCGGGGCGATCGGCGGGGGGGGGGGGGGGGGGGGGCGGCGTCATAAAATCGGAACCGGTGACCCTGTCCTCCACATGCTCTTGCAGATGTGGTCCAGCATTTTAGTTCCAGGAATGTTCTTTTTAGCTTTGTTTACAAAAACAGAGAATTAGAAACAATTTAAGTGTCCAAAAATAAGGATTAGACAAACAAGAGGATGGCCACTTGATTGGTTCTTGCGCAGCCATTAAAAATGTTGTGCTTCCAGTCTATGTAGCGAGAGAGAGAAAAGTTTATGAGGCAAAGTAGGAGAAGTCAAGAAACACTGGCCTTAACTTGGGGACAATGGGGAGGACAGGCATGGATGTAAAAACGCTGGAAGCGATGATGCCAGGACGTGGGCCGGGGACAGAGCTGGTGTGTGTGAGTTTTGATTTCCTTTTCTGTCCTTTTTGAACAGTCCCCCTTTCCCCGGGGAGCGGCGTGTGCACACAGGCACACCGCGTGCACACAGGCACACCGCATACGCACCCACACTGAAAGCCTGGCTTCCTCCCCAGTTCCTGCAGATGGCGCTGTGGTCCTGCATCCAGCAGCTGAGCCTGGAAAGCCACCCTGAGGAGCTCTCCCTCCCCTGGGTGCACCTGGCCTACCAGCACTTCAGGACGCGGCTCCAGAACTTCTCCAGAATCTTGACCATCCACCCCCCGATTCTAGACAGCCTAAAGGCAGCCACACGGAGCCGCAACTTGGCCGGACGCGAGATGGTATGGCCCGTCTTGGGGACAGTTAGTGCTCCCGGCGGGCGCTTGGCCTTCCTTGGGTGGTGGGGGCCTGCGCCCGGGGCCGCCAGGGAGGGCGGGCCGACAGACCATGCTCCAAATGGGAGACTCCAGCACGGGGCCCGTACGGCAGGGCGACTCAGATGTTGAGACACATCTAACAGGTGCCTGCTGTGTCCCAAGGCAGTAAAAATGAGGCTGCGGCCCTGGCCTGGGGGTTCAGTTGGTTGGAGCGTCGTCCCGGAAACCGAAAGGTCACGGGTTCCATTCCCAGTCCGGGCACATACAGCATACAGAGAATATTTTTCTCTCGCAGAGATTTCTCTCTCTCCCTCTCTAAAATCAATAAACGTGTCCTCGAATGAGGATTAAAAAGAAAGGACAAGATGAGGCTGCGGGCCTGGGCTGTGAGAGCACAGCGGGCTAACAGCGGGGGTCTCTGCGCTCGGGATGCAGAGCCATCCAAGGGGCTGGGCGAGCTGCCAAGTCGCAGGTCTCTCTCCTGCCCAGACTCTGGACGTGTCTGCGGCGCTGGCCTGTGCTGAGCTGCTGCTGAGGGACCTGCTGAAGCCCAGCCCCCAGGCGTGGCTGCAGACGGTGAAGAGGCTGTCGATGCCCCTGGAGCTCCTCTGCTCCGACGGGTCCCTGCAGAGCCACAGGGGCATGGCCGGAAGCCTCGTCAGGGAGGTCAGGTGAGCCCCCGGAGCCGGCACCCTGGGTCCCTCCCATCGTGTCTCCCGGTCACCTGCCGAGTCCTGGGCACAGCAGGGAGAAAGGGGGCTCCAGTACCCTGCACGGGAGGTAGCCTTTCCTCCTCCACCCCTGACACCTGGGGCCCCCCAATGCCCGGCTTCACGCTGACGCTGGAGGCGCACAGAGGCAGCGGCGGAGTTTGGGGAGTGCGCGGAGTGCCGGCGGGGACCGGGCGGGGGGGCGGGGGCTGCGGTCCCCCGGCAGGAATGCTATGACGGGGAGCAGCTGCAAAGGGCCCCGAGCGGGACGGGGACAGGCAGGACGGTGGGGGCGCACAGTCGCGCAGCTGTCCTGGCGGGCGAGTCCTGCGCTGGCCTCATGGGCGTGGCGGGACTTCCAGGCGGAGGCTGAGACGAGAGTGTGCGGCTCGGGTTGCATCCACGCGGAGTCGGGGCAGGATCTGCGGCACCGCGCGGGGCTCCCACGGGGCTCCCTCCGCCTGCCCCCGCGCCGTCTCAGGCTTCTTGGTCAGAGCTGAGCGGGTAGCACTGTCTTTTGACAGAACCCACTGGAATCGCATTTTCTCTGTCGCGCTCTTCGTGGAGCACGTTCTCCTGGGGACCGAGAGCCACCTGCCTGAGCTGCGCGCGCTGGTGGCTGAGTCTGCCTGCATTCTCGATAAGGTGAGCGCTCTGGTCGTCTCGCACGCAGGCCCTGCCTCTGCAAACCCTCACCTGCAGGTGGCGCACTCCTGTAAGATCCTGCCATTTTATCTGAATGGGCGAAGGAAAGCGGTTTCCTCTCGCAGGCCGCTGGCTCTCTGACAGCCACTTGTTCAGCTCTGTCCCCTGTCCTGAGTGCTGAGTCAGAGCGTAGTGTTTTACGGAAACTACTCACTATTACAAACAGCACCCCAAGTGAAAGAGCTGCTGGACACGCACAAGGCCCGCCCTGAAGGCCCAGGCGGCCGGCTGGCAGCGGGGAGGCGGGGGGGTTTGCCCTGGGGGTTCTGACCCGCCCGGCTGGCTGCCTTTCCTCGCCGCTCACCCTCTTCCTGGTCACTGCCTTTCCTCCCGCCCCAGCGTCTGCAAGGGAACTCGGACATCAAGACCTTCCAGCCATTCAGAGCGGTGATGAAGACTCTCTGTGAGTGTAAGGAGCAGGCCAAGGACACCTTCATGCGGTGAGCTCCTCGGCGGGGCCCCACGAGGGAGAGGCGTCTGGTCCTCGGCTATTTCCAGCGTCTCCCCGCCAGCTGCTCCGCTCCAGCACTGACCCCCGTCCTTGGATCCTAGGTCCAGGGTCCCCTCATGCTCCGCCTGCCTAGGAGACGCTCGCGACCCCGTCTGCCTGCCCTGCGAGCACGTGTTCTGCCTGCGCTGCGTCCGAGCCTGGCTCACCCTCGGGCAGATGGACTGCCAGCAATGTTTGGCTGAGCTGCCGGAGGACTTCTCCCCAGAGGTGTCCCAGGAGATGAGGTGAAACACCTTCTCGCTTAAGAAGGCTTTTGCTCCTTTTTTTTGCTAGTCCAGTATCCAGAAATATAACTCTGTTAACCTTAGAAATCCTGATTGCATGGGACGGTCCCACGAGAGACAATGTACCTTCAGGAAAACCTCGTCTCTCACAATTGTTGTGTCCCTAAGACATACATAAGGATGGATTTGGGAGCAGCAAAGTTAGAGGAAGTAAACCAGAAAGTCATGAGTAATGTAGAGCTGTCACAAGGGACCCCAGGAGCGGAGGGGTACCCTCCTGGCGTGCCACTGCCGTTCACGCTCTGTGGCTGCGGGTGAGTCTGCTCTGTGCCGGCAAAGTGCTTTCCAGGGCAGGTCGGTGAAGTCGGCGGGAGCCCTGTGGGCTTAGCGGGCCCCGCCCACGCAGAAGGGCTGGTGTCCTTCCTCCCGAGGCCTCTAAGAAGGGAGCGCGAGGTGGGCCCCGTGGGGGCTCTGTGGCGCGCTCTTAGGGTGCTAGGAGGGGGCCACAGGCCCAAATGTTCGAAGTGTTCCTAGAAGGAGACAGTCCACACTGCCTGGTGCAGTTTCCAGACCAGCTCTGATCAATGTAAGGAGATCCCAGCACCTTTTTATTTAGAAAATCAAGATGCCATCGCATCCCGGGGCACTGTGTGGGGAGGGACCCGGAGCCCTCCCGCCAAGCCTTTTGACGTGGCTTCTGCCCACTCCCAAGGGCTGCCATTGAGAAGCACGCCCACTTCCGACGCTTGTGTACCGGCTTCTTCGTGGACCTGGTGTCCACCATGTGCTTCAAAGACAACTGTCCCCCGGACAAGGACGTGGTGGACCTGCTGCTGTCCCTGCTCTTTGTGGAGAAGAAGCACTTAAGAGGCGCGCCCCAGAGTACGTTGCGTTCTCCCTGCAGAGCTCAAAGCCCAGGCCTCCTCTCGCTTCTCTGTGTTTGCTGTGACCCATGAGCCCCCCTTTCTCCTCTTGGTTTAAGGACACCGTGAACACACAAAATGTCTGTCTCCATTTGATGACGTCGTGGACAAGACGCCCGTCATCCGCTCCGTGGTCCTGAAGCTGCTCCTGAAGTACAGGTCAGTGCTGGCCGAGCTGCTTGTTCCTCATGGGACAGACCTCTCTGGGGACAGGCCGCCTGCCGTACGTGTATGTCCCTGGGGCGTGGGGACCGTTCTCGTGCACAGGCAGATGCGTTCAGCGTGGACACAATGTGTGGTCAGGGATGAGAAGGCGCAGGCTGGCGAAGGGGGCCCGGTGACAGGCCCCGGGAGGGGACCCGAGTCAGGGGTCCTTGGCTGACCCTGGTTCGCAGCCACCTGGGCGTGTGGTGCTTCAGAAGGTGATGGGGAATCTCCCTCACCGTCGCTGTCCTGGGTGTCCTGTGAACTTGGCTTCAGCTCCTAACCTTCTACGACGAGTCTGTAAATGGGATGAAAAGCCCACGTGGTGTGACGCTCTTTTAAAAAAACCTCAGAAAGCGCTGTGTGTTCAGAAGGCTCTCTCGGGGGTGCTTGACACACGCAGCCTGCGCTCTGATCGGCAGTCTCCTCTGAGACGCTGGCCAGGTCAAGAGGCTGCAAGACACATTCTAACAGAAATGACCATTTCTGACATCAATGTCCAAAAGCTGACGTGGAATAGAGATTCGATTTATACTTGTCACGTGGACCTGCCGTGTCCCTGTCCACAGACATGTCACATTCCTATTTTATTCATCATTTGAGGCAAACAGGATTCTCACAGGATTTTCAAAGAAAGTCTCTCAAAGTGTGTTTTATTACAGAACTGGGATCTTACTATACTTATTATACCTTAAGTAGGTACATAAAGAGTTGAATAGAGAGATGAAAAGAAACTATTTTTTTTTTAGATTTATTTTTTTAGAAAAGGGAAGGGAGGGAGAAAGAGAGGGAGAGAAACACCAACATGTGGTTGCCTCTCACACGCCCCCCACTGAGGACCTGGCCCGCAACCCAGGCCTGTGCCCTGACTGGGAATCGAACCAGCAACCCTCTGATTCTCAGGCCGGCGCTCAACCACTGAGCCGCACCAGCCGGGGCGAAAAGAACCTTTTTTGGTGTCCTGCAGCTTTCCTTAACTCGTAAGTGTGTGAGATCCGTACTCACACGAACTTCTTTGCTTCGAGAAATGAAGCGTAGTTGCCGACACACGCATCCCGACATGCAGCGCAGACACATCGACAGGCGCAGAAACCGCCTGCTTACAGGGTGAACGCTCTGTCCTGAGGAGTTTAGAGACTGAACATCACAGCACTGACTGTAAGGTGGAAATCTGAAGACATATGACCCACTGCTCGAATTTGCCTTGTCTGGGAGCCAGACGCTCTGGCTTCCTCGTTCCTTCGCTTCCGCAGTTTGCAATTTGGCTGGACTTGGAGGTACTTTGTGGAAACGTAGATGTCAGCTCTCTGGGCTGCCGCCGGTGAGAAAGTCAGTAAGCCCGCCTGCTGAGCGCGGCCCCTGCACTGCGCGCCCACCCCGCCGTCACCCCCAGCTGTTTGCGGTCTGGACACGAACGTGGAGAGAGACCAGTCACACTTTCCGGCCACGCCTCAGGCCGCTGAGTGTGGAGAGCGTCAGATGGCGACACACGCCCAGGACAGTGCCACCTGGGTGCCTGTGCTGATCTGCTACTGCAGTTCTCGAGGTGCGGGTGTCGGGGCTCTTGGCGGGCCTGTGAGGTCACCGGTGCTTTTTAAATAACACTGGGAGGACCGGCCGTTTTCCACCTGTTGGGTCGCCACTGCTGTCTCACTCAGCGCAGAGGGCACTGTTCTGGGAGCCACTCTCCGTCACCCCCCGCATGGGTTGTTTCAAAGATGGCAGCTTCCCCGAAGAAAGTTCTTGGTGAAGCTCTAAAGCTTATTAATCTCACTGAGTCTCGGCCCTTGAGGACATGACTCCGATATTCTGTCGAAGTGAGTCACGTGGAGGGGAGCCGCGCGGGTGGCTCCTGAGTTGGGCTCGGAACCACGGTGCCAACCCAGGGCGACGGCCAGCGCTTGCGAGAGGGCCGGCGGCGGCAGCTTCCCGGCCCCCGGGCATTTCCTCTCCTTGAAAACAAGCCAAGGGTTCCTGCCGCTTCAGGGGAAACAAGTGCAGCATTTGTTGCTCTTGAGAAAATGTAAGCTCTCAAGCAAAAGTTAAAATTTTGCAAACGCGTATCCTCGGCTGTGAGCCCATCAGCTTTCTAGTAACCTGAAGACTTTGTGATGGCTTCACTGGGTGGCGATACGAAGAATGTCCGGTGTTAAAATACGTATTTTAGAATAGAAACGTGTCAGCGTTGGCAAGATCTGCGTAGCTCAGTGCACCAGTATTTTCCGGATGGCCAGTGCTTCCTGTCAGAAAATCAGGCGTTTGTCAGAAAAAACGCCACTTCTGGTTGTGCAAGGCAGACCGTGCGGCCTCACGTAACGGACTGAACAGCGCGCAGGTGCGGATTCAGATTGCACGTGGCAACCGGCCTTTCAAAACGACCCACCGTCCAGAGAAGAATGTCGTCCACAGTTTTCTGAAAGACCATTGTATTAAACAATTCACCTTGCGCCAAACACACGCGTGTAAGAGCAGGTTTGCTTCCGCTCCCTCCGTGTCAGCACAGCCAACTGGCCGCTGGACGTATTGGAGGGTCCGTCTGATTTAGCCACTGTGCAAGGCAGGAAAAACAAAGCCACTCTTCTTACAAATTCATTTTTGTTTTTTAAAAATAGTTTATTTTTAAATGTCATTTATTTTAACATGTGATGGATTCATTCTTATTATCACTTGTTAAGTGGTTGATTATTTCTAATGTTTTCAATATCAATAGATATAACCCTGGCTGGTGTGGCTCAATGGATTGAGTGCAAGCCTGGGAACTGAAAGGTCGCCAGTTCGATTCCAGGACAGGGCACAGGCCTGGGTTGTGGGCCAGGTCCCCGGTAGGGGGTGCAGGAGAGGCAACCACACATTGATGTTTTTCTCCCTCTCTCCCTCCCTCCCTTCCCCCCTCTCTAGAAAGAAATAAGTAAAAATCTTTAAAAAAATATGTCGATAGATATAACCCCCCATAAAAGCTCTTTGGGCTTCTCAGTAATTTTTAAGACTGCGAAGGAGTCCTGAAACCAAGATGTTTGACAACGGCTGGTTTAAAACAATGCATTGTATATTCCTCCATTATTGTGTTAAAATATTGTCTTTAAAGTCATGTTGCAAGCTGTATTTATGTCTGTGTGTATATATTTACATAGGGAGATTGAGAGAGATTAAGTTGGTAGCTACTTTTTGGGCGGGATACATTTCTGGACCCGAGATAACCGCATTTACCATTTCTCTTTTGGTAGCTTCCACGAAGTGAAAGGTTATATCCAGGACTACTTGACCCAGTTAGAAAAGAAAGCGTTTCTGGGTGAAGACAAGACGGAGCTGTACCTGCTCTTCAGCAGCTGCCTGGAGGTGCGCGCGTCCCCGCCCTGCGTCCCCTCGGCCGGCGCCCCGCCCCCCCGCCCCGTGCCCCTGCCATGGGAAAGGGCCTCTGAACACTCACAGACCATCACTTTAGTCGGTCAAATTAGCAGGCGCTGTGTTCCATGCAGGATAAAAAAGGTTTCAGAACCGTTGCTTCTCCCCTCAGTAACCGTCTGCACGGGCACTGCTGTGCTGGGAGGGGCGGGGCGGGGCGGGGGTGGGGGGGGGCGTGGGAACAACCTGGAAGCACGTGCCGCCGAAGTCAGCAACGCTCAGCCCCAGGTGCCGGGGCCGTGGCTGCCTTTCATTTTCATTCTCTTCACGTTTTTGTTACTTCAGATCTTTAAATGCATATGAAAAAAATTCAGGTTATACACAGCTTTTCCCTCTGAGGTTGTCTTTGTCCCTCTTTCTTGGCCCTAAAATGGAATAATAGTTTTCCATGGTTCAAAAAATTGACACTAACCTACAACATTCTTGGTCCTTTGTTTATTCTCCACGGTCGCACTGGAAAGTTTGGGGGGTCGGGGCTGCGTATTAAAAAGAACCGCCTCCTTCTCCGTCTGGCTCCCCAGGACTCGATCCGCGAGAAGCGCAGCACCGTCTCCGGGAGTGACGACCTGAGATGCCTGCGGGAGGACGTGCAGTTCTTCTGGGAGCGCCTGCAGGGGCCCCGGGAGCCCACCCCCGAGGCCTCGGTGGAGGGCCTGCAGGAGGTGGCCAGGCTCCGCCTCTGCCTCGACAAGGCCGCCGACATCCTTGCTGAGCTTCGGGCAGGCTCGGGCAAGTCCTTCCCGCGCTCCTGTCTGCGCCTCGGCTCGGGGGCCCCACGATCGAAACTTGGGAGGGATGGCACACTGGCCTCTCCTCCGTCGGTGTTTTATTCTGCGTACCTGTTTTACTAGCCTCGCGTCCGTGACAATCGATGACAGTCCTCCGAGCCCCTCGCTGACCCCTTTCCCTTGAACCCTGCAGCTGTGGCCGAGGAGGCGAAGCAGTACCTGTGGCAGGTGGAGCTCTTCTGCGCGCAGGCCGGGAACGACTGGTACCGGGTGTACCTGGTGAGGAAGCTGACGAGCCTGCTGGGGATGGAGTCTGTGCAGCATCTGTCCCGGCCCGGCCACCCGGCCCAGTGGGTGTTTCCCAAGGAAGTCATCGCACAGCAGGTGAGGGCCAGTCCTGGCAGCCCCGGGCGCTGCCACCCTCTGGGCACTGGGTGCCCCTCCCGGGCCTCCTCCCACCTGCTCAGGGGAGGGCCTGCGGCTGCTCTGGGCCCTTGTCCCTGGGCCTCAGGTAGCCCCACCCAGCTGGTGACGCCCTTTGACAGCCTGCCTAGGGAAGTGTCGTACCTGGGCGAGCAGGCCTCTGCTCTGTCCCCTCCCCACAGAGCTTTTGTAGGCGTCACTCCCGACAGCGTTGTACACAGGGAAGGCAAGACAATGGTCCTGTGGCTTTGCTTTCAGCCACGTAGAAGCAGCTCTCGGCTGCAGGATGAGGCCGTCTGTCCTCGGCCGTCAGCGACAAGCAGGGCCAGACTGAGGATGGAAGAACCGCGGTCGCTTGGCCTCGGCCTCCTGGTCATCCCTGCCGCATGCTGAGAAATGAGCCGGTTCTTGCTGTCCTGAGTTATAAAAACGGCACTAAAATGTGGCCTTTTTTTTTTTTTTTTTTTTAACTCCCGTTGGAGCTGAGATCAACGTGGCGGAGCCCCCCGGCCTCTGGCGCCTCTTTGTGTGGAGAGAGGCAGCCCTGCCAGGCTAGCGCCGCCGCCTCCTCCCGGGGCTCCGGCCGCCCCGCTGGCTGCAGGGAGCCTGCAGGGGGGTCCCACGCAGCCCGGCACTGTCCGGCCTTGGCCGCCTCAGAACCCCAGGTCTGTGTCGTTGGGCCTCCAACGATGACCTGTTTCCTGACCCCTGCAGACAGTGTTTTGCTAGACGTCCCCCACCGTCCCCACCGTGGGTGACCCTGTGTTCCTGGGGTTGCAGAGGGATCACCTGGGCCACATGGACCGTTTCCTGGTGCATGGGCAGGAGTACAAGGCTGTCCGTGACGCTGTGGGCAAAGTCATGCTGGAGTGCAGGCCACAGGCTGTCAAGACGGCTCTGCAGGTAGGACGGCCCCGCAGAAAGTGCCTCTTTCTAAAGTTATGTCCACTGATGCAGTGGAAGGTGTCCAGGAGGGGACAGCTGTGTGGGCAGTTGTGGGCCCGCGGTCTCCAGGGACACCTGGCTGCGGGGACAGCAACAGCTGTCCTCAGTTGTTGTGGACAGAGGTGCTCGGGCTTGCTGACCTGCCGAGGTGCTCGGTGTCGGTGAGTCCTCCGTGGTCCCTCTGTGTCTGCTCCTCCCTCTGAGTCCCTGCGGACGGGACGCACAGCGGCGCCGGCCTCCGCGCCGATGCGCTCCCGCAGTCCTGTGTGCGCTCGTTTTAAGAAAGGTTAGAATAATCTTTCCCGTGTTCTGGTCTCACTTCCTTCTGAGCCTGGGTCACCCTGGCATCCATGGTGCGGGGACCTGAGGAGGTCATACCTGTGCTCTGGACAAGTTTCCAGGGCAGGGGTGTCGTCAGAAAAAGAAGACAGTGGTTTGTGTTACTCTGTCATGAGACTGGACGCAGGTGCCCGAGTTTAATGGAACGTCTTTCGAACCTGCCGTCTCGGAGCCATTGCCGGAAGACGGTCCTCAAGGTGGAGGGTCCAGGTGTCCTGGGTTTTGAGAAGGTGTCCCGCCCCACCCTGATGTGGGGGCAGAATCACAGGGCTCTGCCTGGACAGAGCCACCCATGTGGCACAGCGTCCCTCGGTGTTCCCCTCTCAGGCCTGCAGGAGCTCCGAGACGCACCAGGCGGCCTACCTGCTGCTGGCGCTGTTCCGAGAGGTCACCACCCTGTACAGGTCCCGCAGCGCCAGCCTGCACCCCACACCCGAGGTGAGCACAGCGCCTCTGCGTTCAGGGGGTACTTTCTGAATAGAAGGAAGAGTCATGCACTCAAATTATGCTCCTGATTTTCCGTCCAGGGCAGGGGATTCACCCTTCTCACAAGGAGGGGCTACTTCCTGTTTTAGCCAAAGCTTTTAGAATTACAGTTAAAACCAACATCAAGAACGTAAGATGCTTTCAACTGAAACAGAGTATCTGAGGGGAGCTTGGGCCTATGCCACTGAGTCTGTGCGTGAACCTCTTCTCCTCCGGGGATCCCCACAGAGGGCACCTCCGCAGCCCCATTTACCGCAATGGTGGATGGGTATTTTGTATCGAGATGTGTGACTGACGTCAGAGCACTCCTCTGCGTTCCCGGGATCTTCTTTACTCGGTTTAACGTGGACACATGTTTTCCTGTCAGCAACGTGAGGCTGTGAGCAAATTGATTGAAGAAAGCCCGACCCTCTCCCAGGACATGAGAGATTTCGCAATATCCCTTGTGACCCGCGCGCTGCCACTGCTGAGGGCGGGTCCCGGCGGTGGCAGCCTTGAGGGCGCGGTGATAGAAATGGCTGTTCACGCTGCTGTCATCCTCTTCTGCGGACAACACCGAGTCTTGGAACCCCTAAGGAACTTGGCCTTCGCCCCAGCCACCATGGCGGTGAGACTGCGCGGGGGCCAGGTGGCGGGCTGTCGCACCGACACCCAGCCTTGGTGGGGAAACGGTGGAAGCCGTGTGCTCCCTGGGGTCCCTCTCTCCTCTGTCTCCCCTGGTCCGTGAGCCCACAGTGATGGTGAGAATCTTGCCGCCACTTGTCACACAGAGAGCTGTCATGTCTTCTCCACAGACAGCTTTTGAGGTCAAGGAGAAGGGAAATCAGAAGGTCTCGTCCTTGCTCGAGACCTCCTACCTCCATGTCTAAAGCGAGCTCTGCTCTCTTGGTTTTTCAGAGGGCGTTTCTTCCAACCATGCCTGAGGACTTGCTGGCTCAAGCCAGAAGCTGGAAGAGCCTGGAAGCCGTCCAGTGGTACAGTAAGTGTTGCTGTCTGAGACGGTCACAGTCCTCTGAGCTTTGATGAGCTTCCTGATGCCGCCTGGGCCGCTGGCTGAGCGCGGGGCCCCGTGGTGGGGGCCGGCCTCGTGCTGCCGTAGGCGCTGGCACGCAGATGGCCCCGCCTTGGCGTTCCTGGGCGGCTGCCCTCTGGGGAGGGGGGCAGGAAACACATCAGAGGCTCGGTCACGGCGCAGCCCGGTGCCTGACCCAAACAGGGCTTTTAGAAAAATGAAACTGGGAGATAGAACAGTGCAACTCTGACTTGATGTAAATTCTTCTGGTGCCTGAGTAAATAACCTTTGTAAACTAGTTTCAAAAGTTGTTATAAAACATGCTCATGGCAAACAACGTAGTGAAAGAGAACAGAAGTGCACAAAACACTCCACTCTGCCTCCCAAGGTAACCGTGGCATGGGCCTGGAATCTGCTTTCTCTGCTTCATAGGATTCCACTCAGGGACACATTTCCACATGAGCTCGGGACACAGACCTCTGTCCCGTGTGTTGGGGCCGGTGCAGCGGGTGGGGGGAGTGGCTGTCCCTTTGAGCTGAGGGTTGTGAGCCAGCGCGTGCCCTCTTCTTATCCCAACAGCATGCCCCAACGGTCACCCGTGCGCCGTGGGAGAGGTGAGTCTGGCTACTTGGGGCAGGGCTTGGGGACCCAAAATGTGTGTCCCTTCAGGTCTGCGGGGTCATGGAGGAGGAGGAGGAGGAGGCGAACGAGGGTCTTGACCTTCTAGGAGAGCACAGAGTCTTTTGAGGGCTGGTCTGAACATCTAAATAAAACCTGGGCTGCCCAACGGGCTCTCAGCCTCAGCACTTTGTATAAATTTCTTTATTGGGGGCCATCCTGTGCCTCGTAGGATGCTGAGCAGCATCCCTGGCCTCAGCTCACCACGTGCTAAGAGTACCCTGGCCCCCCCAGTGCGACATCCAAAGATGCCACAGGTCCCCAGGGAGCCAACACTGCTGCTGGTTAGGAAACACTGCCAGATGCCCTTGCTGGCCCCCGGAGCATGGGATCAGGGTCACGTGTCTTTCTGTGACAGCAGAGTGCTGGCTGGGTCAGGAGCTGGGTCACTGGCCCTGAGAGGACAGATGAGCTAGAGAGGGGACCCGAGAAAGGGACAAAGACTCACAGCCCGTAAGCCCGTGGGGGAAGGACCTGTGTGTCCCTCCACCCTGAACCCCGAAGCCGCTGTGCAGGGCCCTTTGTGGCGCCGCCTGTGCCTGCCGGTTCGGCAGCCGGCTACTGAACTGAAGAACGCCGTGTAATGAGGTAAATGGGAGAGGCGAAGGGAGAAACTGCCACGTCCACATCATTCCAAGTTCACTGGCCTCTTCATCCATGAAATGTCCTCGGCACAGGCTGTCCCCAGACCTCGCCCATGTCTGGAGGTCTCTAGGCTGCGTACCTGAGGGGGTGTGGCCTGCTTCTGAGGGAGTCACAGCTGCCCGCACGCACCCCAGTAGTGCAGAATGGGCCTTTGGAAGTGGGGACCACATGGCCATGTGGTTTGAAATCAAAAGCCCGTGGTGGCGCTGAGGGGATGCGGAACTCCTGGTGTCAGGAAGCAATGCTGGGGTTGTGGCCCCCGGGGGACTGGGGACAGATGACACCCGGGAAGGAGGGCTGCCACGTACATGGATTCTCTTTGGGGAGAAAACGTAAATTGTCTCTCTCACTTGGAAAAAGAGCCCAAATTTGACCATGTTCCACATAATTAGCATGGAACACATGTCCTGTACCCCCAAATACGCGAGTGCGAGGGAGCCCTCCCGGCGCGTCAGCCTGTCGGCGCACTGGCAGTGTGCACCGGGGCTGACGGCCATCTGCCTGTGTCCTAGTGTGGCAGGCCCATGGAGCAGAGCTTCTGCATCGACTGCCGCCTGCCCGTCGGAGGGACGAACCACAGACCTCAGGCGGGATTCACTACTCTCCAGTATGTAGGCGGAGTCTCCTCGCTGGCTCAACCCCGGGCATGGGCTTTGTCTGTTCCAGCTGATACGCTGGTGCTTACTGTGGTGTCCTGACTGCAGTGTGTTTGGACCGGGGACATGCTGGGCACTGAGGTCCCAGTCCCTGTAGCCATACCCCAGGAGGTACTGGATCTGTCCTTGGCCACCTGGACTCCTAAATGCAAAGCAGACGGCATGTGAACCCTTGTTAACGTGAACACTTGTTCATGCCAATGTCTTCCACGTGGTCTGCCTGGGGCGAGCCCCCTGCTAGGCAGGTTTCCCAGTGCACAGGGGCATTGAAGTCTGCAAAACAAAAAACCCGGCATTTGCCTCTGAGCAGATGCCACTGCCCTCAGTTGCCTCTTGAGAATGTGATGGTGGTGTGGCCAGTCTTACTGACCACTGCGGGTCCAGCTAAAAGCTGGTCTGCTGTGCCCCACCCCCGCTCACCACACGGGGCCGGCTGTACGTGCTGCCCGAAGGCAGGCGGCGCCGCCTCTCCACGGCCGCCGTCCTTCCTGGCTCTTCTGGTGCCGTCACATGTTACAATAGTCTGTTATCTCCACACACTGAATGTCCTAGAATCACCAGGATGTTGGCAACGGGCCCTCTCTGTCCCACTGCGCCTGCCATCAGAGCGTGGTAGGAAACCCTTGGCCAGACCTGAATCCGAATCTTTGATTTGGGACAATGAGACCAAGGTGCGCATGTCCTCATGCCCATGCCAATTGTCCCAGGCTCTGGCTGTCCTTAGCCTCCTCCTGTACCCACAGTGACGTCAATGGAAGTAGGTCCTGATGTTCGTCTTCCCACATGGCCCAGGGACGGCACCAGATGCCACCTCGTGCAGCCACTTTTCATGAGAAAGAAGGTTGTGGGCTTTCGGTCAGCCAGGGAAGTGGTTCTAGAAAGAAAAGACTTTCAGGAAAGTAGTGTGGGCTTAGCAGAAAAAAAGTGCTTCCCACGTTATTTTCTCCCAAAATGTGAACCTGGTCTCCAGGCCCCGAGGATCGGGCATGTGCCCGGAAGCTGAGACACGACCTTCAGCCTTCACCTTGTCCTCTCTTGCTCTTCCCAGACACACCGCAGACAGAACTCAGACTGGCCACGTGCTGGGAATCCCACCCCGCAAGGATGAGGCGGTGGTTTCCGACCGGGACCTATCCCCGGTGGTCTTTCTTCTTGCTCGGCTCCTCACTCACCTGGCTCTGCTTCTGGGAGCGGCTCGCAGCCCGCAGGTGCCGTGTGCGCAGCCTGAAGCTGCTGCAGCGGTCACAGGGAGTCCTTTCACCCCCAAAGGCCTTGCCCCCTCAGCGGGTTTTGAACGCGTCTTTGTTTACTGATCCACAAGGAAACATAAAGCCTGCACACCCTCACTCTTCCCACTGGGTGTCTAACGGGGTGGGGATGAGCTCACCAGTCCCAATCCAATCCCCCTAAAGTGACTGGCTCCGGCCTCTCCTGGGAGCGGAGAGCTTAGTACGGCAGGCATCTGGGTCGCGGCTCTGTGGAAGGATAGTGCACCTCCCCGAGTCACACCAGGCGGCGGGCAGGCCTGGCGCTGAGACCTCCTGGTTCCCTCCGGCAACGCCTGAGGACCCGCTGTAGCCCCCCACCCCTCAGGTCCCTCCGAACGCGGCCCTGCCCCCTCCGCAGACCAGACCGTTCTGATGTGTCACCCCTGGCCCCACAGGCCATGAGTGCCATTATCCACCCTCCCGTGGAGGACCCGAGAAAGTTTCTAGAGGAGCACATCCACAGGGACATGGAGCAGCTAATGAAGACACTGGGCAGGAGTGCTGACGACACGGCCAGCGTGGTCCACCTCGTCCTGCACAGCCTCCTTACGGAGCAGCGCCACCGCCCTGCGCAGGGTGAGGGCCAGGGTGAGGGCTGCGCGGGCCGAGAGCGCAGCTGCAGAGGACGTGGGTCCGAGGGAGACAGGGTGGCGAGGAGTGCGGCCGGGAGGGCGGTGCCATAGGAAGCAGTGTCCCTGCTGGTGGAGGGGCAGGCCCACCGCGCCTCCCTGCACTCCCTGCTGCGTGAAGACCTGCCGCAGTCCGGTCTGTGGCACAGAGGTCGAGTGTGTGCGGAGGCTCTGCAGTTTCCAGCGCCAGAGCCCACGGCGTCTTCACAAAGAGTGGGAGGCGTGTGGCAGCAGGGGCCAGTTCTACATGCTCAGGTTACTTAAAAGAAGAAACCTGCCCACCCCCCTCCCGGAGAAGAACATTATTTCCGTTTAACAATTATTTTGTGTCTCCTCTATGTAGACTGCTGTGGGTTTTGTTCCCTGGGGAACCCATATGTTTTTCTTTGTAGAGCCTTTCCATTTTGATGCCACCTTGTCAACCAAGGAACAGAGAAACTCCTGGGAAAAGTGTGTGGAAACTCTCATTTCACCTGAACTCAAGGTGAATGCGGAGGGATGGCACCACCCGCACGCGCACCTGGGGAGGGTGGGCGGGGCTTTCCCCGTTGTCCCTGGGCGCTCGGCCCACCTGCCCAGGAGACTGCGGGGTTCCTGGGAGTCAGAAGTGTGGTCCTTGTGTTCTCTCCGTTTCGTTTGACGACAGGATGTGAGAGCAGGAGGTAGAGAAATAAGCTCCCACACATAGAGCCCCCAGAACAGGGCTGACCACCACAGGTTAATGGTTGCCCTGTCAGGTGCAGACGCTCCCGAGAGTAACGAAGCCCATCTGGGAGGAAAAGGGTGGGAGTTAAACATAGGTGCGAGTCTCATTCTTTCTGGGGAGACATAAACGTGCAAACCAGGAGCACATGAATGATGCTAAAGGTGAACCCACACGCTGAAACGAGGAGGTCGGATGCCCAGACCTGCCCGGGCAGGTCAGCAAGTGGCCCCATGTGCGCCTCACACCCAGTGCTCTGTGTCCTTCTCCTCACCCAGCATCTGGATAAAGCTCTCCTGACAGTGAACGCTCTCATCAGCCATGATGAGCGTATCAGCTCCAACCCGGTGGCCAAACTTGTATTCCACGACCCAGTGGCCTTCCTGCCCCACCTGCCCCAGAACAGCGTGGTTCACAGCTCCAAGATGTGGAGCTGTAGGACGAGGGTCACCGTGGAGTATCTCCAGCACATCGTGGAGCAGAAAAATGGGAAAGAAACCGTGCCTGTCCTTTGGAAGTTCCTGCAGAAGGTAAGGTGCTTCGCTGGGACCACCAGCCTGGTTTCCCAGGGACCGGAGGCCCTGGCTCTGAGCTGGTCCGGTCTTTCCTATGAGCAGGACGTCTGACACATTAAGGGCAGGACTGACATGCTAAGGGCGGGAGGTCCAACACACTACTGCAATGACACAGCGACAGGACAGAGACCCCCCTACAAAGGTCTGATAGTGTGGACCCCGAGTCACAGGTGAACATGGCCCAAGTTGGGAGGACACGGGGAGTGTCTCCCCCATTACTCAGCAAGAGCAAGATGAGTCTCCCAGCCACACATGTTCCCCTTCGTCCCCCAGCACCTGGGGCATCTGGTCATCCATGCGTGTTTGTTGAAAGAAAACCTTTAGTCCAGAATCCCTATTGGGAATCAAACCCAGTCCCCGCTGTTCCTGAACAAACGATGAGGGGCCGGAGGGTCCTCTTGGTCAGAACCAGAAACACATAGTTCCTGACTCTAGTCCCCTTCAATTTTGCCTTTCTGCGGCAGACTCCCCGGCCATTTCCATCCAGGGACTAGTGTTTGCAGTTCAGCAAGCGGAGAGGTGATTGGGTGGTTCCTGCTGCTCAGTAATGTACATGAGGTCACAGCAGGAGGCTCCACGTTGGGACTGTGCTCTGTCCCTGTGGGAGCCGCTCAGGGTTGGGACCTCAGAACGACACCCATGGAAACACAAGCACCACAGCCTGGATGCTGGGTCTCTGTTCTCGGCTACCTCTCTACATCCCACCTGTCCCCTGATCCCCAGAGGCAGGTTCCTTTCATGCTTCAGGCACACGCGTGGGATGCATTGGCCTATGAGAGCAGGGCCTGCGTCTGTTCACCCCACCCTCCCCAGGGTGCAGTGTACGCTAACCTGTGGCAAGCCATCGGGAGATACCGGCTAAAAGACCGGGACAGCATTTTCCCCATTTCCAAGATCACAGATAAAATGCCGCACAGACCGGGTGAAAGTACACATATACACCCAGAGCCTGCCCTGTGGTCCCTCTCCCCAGTGACACAATCTGGCGGACTAGACACATCACTGTGTGGCCTTCCCTCCCCAGGAAGGAGAGCTGAGGCTGGTGAGGTTCTTGCCCGAGATCTTGGCTCTGCAGAGGGATCTTGTGAAATGGTTCCAGAATGCTTCAGAAGCTGAGTACCCATCCATCTACGACTTTATTTACAGTCACAGTTCAGGTGGGACTCTGTGGTCACCGGAGATCAGGATGGCCTCTGCTTGGTGGCTCAGGGATCACTCCAGCTCAGGGGTGGGGGTGCTTTGAACACAAAGCCGTGGGTGCCCCGAGACCCCAGCATACCGCACAGGCTTTGCTGCGGCCTTTTTCTGGCTCCTCACACTCAACAGTGGCGCTGTCATGGTGTCCGGGTGGTGCTGGTGGGCGTGGGCTGAGGCAGTACTGGCTCTGGCTGGAGGGTGTGTGGCTCTGCTGCTCTGACCTAGACCCGTGGGGCCTGTGTCTGACAGGTGGGCTGAAGCAGCTGCTCCACAACAGATTCGTGCTGTTTCTGTCCACATGGAACAGGCTGAGGCGGTCCCTGGAGACCAATGGTGAGTGGCGTGTTCCCCTTTAACGTGACACACTGCAGGGGACCCATCCTCACAGCCCTGCTGTCAGTCCCTGTTGTCACCTAGCACCATGCCACATGCATTTAACTCTGAATCTGCATCTTTGGGTGGAGGGGTCTGGGACAGTGAAATCACACAGCCAGAAAAATACACCCTCAGTTCTTGGATCGATCCATGTGGAAGCAAAAAGAAGTGGGGCCGTTTGGAACCGGGCAGCATATGACAGGGTGGGAGGCAGGACCTCCACGTATCCCTGGGCCCAGCTCTGATGGGTTGAGAAGTCTGCGCTGCTTCTCCCGCTGTGGGCTCCCTGGCCTTCCACTGGGCAATGAACAGCACGGAGTGGTGACCTCGGCCTGAGAGGGACCCTGTCATTTAAAGGTGAAATCAAGCTACCTAAGGACTACTGCAGCACGGACCTCAGTCTGGACGCCAAGCTCGAGGTCGTTCTGCCGCGCCGCCAGGGCCTGGGCCTCTGTTCCACCGCCCTAGTCAGCTACCTGATTACCCTGCACAATGAAATGGTCTACACGGTGGAAAAGTTCTCTGAGGAAGAAAACAAGTGAGTGCACAGCCCATGGGGTGGTGTCCTCCAACCCAGGGAGTCGTTTCAAGGCCACAGGTCCAGGACCTGCCAGCCACTTGCCAGCAGCCCCGGCCAGCGCCGCTCCAGCCCCACTCGTGGGCGCCTGCCGAGCTGCCCGTCGTCTCCTCTGCTCAGACTCCTGTCATCCCTAGGGTAACGTGTTCTATTGATCAAAAATTTCAGAGCGATACATAATAGTTTTGTCTGGTAGGCCTGAGTTTATGATCGCTCGGTGTTTTTGTGCTCCAAGGTCATGGCACGTGGGGCCTGGCTCCTGTCGTGCATCACCAGCCGCACCCCTGGCCGGGCCCTGATGCTCTCTTTACCTCCTCAGCTACTCGGTCGATGCCTCTGAGGTCACTGACCTGCACGTCATCAATTACGAGGTGGAGCGTCACCTGACTCCACTCATCCTCTCCAACTGCCAGTACCAAGTGGAGCAAGGTGGCGAGAGCCTGCAAGAATTCGACCTGGAGAAGATCCAGCGCCAGCTCACCAGCCGCTTCCTCCAGGGCAAACCCAGGCTGACCCTCCGGGGGCTCCCCACGCTGGTGCGCAGACACGACCGGAACTATGAGCTCCTCTTCGCCAGCATCAGGAGCAATGTGCCCCAAGTGAGTGCGCACAGCCCTGTCCTCTGGCACGCCGGCTCCGCTAGCACTGGCTGCTCTCACGCCAGATGTTTGCCGCAAGCGCCCAAGACCTTCTGTTCCCCAAGCCCACTGCTCCTTCCAGAGGGCGAGCAGGACAGCAAGCCCCACTTCTTGCTGAGTGTGGCAGAGCGCAGTGTCCCAGTGTTGGCTGCTTGGTGCTGGCATCACAGCCACGTGAGTCGGTGCAGGCCAGAGGACGTCGGTGCTTCTGCTCTCCTGATTTGTGTGTGTGTGTGGTGTGGGTTACCTGTATTGAGTGTGTGTGTCTCTGTGTATACACACGTGTGTGTGTTGCCCATGGGCACGTCCTCACTGATCACTCTGAGGATTCAGTGTGTTCCCCTCTATGTCTGCAAAACAGCTGGAATACTGCTGACTCTTAGGAAGCACGGTGTGTCAGAGAGCTCGTCCTGGCTTGTGGCCTCAGCAGCGACAACAGTTCTGAGGCACAGCCACCCACGGACTTGTCCTGCTTCTGACTTCCTAGGTCCCCCTCCCCAACTCGGCCCTCAGCACCATCAGTGGGCAGCTGCAGTCCCATAGTGATGCCTGTGAAGCTCTCTCTGTCATAGAGGTCACTTTGGGGTTTTTGAGCACAGCTGGAGAGGACCCGAACATGGACTTGAACGTATACATCCAGGACAAGCTGCGAATGAGCGATCAGACGGAGCAGGTCCTAAAGGTAGGCCTCTCACCTCGCTTCCCAGGAGTTGCCGTGCCATTCTGAGTGGCGTGTCAGTCTAGGCAGCCCCTGCCCTGGCCGGACTGCCTGGAGACAGTACAGACCCCGGAGGTAAAGTCGGAGGTGCGCGCAGAATGGAAGCCTAGATGCAGCGTGCCACAGCCACCTGCACGCTGACTGGTGCTTGGGCTCCGAGATGCTGCCTGCAGGAGAGGCCTTTCAGAGGGGCGGAGACTGAGTCCTGGAGCAGGGTAGCCTTCGTGCTGAGGGGAATGGGATGAGCTCAGGGCAGAGCTGCACAGCCTGTGTGCAGAGCTGCCCGACTCTTCAGGGGCCGCTTCCTCCCACAGGCCCTGCACAGGTGTCAGCTGAGGCACGTCATCGCCCTCTGGCAGCTCCTCTCTGCTCACAAGTCTGAGCAGCAGCTGCGCCTGAGAAAAGTAAGTCCCACCTCCTGCTGTCCACCTGGCTGCGGGCTGTGCTTACATCCTGGGCCCTCGCTTCACCTGCTCTGCCTTCGCTGCAGGAGCCGTTTGAGGAGATCAGTGCCAGGTACGGAGTTGAGCTCAGCCCGGAATGTGCTAAGCTCCTGAGCACATTCCTGAACCAGGGCGGCCTGGACACCTTCCTCCTGGAGCTCCATGAAATGATGGTTTTGAAGCTGAAGAACCCCCAAACCAAGCAGGATTTCAACCCCAACTGGAGGTAGGGCCTGCGAGCCTCCAGGCTGAGCACAGCTTCTGTCTACCCTCTTGGAGTTCAGTGTCCGTGGTTACTGTTGCCCAGGCATCCAAGGACTGCCTCTAGGGGCTTCAATCTCTATTGAAACTTTTTAAGTAATTATAAGTCACATTCTTACTATAAGGAGCTGGCTTACTAAGTCAAAGAGGTGTTCATTTTAACTTTCATAGAAAAAGCTACACCAGTGTATAGTGTAAGAACACACGACCCTGGCTAGTATCTGTCTTTTATGTTGCTGCCAATCTAATGACCCAAAAATGGCATCTCGTTTTCACTCAGGTTTTCCTCTTCACTAGGGAGGCTGAAATAATTTTCTGTTTATCAGCCATTTGTATGTCTTCCTCCGAATTACCTCTTGACGCTTTTTTTTTTTTTGAGCAGAGGACTGTTTGTGTTTTCCTTGATCTTAAAAGATTTTTTCATCTGTTATGTTAAAAAATGCTCTATCTTGGTGTTGAATTTTACAAAGCCAAACCTGACGATTTTTTTCTATAAAGCCTCTGTAGGAACATAGATCTAGGTTATGAAGTAGTCTACCATGTTTCTTCTTGTGCTTCTAGAGTTTAATGTGGTATGTTTGTTTGGTTAACAAGTTCATCTTTATGTGTGGTCTGAAGTAGGGGTTTCACTTTGCTGGTTTTCTAGATATAAGTCGGCTGCCAGTTCCCTCTCCAGTCAGCCACACGGCCGCCGCCGTCCTCCGTCAGACTGGGTGGCTTACATCTGTATACATTTATGTCTTTGGGGTTTTTTATAAGGTTTTATATTTTTGCTCCTAGAGGGGAAGGATGGGAGAAAGGGGGAGAGAAACATCATGTGTGAGGGAGATAAATCGATCAGCTGTGTTTCACACACCCCCAACTGGGGACCTGGCCTGCAACCCAGGCATCTGCCCCAACCGGGAATCATACCAGCGACCTTTCGGTTTGCAGGCTGGCGTTGCATCCACTGAGCAACACCAAGCCAGGGCTATCTTTGGTTTATTTAAACAAGTCTTTGCCACTCTGGACTTTTGGTGTGAGAAAAAGACCCCATTCCTAGAGACTTAGAACATTTGTTCATAGGAAATGGAGCAGCTTTTGCTCTGGAAGGGCAGGCTTTGTTTCTATATAGCTGATCTCGTTACTAGAGGGCTTAGAGTGGTCTGCGGGCCCCGCAGCAAGACCAGCACCGTCCTGCAGTATGTATGCTGCACGTGGGCAGCGGCAGGTGTGTACCATCTCCTTGCAGCCAAGATGCCAGTCCCTGCCCACTCACCCCATTGCAGAAGGCCTAGAGCTGACTCTCAGCACCTCTGGTCTCAGCAGCGCTCAGGTCTACGGATGGCTTATAAAGGTGACCGCTGATGGGTGTCTGCAGTTTCTCTTGCCGACTGTTCAAAATGCCGTCTCCTGTTCCTTGGTTTTTCAGCCTGAAGGAAACTCTAGTAACTTACATGGAAGCTAAAGACAGCGACATTCTGCCTGAAATGGAGGCTCAGTTCCCAGAAGAGATACTGCTCTCCAACTGTGTCTCTGTGTGGAAAATGGCAGTGGAGCTGAAACGGGGTCGACAGATGAGATAGGATCCCTTCCTTGGTACCGTCTCTGACTCAGGCTGGGGGAGAGAAGGCTCCCCACCCCTCACCAACACGGGGCGCCCCCGCTGCCCTGCGTCCCTGCGACTGTTGTCTCAGGGGTGTGTCTGCGCGCCCACTCTTTCTCATCAGGGGATGAATCCTGATCTCTGAGAGTTGACCCCTGAGTAAATCGCTGCTCCTCACATCCCAGGGGAATGTATAGGAATGGTCTGTCTCAGGCCTTCAGGCCTCTTTCCAGGAACATTTCTAGCCACCGGGCCCCTTCCTCCTCAGACTATTACACGGTCAGAGGGAGGGAACATGGGTTACTTATTTTTGCCTTTATATATTTTCTAATATGTTCTGCACTCTTAAAAAGAATCTGGCTTTTTTTCTTTCTTCTGTTTCTTTAAATTCTGAGTATTATACAAACGTCTCTAGGTTTCCAGGAACAATAAACGAGTGCCAGGCTCTGCGCCCTCTCACGAGCCAGGGCGCTCTGAGTGACAGGCCCTGGAGCCAGGCCACTGCGACCTCATCAGGCCCCCTGACAGGCCACTGCCACATTTCATGGTCTAAGACCTTCAGAGTCTTAGTTTCCTGGTTTTCAAATGAAGGAACTGGATTGATTGATGGCCAGATTTCCTCCCAATTCTAGTATTTTGAAATTCTAAATGAAAGTTTCTCAGTGCAGACTTGGGCCAAAGGCACAGCCCTGGCATTCTGCGGGGCGTGTCTGGCTGGCACCATGCCGAACAGGCACGGCCCCCGCGTCCGAGTGTGCGAGTATCCGGTGCCAGCACTGTGTCTCGGCCAGGGGGTAAGAACGGACTCAGGACACAAAACCAGTCAAGTCTCCAAGGAAGGAACGGGAGAGCGGCCGGCCAGCGCTGAGCTCCTGCCGCCCGCCCACACGAGTGTCGGCCCTCTTCTCCGCGAGCACGCGGGTGCGGTGAGAGCCATCCGGGCTCATCCCTGCCCTTCGGCCTCGGCGCCCACGACCACTGAGAAACAGCCGTTTGCAACCAGGCAAAGGTCTTTCATGTGCGTTCTAGGAGAATTAATGACTCCGTCAGCTTGAAATTGGGTCCACCAGTGAGGAGAGCTATTCAAACAGCAAATGCCCACCAGGAACCCCGGGCATGCCCTCAGCGCCGGCCGGGAACGCAGAAGGCCCTGCCCTCGTCACTACTGCTCTTCCTCGTTGTCGTGTGTGGTGAGGGGAGGCCAGTGATCCGGGCCCCACACTCACTCACCTGACCTAGAACCTATGTGCTTTCAGTGATCTGACTGTTCAGTCCTTCCAAACTATGCAAAGGCCCCCCCCTGACATCTGCGTCCTCAATTCCCATTTAATTGCCATTTAACGGGAAGGGGGGGTTGCTTGTTCAACTCTTCAACTTGCACTTGGAACTCCTTTGATACCTCAGAGTGAGGGGCCGCTCTGGTTCCTCACTGGGCCACCCATGCCTGAGTGGAAGACCCTTTTTTGGGGGGGGGATGGGAATTTTATCCCCACTTTTATGAAAGTTTTTAAATTATGATGTTTTGTTTTGTATGCTATGTTTTCAAAGCCTTAACTCAATATCTAGTATCTTGTTGGTACAAAAATATAGTGGCTTAGCAGAGACAAAGGAAAATTTTTACTATAGTTGTCACACCTGTTTAATAAACTTAAGTCTAGCTGCTAAAGGATCCTTCTCTGTGGGGGCACAGCGCCGATTCATGGCGGTCAGCCCTCAGCTGGCTTTGGGGAACAGCTCTGCCCGCTGGCGGAATGTTGGCGTGGAGGTGTCCATCACATGGAAGGTTCTGGACAGGAAATGTACACTCTGGTTCAGAACGTGAGGGTAAACATTTCGTCTGTACAAAGTGACCACAGAGCCGAGGAGCCACGGAATTTAACGCCGCTCCCCAAACGCGGCAGCCTCTGCCTCCGAGGGTGGTTGTGCACCCCTGCCCGGGGGCGGGGGGGGGGAGCAGCATCCTAGCCAGCTACCTCCGGCGGGGAGGGTGGGGGGGGTGGGGGAGCGTTCCCCAGCGGGAGGATGAGGAATGTGACAGGTAGGTGTGAGCTCTGGCTGCCCACCTCTGGATGAGTGGCAGGACAGTACTTCAGGGAGAAGCTGCATTTTTTCTTCTAATAGGAAAAGACTCCTCCTGGGGAGCAGCCTGCTTTCTCGAACTCCCGCTTGGAGGAGAGAGGCCAGTAGCCCAGGAAGCCTGGCCTGTCTGCCCGCCCTGTCCTCTGTTTCGTCCCCCACCCATCCCTGCCCCAGGCCTTCCCGTCATGCTTACCTGTCCTGTCCCTGTCCTCCTGCATTGGTCTGGCATCTCCAGCTGCACAGTCCATTCCGCTTTGGACCCGGGCAGACCCAGACATGGGCTGTTGGGAACTTACCTGCGCATCTTCACAACTGATCGCTGTGTCCTCTTTAAGACCTTACCTTAGTGCCCTCCCTGGCCAGGTAGCTCAGTTAGTTAAAGCACTGTCCCGATAGACCAAGGTTGTAGGTTGGATCCCGTTAAAGAACATACAGAAGTCACCCAATGACGACAAATCAATGTTTCTCTAAAAAGTAAATAAAAAATTGTTTTTAAAGAGCTTACCTTATTTTGTGTGCCATAGGATTTCATCATTTGTTAACTGACAGTCATGAGCTATTTCAGTTATTTCTAGGTAGGCAATTCCAACCCAGAAACCAACATGCAGTGAAAACGGTGAGGAAATGGCCAGGCTGGTAAAGCACACTGCGGGCCGGGCCCCCCGCACCCCTGCCCTGGGTGCCCTGGGGGCCGCGAGGAGATCCTGAGGCCTTGCGCTGAAGGACAACCCCTCCCAGCCGTGACTGACCTCTACACTGCCTTCTGCGCGTTAATCCAGTTCCAACTGGAAAAGCAAGCAACAGGGGAGAGCGAAAGCTGACAAAATTCACTCCCCAGATTGCCCGACGGGCTGCCCCTGGGATATTCCCAGAAGCAGGCGAGGGAAGTTGGGGGGCGGGGCCGGGGCCCACGCAAGCCCCCCCTGTGTCCATGGCCTACAGAGTCCTGCCTTCCACCCTGCCGCTTCCCTCACACCGAAACTTACTGGGGGTGCTCGCATCCCAGAGGGTCGCCACCGCATGACCACTCCCTGTCCCCTGAACACAACACACCCTCAGTCAACCCCAGCACAGCTACCTGCTCAGGACCCCCGACTTCGCCTCCCGCGACCAAGCCTCCAAGCTCTCTACCCGGACAAAGCCGGCGCAAGCGCAGCGCGGACGGACGGACGCCGGCGTAAACCGGGGCGCTCCCAGGGGCCGGCTCTGTGACCTCGGGCGAGCCACGTCACCCCTGTAACCTGTTTCCCCTCCTGTAAAGTACTTCTCAGTGCTGTGGCGAGAAACAAGCCGGCGTGGGGAAATAGCTGAGCACAGTGCCGGGCGGGCCGCGGGGGCCAGGAACGTGGCACTCGCCTCCTCGCCCTGCTGACAACTCCAGGCCCTGCCGGTCGCCGGATGCTACGTGAAGCCTTTCCCCAACCTCGAGGTCGAGTTCCCTCTTGAGAGCCATAGTCAGGCCGCCTTCCTGCCCGTGTGCTTCTCCGGATTCTCCTAGGGGCACATCGCTGCCCTTCGGCGGGCCGCGCGCCCGTCCGCCGGCCGCCTGTCAGCGCCCCGCGGCCGCCAACCTCGCTCCCACCGCAGCACCTCCAACACGCCGTCCGCCGGGCCTGACGAGCTCTCTCCCACGCCCCCTCCAGGCCTCCCCTCCAACGAGCGTGCGCAGCCCCTCCGGGAGGCCGTCCCCAGCCAGCGGGCTCCCGCGTCGGTCCCGCTGCGGCGCTCACACCCCGTGAGGACGCCGTAGCCCCAGCGTCCAGCACAACGCCGGGCACGCAGAGAGCGTCGAGCCGCACTCGTTCCGATGGGCTCTGGGAAAGAGCCCACGCCCCCGAGGCGGCGTGAGCCGTCCGGCGGGCGAGGCTCCCTGCGCGCCGGACGCAGCCGCCGCCGGCGAGCGCTGGGGGCCCGGCTCCGCGGAGGGCTCTGCCCTGCCTGGGGCTGAAGGCGAGGTGCCACGCGAATGGCAGGCGCCCTGCGACGCGGCTGGGAGCGCGTTGCCTCGCGTCGTGGCACCCGGGCCCCCTGACTATCAAGCTGGCGCAGTGTGGGAAAGCAGCCTAAAAGGGGAGGCGGCGGCTGCCTCTCCCCGTGAGGCGCTCCGGGCGAACTCCGCAGCTTCTCCGTCCGCCTGTCTTGCCAATTCCCCTCAGGTCCACTGTTCCTGTATAGTTTTCTGCTTCGGCCACTTCGGGTCAGCGCTCTCTGGTGCCGGCTCCGTGGCCACGTGAAAACCCCTCACAGCGCGCGTTTCTCCTGTGGGTCTCGGTCCGTGTGACGTGCCGCCCGCCAGGGGCGCCCGAGCCGCGCAGCCTGCCTCTCTCCGCGGCCGCACGCCCAGGTCGGCTCCTGTCTGCTCGAGGGCGTGCGGGAGGAGTCGGCGCGGAGCGTCGTCACGGCAACCGTCGCGGCCTGGCGCTTGCGCGCACCGCTCCCGGAAGTGACGATGCCGGAAGGGGTGCTGCGGCCGCGCCATGGCCCAGGACGCTGCTGGGAGGCCACCCGAGGAAACCCTGTCGCTCTGGAAACGGTAATGGGGCCGGGAAACAACCAAGACCCCGGGGCTGGAGAGACGCGGCTCCCTGCGGCCCCTCCCACCTCGGAGCCCTCGGCTTTGGGGCAGTGGGGTCCGGTCCCGCTTCCGGCGCGCGGGCGAAAGGGCCTTCGGGAGTTGTAGTAGGCGGGGGTGGCGGCGCTCGTTCCCCGCGCGTCTGGGGTCCCCGGGGAGGGGCTGGGCTTCCGGGGGACGGGGCGGGGAGACGCAAAGGAGCCCCAGACCCTCAGACTTGGGCGTGCGGGCGGCCGGACCGGGCGGCCCGCGGGACGTGTGTCTGTCCCCAGGGAGCAAGACCTGCTCAAAGCCCGCGTCGTGGATCGAGACACGGAGGCGTGGCAGCGGGATCCCGCCTTCTCCGGCCTGCACAGGGTCGGGGGCGTGGATGTGTCATTTGTGAAGGGTGACAGTGTCCGAGCCTGCGCCTCTCTGGTGGTGCTCAGCTACCCTGAGCTCGAGGTATCCCGGAGCGGGGACGGGGGACGGGAGGACCCCGGTCAGGAGCAGCCCCGCTTGCTCCGTGTGCTTTAGTGAGGGAGGCGGGGCTTCGAGACAGGGATCGAGGGCTTCTGTAGGATTTCATACTAGACTGGAGAGTCTGGGAATAAAGGAGACATCTGGGCTCCTACCTTAGTGACCAGCAGTGAACCGTCCCAACTTGTCCAAGCTGGGAATCTCCGTCTTCCCTAGACCCTTCGCTTCCAGTTACACCACCTCCACTTTTTCTGCCTCCTAAATATTGCCGGAGTCAGTCCTCTGGTCTGTGTCCAGGCTGCCCCTTCTCATAGTCACTCTTCCTGTGGGCAACAGGCAGAGCCTTCCCTGGGGTCCAGCCTCCAGGATGGCCCTGGGGGTCTCTTCTCCATCTCCCTGCCGCCAGCAGACCTGACGTCCCATAACGCAAGTGTGTGTGATCATGTCACCACGCAGTCAGACCTTCCTCCCGGATAGGCGAGGCGGGGCGGCACGCGCATTGGGCCGGGCAGGCGGAGAGGGGGCCGGCAGCCGAAAGGGCTGGCGGGTGAAGGGCTGAGGGTGTGCAGGGACATGGGTGGCCGGGGCTGTGTTCCGCCGGTGAGTTGACCTGGCTGCCTGGTGGCAGGTGGTGTACGAGGACTGCTGCATGGTGAGCCTGACGGCCCCCTACGTGTCGGGCTTCCTGGCCTTCCGAGAGGTGCCCTTCCTGGTGGACGCTGTGCGGCGGCTGCAGGAGAAAGAGCCTGGCCTCATGCCCCAGGCAGGTACCTCGAAGGGCCTCTGCGGGGCGGGGAGGCCGGAGCCGGCACTGGCACGGGGAAGGGCCTGGGGGCTTCCTGGGGAAGGCGTGCTCTGCCCCCGCGACAGGGATCGGACTCTCTCCGAGGCTGGCCTCAGTGGTGGCCCCACTGCTCCTGCAGGTCCTGGGCTAAGGCGCAGCATCGCTGACTCCGACCTGTTCTGTCGCTCTCACAGGTCCTCTTTGTGGATGGAAATGGGGTGCTCCACCACCGAGGTGATCCTGCTCGCCAGAGGTGGCCCTGGAGGGCTGTGGGGAGGGGGCGTCTCATAGGGCGCCTGTGCCCCGCCCCAGCCGGGCACCAACAACTTTCTGGGCTCGTTGCCCTGTCAGGACCCACCAGTGAAGACCCCCGACACGGCCTCCCCAGAACCCTGCACTGGCGCATCTCAGGCCCAGTGTCCAGTTTGGACCTGGCCCCTCCCAGAAGTCCTGGGACCGGGTTCAGCCAGCCTGTCCCGCCAGCAGCCCACCCTGTGTCCTGATGGGCCCTTGCCCTAAACCAGCGGGCACAGACGGGCATGGATGCCGGGTGACCTGCTCTCTGGGCGCTGGAACCTTGGCCCAGGGGAGCTCCGAGGGGGCGGGGCCATTCCACCCCCAGAGAGCGGCCTGGGGGTCTGGGAGCAGGGGGAGCCAGAGGGGCGGGTGGCCTTGGGCTGTTCAGCCACCCTGCACTGGGAGCCCTTGGGTCCAGAGCCGAGGCGTGGACATGCCCCACCCTGGTCGCCAGTGCAAGACCAGTAGGCCAGCTCTGAGCCAGGACCCCGGCAGTGCCATCCTGGCCACCTGGTAGGAGCCCCAGAGTGTTAGGTGAGTCGGGGGGACAGAGGCCTGATGGTGGCCACAAAGGGCAGAGGCGGGCGGAAGGTGCCAGAAGTGAAGACAAACATGTGGTGCGTTGTGAGCGTGCCAAGGGGGCCCCTGAGCTGTGCGAGGCAGGGAGGCCGCCCCTGCCCAGGCTGATGCCCGTGGCATCGGGGCGGGGGCCACGTCCCAGGTCAGGTGGGGCTCAGGGCCCTGGCTCCATGGCCCTCCGCCTGTGACAGGACTCCCTCCACTCGGGGAAGCTCAGTGAGGCTCTGGGTCGTCCCCCAAACCCACGCCGCCCCGGACTGCGTGGCTCACTGCCTGCCCGCCCCCGCCCCTCCGCCCACAGGCTTCGGGGTGGCCTGCCACCTCGGCGTCCTCACAGACCTGCCCTGCGTCGGGGTGGCCAAGAAACTGCTGCAGGTGGACGGGCTGGAGAACGACGCCCTGCACAAGGCCAAGGTGAGGGGCAGGCCTGGGCGCACCTGGCCCGGGGACACGGAGGCCGCCCTGCTCCGGGGCAGCGCGCGCCTGCCGGCTGCCTGCCAGCGTGTCCCCATCCTGGACTCCTGGCCCAGAGTCTGGAAGACCCACTGCCCTCTGCGCCCTGCGTGTGCCCTGCGGGCGGTGAGCTCCTTGCCTGGCCTCCCTGCCCCTGAGGCGTCCCCATGTGGGGGCATGACTGGGACATTCTGGGAGCCCAGGCCCTGCTCTCGTGACCCCCGGCCCCTGTGCTGGCACTGGGAGCAGGACGCGCCCTGCAGATGAAGCTGGCGCCGCCCCCGCGCCCCCAGCAGCAGACCCGGAGAGCAGCGGGCACGTCTGCCTCGTTGCCCCGGGCAGCCCTGCGTCTGCACGGAGCGGTGCACGGGAGCCTCGGGTCCCCTCAAGCGGGCCATTCCCCACTCCACCCCAAAAGAGTCTGTTGAGCCAAAAGTGCCTGGCAAAAGATTCCTAGCAAAGAGAAAGCAGCAGGAAGTGCGTGGCGGGGGTGGGGGTGGGTTCCGGCCGGCCCCCGAGGAGGAGCAGGGCCTCCACCCTTCAGGCCTGCCAGGCTGCGCCCCGCCCTCTGCACCACATGGGGAGGAGAGAGCCCAGCAGTGACGGAGGGCCTCGCCGCGGCGCGGTGGTGCTGTGGGGGTGCCTACGCATCACCTGCCTGGGCCGTGGCCTGCACGCAGGACCGGACCCTCCCTCGTTAGGCCCAGCACTGCTTGGGCTTTAGATATGAGCCGGCCTCGCCGAGGCAGGATGGCACCCCAGCGTTGCCTGTCTTCCAGATCCGCCTCCTGCGGGCCGGGGGAGATGCCTTTCCTCTGACGGGAGGCTCCGGGAGCGTCTTGGGTATGGTGAGTGGCAGGGGCCTGTGTCCTGCCCATGCAGACCCCTCAGCCGCGGCCCAGCAGGGCCCTAGGTCAGCACCCATGTGGTACGCTCGCACCCCACAGCCCAGCCACACTGCCCGCCTTCCCCGCTCCGCCTGTCGGGGGTGTGCCCTGTGCCCTCACTTCTTCCCCACCTCGGGTTGCGTCGGGGGCTGCCGTGCCCCTGGCGCCCCACCCCGCCTCCAGGACCAGCAGCAGGAACGTGCCCCAAGGGTGCTACATGTGCCCCGCTCCTCCTCCACGAGCTTCCTCCTGCCAGTCAGGACCAGCGGTCGGCCCTCTGGGCCACAGAGCCTGCCCCCCAGCGCCCTGACCTCCCCTTCCTCGTCCCAGGCCCTGAGGAGCCACGACCAGAGCACCAAGCCCCTGTACGTCTCCGTGGGGCACAGGATGAGCCTGGAGGCGGCCGTGCGCCTGACTCGCAGCTGCTGCCGGTTCCGCATTCCGGAGCCCGTGCGCCAGGTGGGTGGCCACTGCCAGGGCCCCAATCCTGCCTGCCCAGCCCCCTTGAACCCTATCACCCTGCTGACCATGGCTGTGACCTTCCTCGGGGCCTCGGGTCTTCCTGGCTGCTGGTGTGCAGGGCGGCCTCTAGGTGGCACCAGAGCCCGCACGCAGGTGGCTCAGCCCCGGCTGAGGCCTGGACCTCCAGGCTGCCTTCTCGGGACCCGCCCTATCTATCCACACTCTCCCCACCCCGGGTCCAGGGTGTGGGGGTTCCCGAGCCTGCGGTATGTCCTGGCTCCAGGGGGCTTTCCTCCTCCATTCCCAGCGTGTGCGGCCTTGGGGGAGGAAGCCCTCAGCGCCTGGGGCTTGCTGGTGCTGGTTCAGGGGCAGGTGCCTGTCCCCTCTGGGCCTCGCTTCCCTGGGGAGGACAGTGACCCTGTCCTTGTGGGGCGGCCTCTAAAGCGCCTTAGGCACCTCCGGGGCGGGTAGGGCCGTGGGGCCGGCCCTGGGGAAGGCCCGCCGAGACCCTGGCCTGCAGCCCCGGGGAGGAGAGCCGCCGCCCTGTCACCTCTGCCGGCGGGGTGGGCCCCATCTGGCTGCCCTGTCTGTTGCTTTGTCTGTTTTCTGCCTGGGTCTCCTGACTGCTTCCTGGGAGACGCTGCGGGTCCTCTGCCCACGCGCCCGTGGGGCGCTGCGCCAGGCTGAGGGGAGGGTGCGGCTGCCCGCTCCCTGCGGCAGGGCTGCTGGGGGGGTGGTATGTCCGGTGGCCCTGCCCGGGGGGGTGGTCGGCAGGCGGGCGAGCCCGGCAGCAAGGCCCTGGGAGGTCCCACTGCGGGATCTTGGCAGAACTCCGCGCTTCCCCGGGGACAGGTTGTGGCTGACCCCGGCCGGAAGACAGACACGGAACAGAGAGTGAGGACAGCTGAGTGGGCCGGGGGGCCCTCCGGAGGCGGCTCGCAGGCCCAGGCTGCATCTGCGTGCCCCTGGGGCTGCTTCGTCCTGTCCCCAAGGCCGGGCCTGCGGTGCGTGGCGGCCTCCCTGGGCTTTCCCAGCAGGGAGCTAGGCGGGGGGAGGGCTTGTCCAGAGGCCAGTGCGGGACCTCAGCCAGCACCCCTCACTCGAGCCACCCCTCCTCAGGCTGACATCCGCTCCCGAGACCACATACGCAGGAGCCTAGGAGGCCCTGGGGCCCCCGTGCCCCGGCCGGGGAGGTGAGTGCAGGGGCGGCCGAGCTGCGGGTTGGGAGCCCTCGGCCAGGCAGGGTGCAGCGTCCTGAAGGGAGGGGAGAGTTGTACCGGCAGGATGCTCGGGGCCTGGATGGATGCTGTGTCCAGAAACCCCCAGAGCCCCTGGCCCACCTCCCACCGGGGCTGACGGGCCGGCTCACATCCCAGCTGCACAACCAGCTGCATCTTCTACGTGCCCTTGTCTGTGTGGCAGGCACGGTCGTTCTTGTCCCGCTGGGCTCTTGGGGGAGGGGGCGGTGGGGAGAGCCGGCCAACAGACAGCTCAGCCACCACGGCAGCCTCGGCCCTGCCTGTGGTCCCGGAGGCACGTCCCTGGTGTGCCTCTCCCTCTCAGGCTGTCCTGGGCCTGGCCGAGCTGCATGGGGGATGGGGGCAGGTGCAGCTGGAACCCCCGTGCCCTCCCAGGGGTGGGCAGTCCAGCCGGGCCTCAGGACCCAGGTCAGCGGCAGCCTCCAGGGACCACCTGGTGAGTGAGGGGACCTCGGGCTCTGGGGTGTGACGCTGCCCCTTCTTGATGTCATTACCAGCTGGAGCCAGAAGGCGCAGAGGCCAAAGGTGTGCCCTGAGCAAGGCCCTGGAGAGCCCACAGGTGAGGGCAGGCGCCCCGAGGCCCCCGGCCCAGACCCCAGGACACACCGGAAAGCCCCTGGCCCAGGCCCCCAGGAGCAGTAGGGTGAGGGCTGGGGGGCGAACAGGACGCCCTGAAGACTCGGCCCTACCACCTGCCCCCGCCGCAGGAGAGTGGCTGGCCCTGCGGCTCCTCCGTGGGGACGGCTCCCTCCGCAGGTGATGGGGTCGGGCTCTGAGGACCCCGGCGGCTGGGCGCTGCCCCCGCTGCAGGCCTGGGGCCCGGGGGGCCTGGAGCGCACTCAGGAGGAGGCGCATCCACCGCACAGCCCCGAGAGCCGCCGGAGGGGGTTCAGGGCCCCCGGCAGGAGCAGCGTTTGCTTTCCTGAAAGCACCAGTGTGAGCCGCGGCCACCAGAGCACAGACACCTTCGTGCGTGTGCCGCTGACTGTTCCTGATTTTGTCCCCTCCCGCCCCCATTTTTAAACCAGTCCCTCCCATAGCCACACTGAGCTGCTTCTCCCCGGACCCGGGAAGGTCCAGGTTGAGGCGGCCACTGTCTGGCGGGGCCCCTGGCTGCCCGGCCTGCCCCCAGCAAAGTCCTGGGCCCTCCTCGCCTGGTGCTGCGGGCCCACTGCCCACCCACCCTCTTCCAGGCCCCCTGCCGACGGCCCCTCCGGACCAGGTGGGGTGGGGGATTCGGGGGCACAGCTGGCTGGGCAGCACTGCCTGCTAGCAACTGGCCTCCGCAAAGCTGGGAGCCTGGCGCCCAGACAGTGTGCCCTGTGTGGGGCGGTGGGCACGGAGCCTGGTAGTCAGCTCTCGACAAGGGAGGGGACAGCGCCTGGAGAAGGCCCGCAGAGGCCGGGGCTGGTGGCCGCCGGAGTGCAAGGCCATGCTGACTGCCGACGAGAAGGAAAAAAGCAGAAGGTCAAGTCCTGTCGCTGACCGAGCCCCTCACGCTGCCCCAGCCCCCTGAACGCAGGCCCAGAGGGTGCTTTGCGCCCCCCCCGCCCGCCCCAGCGCGGGTGGTGATGCGAACCACCGCAGGTTCTCTCCCGCAGGGCCCCTGCCCCCGCCCCCTGCCCCCTCTGCCCCGTCCCCCGCAGTGCGGAGCGAAGCCAGCATCTGCGGGTGCATTGACAGGCCCCTCACCTGAGTAGGGTTTTCCTTTTTTTTTTTTTTTTTTTTTGAGATTAAAGTCCCATAAGCACGACTGTCAGAAACGCATCGGTTTCTGGGCAAGCAGTTGAGGGGCAGTTGAGGACCGCGTGCGGCCCCCAGGGCTGCGGCCCAGAACTCCTCCAGGACGAGGGCGGTGCGGCCCGTCCCCCGTGGCCGCTGCCCTCCACGTGCCGCCCACCAGCCCCTGGCAGCCGCTGATGGCCCTCTGTCCCTGGACGTGCCTATTCTGGGAGTCTCACGTGAACGGAGTCACACCGTGCACAGCCTTCGGGTCCGGCCTCGGCCCTCAGCACGGTCTGTGCTGCGTCACGAGGCGGTGCTTCGTTGTCTGCGGCCGAGGAGTAAAGCCATTACATGGACATGCCGCGTCTTGATCCATCCGCCGTGCGGGTGGGCATTTGTGGAGGTCCTCTTCGGGGCTGTTAGGGGCGGAGTGGCTGCCGTCCATCGTTGGTGCACACGTGTCGGGGCGAACGTGTGTGTGCGGTTCTCGGGTACATACCCAGAAGTGGGGTTTCTGGCTCTCGGTGGCCGGGTGACTGCGGACCGGCCGCCTTCCACACAGCAGCCGCCCTTCGCAGCGCAGCCGGCCACGCGCAGCACGCCGGGCTCTCTGCGTCGTGCGCAATGGCTGCTGCCCCCATCCTTGGTCTGGACCACCCGAGTGGGCGAAGTCCTCATCACGCTTGTGACCCGCGCTTCCCCAGCCACTAACGAGGCCGAGCCCCTTTCCTGTGCCTGCTGGCTGTGTGCGCATCTTGAGCGAATGTCTGTTCAACTCCATCTCCCTTTTAAACTGGAGTTGTCTTGTTGAGCCGTGAAGCTCTGTGTTCTGATACCAGACCCCCGTTGGTCCTATAATTTATAAAGATGCTTCCCGCTCTGTGGGCTGTCTTTTCATCTTGATAGTGTTTTTAGGTGCATGGAACTTTTTGAATTTGATGAAGTTCAATGTACCTTTCATTTGCTGCTTGTGCTTCAGGATTCACTGAAGAAACTTGCTAATCTGGGTCATGTAGATTTCCTCCTGCTTCCGTCTCAGAGTGTCACGGGTTGGCCCACCCTGAGCTCACTTTGCGTGTGGCCACTGGGCTCTGTGCAGTAGCACGCGGACGCCGGCAGCAGGGTGCGGGCTCCACAGAGAAGGCGGTGGGGGGTTGATCAGGGTTTGGGGGGCGTGGCTGTCGACAGCGATGTCAAGTCTTCCAGCCACAGCCACAGTGGGTTTTATTTAGCTCTCCCTCCATTTCTTTTAGTGTGGCTTCATAGTTTTCAGTGTACAAGTCTTACACTGCCCTTGGTTAAATTTATTTTTGTACGTTTTATTCTTTCTGACGCTATTGTAAGTGAAATTGTGTTACTAATTGAATTTTTGGATTGTTCATTGCTACTGTGTTGAAATACAACTGATTTTTGTATCTTGTACCCTGAATTTTGCTGTACTCATTTATCAGCCCTAATTGTGCATGTTCTCTAGGGTTTTCAATGCTAAGACTGTATCACCTGGGAAGAGAGTCCATTCTGCCTCTTCCTCCCGACCCGGGTGCCGTGGGTGCCCCGGCCTTTCCCAGTGGCCAGGAGGGCAAGGTCCAGCGCAGCACAGGGCGGAGGGCGGGCCAGCCGAGCGGTTCCTTCTCCCCGAGTGTGGGGGCAGCTGCGGACTGTTTACAGACACCCCCCGCGGGCGGGCGCGTTCCCTCTCCTCCTGCTTTGCCGAGTCTTTGTCACGAAGGAGGCTGCTGGGCCGAGTGCTCTTTCCTCGTCTGTGGAAATGGCCATTGTCCTTCATCTGTTCTGCACGTTACAGCGGCGGATGGTCATGTGTCAAGCCGCTCTGGTGTTTTGGAACGAAGGCGCACTTGGTCACTGTCCTGTGAGTCCAGTCTGCCAGGGTTGTGGGGGTCCCGTACCTGTGTTGGTAAGGGAGCCTGGCCCATCGCTGGCCTGGGAAGCCTGTGCCTCGCTCTGTCCCGATGGCGGTGCTGGCCGCGGGCCATAGCCCGGAAGCGTCCCTCCCCTGCCCTCTGGGAGAGCCCGGGGACCAGCGCCGGCTCTTGCTGAGGGTGTCCGGGGAGTCGCCAGGGAAGCGGCCCGCCCACGCAGTCCTGCCGGGAGGGGACGTGATGACCGAGTTGGTCTCTTGTTGCAGGTCCGTGAGGATGTTGCTTCTCCCATTGGGTGGCAGCCGGAGGCGCCTGGGAACCCGCCCGCTCTGCCCAGACTGCCTGTGAGCGGGCGCGCGTGGTTCACGGCTGCGTCCTCGGGGAGAGGCGGCAGTGTCGGGCCTCCTTTCCTGGTTTTAGTAACGAGTTCTTTCAGTCATTCTGGTTGGTTGTGAGCGGTTTCAAAGGAGCCCCCCACCCCCAACAAGGTGCCCAAGGGGGCTCGGAGGGGGCTGGGAAGGCAGGGTCCCTGCGAGGCTCCCAGGGGTTGGCGCTCACCCGCCTCCACCCTCCCGACGCCGACAGGCCTGCGAAGGCACAGGCCCGGCCCCCCCAAAACCAGCCAGGGCCCCCCGAACCCTCCGCTCCGCGCCCGGCTCAGGTGGGTGGGCTCCAGGGGCCGTGGGAGGACAGGCGGGGCAGCGTGTCGCCCGGTGGGCGGTGGGCGGTGGGGAGGGCAGGGGGCTGGGCCCTAAAGGGAGCAGAGTGAGGGCCGCAGCTTCAAGGGAGAGCCCCTCGTCCCTGCTGTGGCCCTGACAGCGGCCACATCAAAGTCATGCCGCAGGTGAGATGGGGCCGGGGGCCACCCAGGCTGGGGTTTCAAGTGGGGAGGGGCGAGGGACGCAGAAGCCCGGGGGCGGGGCCCTGGGGCTCTGGACCTGCTAGCCGAGGGCACGGGACAGGCGTGGGAGAAGCGGAGAGCAGCGAGGACAGGCTGGGGGGGGGGCAGGCGTCCTGGCTGCACGCCCTGCCCTCCCGTCCCCCGCCCCCGCCCGGTTGCCCGCCTTGCCCTGTGCGGGGCACGTGGGGGCCTAAGTGGGGTGGCACCTACCCACGGAACCTTAAAAATAGGGCTGCGACGATGTCCGTCCTCACAGGCCGCAGCTGCCCAGGGCCAAGAATAAGTCCTGAACCACTTAATAATTCAAGTCCCTCCGAATAGAGTGTCTTGTCAGCCTGCTGGTCTCTGTGCCCCGGGCCCAGGTCCCCGCACCGCCCGGGGCTGGGGTCACCTGGCTTCTGCAGGTCATCCTGACTCCAGGGACCCCAACCTGCCCGCCCTCCCCTCCTGGGACAGTCAGGAACGAGGACACCCAGGGCTGGGAGTAGCCAAGGCCCAGCCCCAGGAGCAGGCCCCGCCTCGGTCGAGCTGTGCCTGAGACCCTGCCCCTGGCCGCCCCTCTGGCCACAGCACTGGCCTCTCAGAGCCCTGATCTGAGTCCGTCCCAGCTCGGGCCCAGTCCTGCTGCTGCGCCGCCCACCCCGCCTCAGAGTCTGTTTCTCTGCCTCCTGGCAGGACCCCTAAAGGGCTTCACCGGGGGCCCCGTGGGCTGGTGGGAACAGCTGAGGACAAGGGACGGGGGCCCTCAGTTCCACGCAAGGCCCCTGCGCTTGCCGGGGGTGGGAGTGGGGGTCCTCGCCGGCTGGGCCCTCAGTCGCTGCTGCACTGCCCGGCCGGGCCAGGCGCGGAGTTTTACTGGATTATTAATTAAAGGCACCGGCATGCGGCGGCGCTGACACCCAAATGAATGGCACGCTGGGTAATTAGGCGAGGTGTCATGGAAATGATGGAGCAGGGCCCACTGTCCCCATTTCACCTCTGCGGGAAGCAGGAAGAACTTCTCAAAGCTCCCTGCCTCCATGGCAGGCACTGGGGGCGGGGGGCAGTTTAGGGGACCAGGGCACAGCTGTTGCTCTGGACAGGGCTGAACCCCCTGCCTGGTTCCTCCTAACCCAACCGGGAGAAGGATAGGGAAGGGGCTGGGGAGGTGGGCTCACGGGGGAGGGGTGTGCTCGGAGACAGGCGA